ATATTCTCAAAAAAGTACGAAACAAGGATATCGCTCTGGGTCTGCGTCGGTAACAAGCTGGTCAAGTATTGTTTCCAATACATCGGCTGTTCGTCGAGCAACGTGCACATTCTTGCTGAAGACGGATTCCTTAATGTGAGGGAGGCTATCGACATCACCTCTTGTGGTTGATCGAATACTTTTGAGCGGGATACATCCTGCGAGACACCCAGTCCATTTGTTTCCCGAGCTGGATAGTGCCGATACTGACTGACATCTGCCATGAAACCAGCTAGCCTCCCATCTGCCTGGTTGAGATAGCGGACATGTTGCGAGGGAAGATCCTGCCGGGCATCAACCGTCACGACACTCAAGGGTGAAGGTGGGAAGTCACGCATGCTTCCATTTTGGAAAACAGAACGGTTTGCACCGGTAGCAGGTCTAGGCAGGACCACAGTGCTGGGTGTCGACGCCTTCTCATTCTCCTCCGTCTGTACTGCCCCTGGAGGCGGGTTATGTCGGCATTGATCCTCACGTCGATAACGGCAGCAACTCTGACATGGTATACCTTGATCGCATCGCAACTTGTGTAAGCGGCATGGGAGACAGCTAACCGTCCTCCGCTGCCGAGTCCGCGGGCGATTCTGCGCAGCTTCAGCTCTCGTCCGACGCTGGGCGCGAGATGCCGAAGGCGTTATGGGAGACATTGTTTAGCGATGATTGAGCCATTGGCCCATCTCTTCTCAGGAAGATTTGTCAAACATCTACCATCGCACCGCCGGCGCTTAATCGGAATTTATCAAGACGTTTGCAAGATAGGGCTAGGCTCAATTCGACCTAGGCAGTGATCACCAATATCCCTTATCTCTTGCAGGAAGAATGTGTGAGGTAACCTTCTCCTGTTTATCTTAAGCAGGGACTTCGATTTGATGAGTGCTGAGGATACCCAAAGTGGCCCGTCACAGTGGTGCGAGAACTAAAAGGCAAACGCTTGTGTCGGGTTTGCTGGCTTCCTATTGATGGACTTGAAGCTCACATAGATGCTGCATCGGATCTCGGCCATCGTGTGGGGCAACACATCAAACTACTACTCAACGGTAATAAATGTTGGTTCAGCAAGGATATTACTACCACCTTAACAAGAGATTACTACCTTTATAGAAGTTGATAGTCCTATAGTCTTAAACTAAACTTTCTAAGTTCTTGACAAGTATTACGACTCTCAATATTTAGTATCTTTACCCTTCAGAAATAACGTTTGTTACCCTGGCGAAGGATCAGATGTCTGACTAGCCTATGTCTATGAATACATGCGAGACACTTATTATACTCAACTTGCCTGTCGCTGCTGTTTTGATTGTAATTGCCAATTGATATATTTATCTATCCGAGCTTGATCTCAGTAATAATGCTATAGACTCATGATTATTTAATGTTGCCCAAAACTCTGGTGTATTACCAAAGGTATCGCGTACATCGACATCAGCCTTATGTGAATGCAAAAGTAATTTGACCACACCATCGTGTCCTTGTTGAGCAGCAACAAATAATGGTGTCTGTCCATAATTATCCCGAGTGTCGACCTCGATGTTGTCGGTCTCGAGAAGTAGCTTGACGATACCTTCATGACCTTTCCTAGCAGCAACAAATAGGGGTGTCTTGCAGCTGTTGTCTCTCACATTGGTCTCGATACGGTCCACTCCTAAAAGCATCTTGACGATCCCCTCCTGTCCCAGTTCTGCTGCCCACTCAAGGGCAGTGTGTCCACGTTTACATCTTGTATTAACATCGACCTTGTCAGTCTCCAGGAGAAGCCTGACGATATTCTCGTCGAGCTGCCTGGCGGCCCACATTAAAGGCGTACAGCCACCTTCATCACTTGCGTTGACATCAGCGTCTCCAGTCTGCAGAATCAATTCGACAATGCCAGCATAACCTTTTCCTGCGGCCCATGCGAGCGGTGTACGGCCGCAATTGTCGCTTTCATCAACCTCGACCTCGGTCGATGTCAAGAGTTGCTTGACAATAGTCTCGTACCCTTTTATGACAATGCTCATAAACGGTGTTCGACCGCCATCATACATTGCATTGATCTTAACTCTACCACTGTCAAGAAGTAGCATAACAATGCCGACGTGGCCATCTTCAAGAGCTTTGAGAAACACGTCATAGGCTGCTCTTTTACTTTCTATGCGTCCAATACAAACGAGAGCATATGCCAGTTTTGTGTGCTGTGCCAGGTAATAATCAACACCCCGTTGATTCGAGTACCGGAGCCTAGAATCAAAGCGTTCACGTTCACTTTGGAGATAAAGGTCGCACATGGTCTGAAAGAGGTCGTTGGAGCGCTGTCGTTCCTTTTCAGCGAGTAAAAATGTCTCGATAGCATCGTGGCTGCCAGTTGCAAGGGCTGCCAATAGGGGGGTCCCATAAGCTTCTTCCTCAACGTCGAGATATGATAGGATACTTGGGTGAATGGCAATGAGATGTGATAGATTGTTCTCGGCCAATATATAGAGCAGAGATGCATTTTGGGTGTATTGGCGTGTTCTGAGATTTCCGACAAAATTGCTGAGTCGAATCCATTGCCGTAGATGAAAGCTGTTGATGGAGCCCTTTTGATCGATACCACCTTTCTGCGCCAAGTTGGCATGGTGCAGTACATTACGCACAGCGTACTCCAGGAACGTGAATTTCTCGGTCAAGGTATTGAAATCCGCTGATATCTTGAAGGTAGCCTTCCGAGCACTTACGTCTTTTATGTAATTGAGACAGCCCTGTTTCAAAAGCTCATGGCTTCGAGCCTCAAAATTCATGTCATGATCGAGCCAAATGAGACCGAGGCCATCTTCTTTAAGAAGAAAGTCTCTCACTGACTCGTGGATGAACTGCACTGTTGGTTCTTCAGATCTGGTAATCTCTGCAAGCCCTTTGGAAAAGTTGAGAAGAGATCTTTTGATATCATCCTCCGAGATATCGTCCGATTCCCAGATCGATGCCTCATCGGACCCGAGACTCGCAAGGATAGCAAAGTACAGTTGACTTGGATTCAGCGGATGCGTCGCAAAGAGTAACCACTGAATGCACAGACGTAGTCTGATTCCGCCCTCGCTATCTCGCTCTATAATATCGCGGAAAAGGCCTTTCAGACTAGTAGGCATGTCTTGCAGTCTCTGGCGCAGTGCTAGGATATTGCCTCTATCAAACTCCTTATTGAGGATCCCGATAACTAGGACGATCCACATAAAAACCCCAGATGCCTTTTGTCGAAGTTCCTGCTTGATTTGCTCGACGGTACTACCCTTTCCAATTCTGAGATTCTTCTCTATGAAGGTAGTAATGTCTCGATCATGCCCTTCTTGACCTTCTAGAGTAAGCTTCAGCCCTGTTATGAACGTGATGTGTGGATAGTGTCTGCTTGAGAAGCACACTCGAAAGCGAGTCCCGGCTTGCATTGATTTCTGGCAGACCTCTTCCAGAAATGATAACATATCTCGAATTTGGTCCTCATCACATTCGTCTAGAGCATCAATGAAGCATATCAGAGTGCGCTGTCCGAGATGCTGTATTGCCTCTTTGAACAGCTCCTTTAGTGGCTCAATTGGCCATTGCTCAACCTTGTTGGCGTTCCACCAGGTTTGCTTAAGTGGATCATAGACCTTCTGAAGGGGGGGAATTTCGTTGAAGAGCTGCCAAAGTAGCGACCTGTACATTCCGATCGTCGACTTTTCGAGACTATGTCCTCGCGCGTGAAAGAAGAAATGGATAATACTCGGTTGTTCCCTCCTATTACGAGCCTCACACAAGGCGAATTTCATCAGCGTTGATTTTCCGGCTCCCGGCTTTCCCTTGATCCAAAGAAAGCCATGATGTTGCTCAAGTTTGCCTGGATCAAGCCAATCGCGGTATGTTGGCTCGCGAAGCAGCCATTCGCAGGTTCCAGAATATGCCAATTTGATTGCAGCATAGCGCGCTCCGTCCTGATCTGGTTTTAGAGAACTGACGAATAGATCTCTCTGTCGTTGTACCAGAATCGCAATCTCTGCTGCTGATGGAGGCTTGCCTTCCAGTCTTAGACCGTCCAAGTAATTGTAATAAGTGTTCCCGACTTGAATTCTTGAGTGTCCACTGGCCTCCACAGTGTGTGTATTGTTTGAACTATCTATATGTTTGTCATTGCAGTGGTCTTCTCCGGGATTGCCGAGTTGGTGAACGGCTTGGTTGGCAGCCCACGCACTGTAGCCTTGGCTATGTAAAATGGGGACAACATTGGTATTCGAGCGCGGCCGCGGTGTCGAGCTGTCTGCTGAGATAAACTCGGCATTCATTTCGCCTTAGATCATGAGTTGGCACTTCATCAGAGATCACGGTATCAATATGTGTCACCATTCAATCTCGCGGCACCTCTCTGCTGCCATGGCCTGCCTTTCGACAGAGTTGTGCACGATGGGTAAGCGACCTTTGGCTGCTGAAAATCGCCGAGTTGATACTCATTCCAAGAAACATTCGCCGACTCTCTCCAGAAGAACATATCAAAAGCACAATCGTTTCTGCGCAGACCCCGCTGGGGTGAACCTGGAAGTCTGGAGGATGAAGCACTGGATCAGATTGATTTCTTCGTGAGGCTGAGATACGGTCAACACAGTCAATGCAGTCAACCACGTGATTAAGGCCTTATCTGAATTTCAGGATTTCGACTCTTCATGCAACTCCAATGATCACAAGATACTTATACGTATTCAATTGACAAAAGTTTGGTGGTGGCTTGCGATAGTACGCTGTTCGGGTCGCCAGTGGATGTGTTCATCGGGTGTCAGGTACAGAGACCACAAAGTAACGCAGCACTGGTACACACATTATACCTGCTGTGGTACCACAGAGGGTAACGAGGTTCTCTGAAGAGTGGCTAAACACTGTGAAGTGTCATGGCCATTGACAACATCGTTGCGAGGCTGTTTCTTCATAAATTGATCAGTATTTATAGCTCATTATTCGACAAAATGGATTGCATCCATTCATAGTCAGTCATCTAGGACTCCACGACCTCCGAACCTATTTCCGATCTGGATTCTGGCCTCTCCCCTGCCCATGACTGTGCCAGCGCTGTTGATCGTTCGCTCCCGAATTTCTACCTTGCCAGCCTGATATTTGTCGCTATACTGATTGCCTAATTGAAATCTTGAACTTCCTTCCATACGAACCTCTTGGGCAGAGTTTCGTCCGGCAATGGTGTCCATTTTCCTCGAAGCTGCATCTGACAAAGATGGATCAATGCCCTCGGCTGCATCCAGCAGAGCTTCCAAGGTCGGCCCATCGTTAATCTCTCCAACCTCAATCTCAGCCAATCTTGTAGAAATATCAATTATCGGAAAGAGTTCATACAAATCATCGATCAAATCTGTGATTTGACTGATAAATCGCTCGAGGGTCTTTCCGTCGTGTAGCACCCAGACTGTCTTCTTGATTATGCTTGTGCGCTCTTGTCTACGAGAAGCGAGGTCTGTAAAGCGACTATGGAGTGTCCTTGCAATAGGGCCCAAATCCTCGTCGCGGAAGGGAATCAGGTCTTGCTGATTCGCATTGATCTCATATCGCTTGGATGTCCTATATGCAGACTGAAAGAGGCGAACGATCTCTTCAAGGATCATCTTTGCCATTTCAGTGCTCCTCTCGCCTGTGGTCTGCGTGGCAGATCGGGAATTAGTGGTCATGTCAGTGGCCTCACCCCACCGGCTCAGACGAACTCTGGCGACATCCAGCCTAAGCTGGCATCGTTCGAAATCATGACCAAAATGACGGCCTAGTTGGATGTATTCGAAGCAGTCAACGCAGTTGGACAGAAGCGCAGCAAGGCTTAGAGAGCCAGCAACGGTCCCGAAGATCTCCGCCATGAATAGAATGAGCGATGTTCAGATCGCTGAATGTGATGGCGATTTCAAGTGTGGGAATTGGCAATAGCAGCTGACCGGTGGAATCACCACGAAATTCACAGTCATGATGCTCTTTCTTTTTAAAATCCGGAGCCTCGAGCCCGAACAGTGCCTAGAGAACACAGCCATCTTGTCTGACAGAGGAGGCTAGAGTACCAGCTATGTGCATCTAATCCTATCTACCCCTCCACCAGGGTAATAATTAAAGTTAGTTCGGCAAGGGTATCATTATCTCCTCAACAAACGATTACCACATTTGCAGAGTTGATAGACCCATAGCATTAAACCAAACCCTTTGAGTTCTTGATGAGTATTACAACTCGTAACATTCAGTATCTTTATCCCTCAAGAATTAACATTTATTACCCTGGCGGAGGAGTATACGTGGTCGGCTAGGTTGTACAGCGTACAATCGTACTGAAAGCTTCACACCGAGTGCCTTCCTACCTGAATACTATTTGCGCTGGACTCAGACCTGGTTCTACGATGCTGTGAACGGCTTCTTTGCCAACCCTGTTTCATGTTACAGCGTCTATTATAAATAGCGAAAAAGAGAGGACCGGCATGGATTCATACCAACAGAAAGACTTGTTCCATGAACCCATCAACCTTAGAGACGGGCCGCCCCGGAACTCCACTCTAGCCCACCTGGTCCCGACAGTGGGCACGGCCTCAACCACAACCGGCCGGCACTCCCTCTATGCCAAACCTTTGTTTGACTATCATCATGTATGGCCTCAAGTATCTTATACAAACAATTGCTTCAAATAGAAAACACAAGCAGAGCCAGAGAGATCCAATCGATGATCATAAGAAATCTTGTATTTCAAACGGAAGAACGAGCTATGCGCTCAGATGACTCTAGTGCGGATGCGGCTCCATGTGCTTCTTTCCCTAGCCGACTCCCACCAGTATGTTGTTGACTCTTTTGTCTCGGCTCGATGTCCGAGACTAGTACCCCTATTTATTATCTCACAGTTGTATCAAAACAAACGCGCCTTCCCTCTATCCTTCCAATGCAAACCTGTTTGCCCGTCTTCCCAGCGCTTGAATATACAATGGCCACCGAATACATGTGTGCCTCACTGATGCTCGAGCTCGGATCCCGGCTCCTACCCCGTCTTGACCCGCAGCCCTCGATTAAGCCGCCGCTTCTCCACCTCCTTCTCTTTTTCTCTCTCCCTCTCCCTTTCGCTCTCCTGCCCACTCTCCTCCTCTTCCTCATCAACGGGCTCGTTTCCACCTAGCGTCGAGTTGCCGCCAACCGAGAACCGCGACCTCCGTCGCTCATCTCCAATCGTCGAGCTAGACGAGCTCTCTCGGTCCCGCAGCTTCGACGCAAAGGCATTGAAGTTCTTCTTGAAGAAGCCGCCGCCATTACTGCCCCCAAGGCCCAGCGTCGACTTTCGCCGCTCCGTCGACTCTCCGAGCGTGCTGGCGCTACTAGTTGGCCGCTTGCCAAAGTCGCGCATGCTGCTGCTTGAATCGGGTCTCAGATGGCCGATGCCCAAGCCTGTGTTCGAGCTCGACTCCGTCGCCGTTCTCTCCTTAGGAGTCGGCGGCGTCATCATGAGGAAGTTCGGCACCGACACGGTATGTCCACCCACTCCACTAGTGTTGATCTGCATGTTGCTGCTGCGATATGAGCGGCTGGAGGCAATGCTGGGGCTCCTGCTCGCACTGCGAGGCACTGGAATTGAGGTCTGAGAGCCTCGCAAGGACCTCGGCGGGGACCGCGAGAAGTCAACAGGTGAAGTGCCGAATATGCTGCTGGAATCATCGCTGTTCTCTCGACTCTCGCTTAGGGCAGGTGTCGCTAAAAGGACTGAGCTTGTTGCTAACTCACGGAGCTTAGACTGCTGCGCTGTGTTGGGACGATGCTTGCTGAACTTGTTGCCAATAATGGCACCTGTATGACTGATAAGCGCCTTGATGATTTGGCTCTTGAGCGCTAGGGCAAGATCGAGATTAGACCAAGTCTTGTTTCGATATTCAATCGTTGGCAGACGGAAGACGAAGTCATGCACATCTTCGATATTGCGATCGCCCTTGCCCTTGTAACTGAGACATAACACCACAGATGGCAGTTTAATGTGAGCAAAAGACATATAGCTGGATGCTCTGTTGATCATCATGGTCAGATCATCTGAAGTGGTCTTCTCCTTTGCTTCAGACTTGCGCAAGGCAAAGCGAGACTTCTTCGAGTCGCTCGCAGTGGAGCTAGCATCAAACTTGGACGAGAAGCCGGTCCCGCTACGACCGATTCCAGGGCGAGGTGTGTTGTTTGACCGGAGCGACTCGCGCGAGGCCTTCTTGGTAGGAATTCTAGAAGAAGAGCCCGTTGAGCGGAAGAATCTGAACGAATGCCCTTCACCAGAGTGGATGCTCAGCGCCTGCTTCTTCACTGGACTGACTTTGGAGTCAGAAGTCAATGTTGGCCGGAGTCTCAGCTCAAGAGAGCCAGCTCTCGTCATGAACGAGCCTGGGTCTCTCTCCTTGTCAGAGGCAGCTGAGCCAAGCCGTCCGACCGACCCGCTCAGAGAGTCATCATCCGCATCCACATCTTCGTCACCGCCGGGTAGCGTTTGTTTCATCATGAATGGCGAGTCGTTCTTACCGGCGCCGAGTTTCTCGCCCTCGATGCCGGGGAAGATGTACTCAAACAGCTTCTTGCCCACTTCTCTTTCTAGCTGGATCTTCATTGGAAAGAGATTCACTTCGAATTGGTCCATGACCGGAATACCAGCTATTGCTTCAAGCATATACCAGTACACCCGAATCATGGGCTGCTTCTCCATGTCAAATGCGGCCCGGGGATCTTCGAGATAAGGAGCAACCATCTCAGGATAAATTGCATCGGGCAGTAGGTTCAGACCAAGCACCTTGCCGACCTGAATCAGGTTGATGTGCGACCCATCAGAGTTGTCTGTGCGGTCGTACTCGACATCCTTCAGTTGAAGCTCGCAGAGAGGGTCATTAGAATCGCGAATGAGATGCCAGACAATCTCCTTGGCTGAGATGCTCCACTTCAACAGCGCATTGCTCTGCGTTGTATCATATTTCCGCTGTGAAGTAGTGATCGCCTTCATCATGAAGAATAATTCGTCTTCGCAAGCAGCGAGATCTCGCTCCAGGACCAGTCGATCCTCCCAGCCCTTTGTATCGAGATATTTGGTGTGGATCTGGAAGTGCGTCTTGATTTCTTCCAACTGGCGGATGCGATCCTGCAATTTGATGACCATCTCGGGGGCTCCTCGGAGGTCGCTGAAGTCGGACGCGAGCATGATCTTCTCGAGGCGCTCGCTTCGAGTCTTCTCCAAGGGCTCGTTGTACATCAACAAGTCCAACACGATGACGTAGATCGCATAGTACTGTGATGAATTGCAGATAGCTCTCGCTTGCGGGAATTCGACCCACAGATTGTCCATGCGGCTGTCAGATGAATCGTCGGATGGACTAGCGCCAGCCTCTCCAGTGTTGACCTCGTCATTGTACTTCAACCGCAGCGTGTTGTACTTATCATAACGCAGCATGGCCGAAGTTTTCTGCACGACTCGCTTGAATCCGAAGGGATCTGTCTGGAAGTCGAACATGACTTCCATGGGCACCCAAGGTGGCCAGGATGTTCCTTTGGGCGTGCCATAGGTGCTGCCCGAGTACATTGACAGCAACTGGGTGGAGAACCACTTCTGATGAGTGACGAAGAATTGAGTGCTGTCCATGCTCACCAGGAATCGCCTTTGGACCAGACCGCTCACGATATCCGAGATTCTGTCCTTGTCCAAGACCTCTACTACCTTCAACTCCATACCCTTTGCCGTGACCAGCACCACGTGCTTCTTGTTCTTGTCGCTCTGTAGTTGGATTTGCGGAGCAATCAAGCGAACATGGTAGCTGCTCTGCGGCGTGAAGCCATCAGCTATGCCGCCAGAGAGATCCTCCATGGAGACATTTGGCACACTCTCCTCCCCACCGCTCGACTCGTCAGCGTTGACAAACTTGCGACCATCCTGCAGGATTTTGCGGATTCTATCTTCAATATCCCTTGTGGTCTCCCTATCAAGTCCATTTCCGTTGGTTGATGCTGTTGAGCCAGTAGCGGGCGAAGCGGCATCGGCCTTGGCTTTGTTTGCCTTGAGTTTGGCCTGCTCCTCAACAATATCCAGGATAAACTTGACAGCGGGCCGGGAGAGATAGTAGACAAAGCCTCGTCGTTGACTGACTTGGTGGATATAGCGTAGAATAATATTCCTGAGAGTGTTGTTCCACTTGAGCTGCATATTATGGACCACAAAACGATTCTTGAAGTCGCTGGCAAAATCTGCGCCAGAAGGAATTGACATGGATTGCTCTCCCATCTTCATTGACGTTTCAGAAGTGCTGCCATCGCTACTGGAGCTATTTGTCCTTTCCTTGACGTCGCTCTGTACCGTCGAGACAGTCATCTGCTCAAGCATTCCCTCAAGGAATGACTTCTTGTCATGAAGAACATTGCTGTGTCCGGCAAGGGTTTCGAACTCGGTTTTGAGCGAGGGTTGACCGTCGCCGTCCTTGATCAACTTGAGCTCTGCCTCGCCTATGCTTCGGGTATGGTTCTCCATCTGCTTTTGTAATTGTTCTAGGCGATTTTGAACGAGCTGCTGCTGTACTCTCCGTGGGTCATCGTCTTGTGTCATGATGCACAGATGTGTAGGCTCTTGACCAAATGGGCTGGTTCTATCAGGGTCTCCATCAATAGCGCCCCCGATATCCGTTTGTCTGAAATAGGTGAGCCTTGGCGCATAGGCAAGGGGAAGAATTGTCGTGTCTGGGTTCGGCTCAGTAGGGAGAATCCAGTCGAGCTCGACGAAATCATCCATATCAATCCAGCTAAAGTCATTATCAGGAATTGTGAAGCGTGACAGATCCGTCCCATCATCGTCTTGATCAGTGACGAATGTCGACAGTGTATTCTTGTGAATAGCTTCTGTTGTTGTGCCCTTGATGCTAGCAGAGACAGCACGAACATCAGCTGAAGCTAGATCGAGTTGAGCTGAATGAATCTTCATTCCCGTCGTCCTGCTTTGGGTCTTTCTACCCTTGTCTCTAGTGTTGAACTCTTCGCGCCTCTGGTGAAGATCAAGCATGAAGCTATCAAACCGGACTTTGATACCAGTTGCCGAGACGGCGTCCTCCGAGTAATCTTCGACATCTTTGTGTTTATAGATATGGCTGAGGAAAAGCGGCGCAAGAAGGAGGTTGTACTTGATCGTTGCTAGGTGTCGGCCAAACTTCTTGCTGTTCTTCTCACGGCCGGGCCAAAGAAGACCTTGACGAATGGGAAGAGACATGGGGCCGCTGAACAGCGACCACCACGAGAAGAAATGGGTGAAGAAGCGAGGCGTCAGGTGGACAGTATTGTAACTGCGTGAAGGATCGACGTTGGATGACGTCCAATCACGATCGACTGGGGCTCTGACCGCGATTGACAGGTGGATGTGTTGGCTTCGGAAGCCACGGAACGCATCGTATGGTCTGCCATTTTCTCCCTTCGCATAATTCGGAGCCTTGAGAACGACATCATAATGGGGTTTGAAGTCGAATTTTCTCAGGCCATTACTGATAGCCTGCTCGAACACAAGACCAGCAAGCCACTGCACCTTACCAGAGAGCTTCATCACGACCTTCTTGAACGCAGCACCGGATTTCAGCGAGTCTTCGCTCATGAGACTATCATCCTCTCCACTACTGCGCGCAGCCTCTCGAGCATGATGACTGTAGTCAGGTATTGCCAGAACGTACTCTCCACTGTCTACCGTCATGAAACGCTTCGGATCGTCATCCGAGTGGATATTCCAGCGGACGTCGTTACGCCAGCACATGAGAAATCCAGCGCCCTTCCCAGTAACTTGGTAAGGGTCGCGCGCGCCTTTTAGAGCGAAGTGCACATCACCATCGCCTTTCCAAGCAACCCGGACTCGAGAGTGGAAGTTCAGTCGGATCTTGTCCCAGAAGCCAACGCGGTCAGACGGATCGAGTTGCGGTTTGGTAAATGACTCAATGACCATCATCATGTCTTGAATCGCAGGCTGGTAGGATGGACCCCATGTGATTCTCGTCGGTAGAGCCGTATTGATGTCAATGCTCATATCAGAGAACGACTTGACCGGACCAATAGTGCGTCTGACGTCAATGGCAAAGCTGCCCTCATGAGTGGCGCCAGGCTCAAGGCTCTTCGGAGGAATGATATTGACTCTTATCCGGCGAGTCGACTCAATGCCTCGGAATTCCTCAGCGATGACGAAATCAGTCCTCATCGACAGCGCTGGCAGCCGAGAAGACTGGCCAGATCGGATGGCTGGAACATGAAGAAGTGGCAGTGGATAATCTCTCAATGAGATGCGTGCTTCACCCATGTTAATCTGAACGTTCATGGGAATGAGTAACGAGTACTCCATATTACGAGGCATGCCTTTCCCAACTTTGTGAAGGAAATCAGGCAGTTCTTTCAGCGGGAACGAGGGTTTGTCGATAGTGAACTGGAGGTCATTGATGAGCGCGGACATGAGGGCTGGGCGCTCTGGGACCTTCAGAATTGCCTCGCTATCGTCTACATCGTCAGGCAACTGATCTGTTCCCCAGAACATATGGCGAATTTCCTTCATTCCATTTTGAGCCATTAGGTAGTGCCTGTCGATCCGCTTTTTCCAGCTTTGGGCATAGTATTGGTTCAGCTTATGCCGAGCCTCAGCAATGGTGACTTTGGCACTCCCAGTCATCCCTGAACAGCCGCCTTCAGGGTCATATCGTGGTGCACGTCCTCGAGGGTGGTTTTCGGACTGTGACCTAGGACGAGCATCCTCGCTCCGACTCCTTGCCCAGGAAGCCGAGTTGTTAGATCGGCCCCGGGGATTGACCGAGCGGGCCCGCAATTTGCTGGATTCTCTCCTTGCTTCTTCTTCATGAATTTTCTTCGATTTGACTCTGAAGGCTTCTTCACGAGCCAGCCGCTGTAACTGCTCGACCCGACCCGCGCGGTAGATCATGCCGAGCTTCCACTCGAACGCACCATCTTCTAGCTCAAACAAGAGCGTGCGGGTTCTGATAGAAATCTTCGGCACATTTTTCGGCCTTTCTGGGACCTTGTCGAGAATATACTCGTTCGTGCTGGTTTGAAACCTGTGGTGAAGCTGCTGCACTGACTTGAACACATTGATGAAGTTGTCAGATATCTTGTTGACGATGAGCTCGTGGGGAACAGCAACTCGCATCGCCTCAGATACAAAATCGAACATCTTCTCATCCACAAAGGCGCCAGCAGGAGTCTTGCGTCGGGATTCGCGGTAGTCAAGCCTGCCGCCCTTAATGCTGGCTATCCTAGCCCAAACCCTCCGCATCCGAGGAGCCTCGGAATACAAGCGTATGAGTTTCGAGGAGAAGAAGGGAGGCGCCCAGCGGTGACGGCCGGCTTCTAAATTATAGATTTGCAGCATGAGGGGTGGATCTGCCGGCATGTCTGCCTTGACTTGTGCAAATGCCACCTTGAAGTCAACAGCGACGAGCTCCGGAGCCGGCTTCGCCTCGTTTTCGTCAGCGAAGGGGTAGTCCGGCGACATTGGGGGACTCAGGTAGTTGGTATCAAATGTCTGTCGAACCGGTGTTCGTGTCCCGGACCGTGCTTCAGCAGCATCTTTGCTAGTACGGACAAACGCCTTTCGAAGGACGAGGGTGGCAACCCCGACCGCGTAGTGGCGGTATAGGGAATATTGTGCCAGTAGAGTCTTGACGTGGGAGTGTATGTGGAATATGGGGCCATGGCCATCACTCAGAGTCGAGAAAGCAACCTCGAAGCGCGGCACATTGACAAAAGGCTCGACTTCCCACTTCTCAGCAGACTCTACCACGAACGCTTCTAGTCCACGAACGTGGATTGCAAGACGACGGCCGTCACCCTCATTCTGGTGCTTCTTCCTCGGTGAGATCGGCACAGCCTTGAGAATGTCCGAATCCGGCGAGATACTAGTCCGGCTGCTTGCTCTCCTCCTAGCCGGTCTCCTGGGGATGCCGTCAGACCTTTGCGCCCGATATTCTGCTGACCATGACTCTAGCTGAAGAGCCACACCCCGGGTATCATCCGAGATCTCCTCATCAACACCAGCAACTTCTGCGCTGAAATCCGAGGCTTGAAGATGGAAGTGGAAGAGCCAAGGTGGCATAGCACGCAAGAAACTGGGATCCTTGCTAGTTTTCGAGACCGCTCGTTTGTCAGGCTCCACGTTGAGACGCAATTGTCGCACGATTTGTCGCAGCCCATCAGTGATCTCTGGCCGCACCATCTTGATGGAAAAAGTCTGGAGATTGCCCGTGGCGCTGACATGGACCTCTGGAGACGCGCTAATCTGAAGCTTGAGATCAAAAGATTCTGTCTGAAGAAGGTCGAAGCGGCTGCCGTCAAGAGTTTGGTAGTACAAGTCGTGAGTCTGCACACGCATTGTGGAGGCTAATGAGTAGTGCATGTCTTCGACGGCAGAATGGAATGATTCCATGTCGAGTGATATCGACGAGATTGAAGATATGATGAGGTCGAAATCATCAGGATCATCTGTCTTGAGTACAGGGGGTAGTGCTATGCGGATGACAGGCTCATGCATTGAGAACTTGATGTTTGCCTTTGGTAGTAAGCGAGAAATCAGAAGATGGCGTTGTTGCTGAGTATGAGCTCTGGGCGCTTTTGGACGAGATTGGAGCATGGCAAGAAGCAGTGGAAGATGTCGGGGGTCCAAGTCCACAGACGGAGATGTGACGACAGAGTTTGCGAAGAGAATATTGGCGTTTCGCTGCTCTGCGCTTCCAGCATCCGTGAGTTCGACCGTCTTGGATGGCAGTGTTGTCTTGACCGTTGTTGTGGCCATGGGCACATACATGATCCGTTGCGGCTTGCCATGGCCATCATCAACGCCAATTGAGATAGATAGAGCAGCGGCTAGGGCCTCATGTGCAATATCCTTCGAGGGGAAGTACATCCTGTGTGCAGGAGACTTAGGATCCAGCCTGTGGAGGTCGATACCAACCTCCTTCATAGATGCATTGAGTAATACTGGACTGCCAGAGGTCTTCACTGCTTCAATCTTCCTGGTAATTCCGAAAAAGCTGACGGCGAACTGGACTTCCTTGATGCCGCGGAGGATAGAGCTGACAAACTCCTTGGAGTCCGAGACGGTTTGCATGAGCTCATGGTCGGTGCTGCCCGGGTGATCAAGTTCCTGGATCACTTTGTCGACATAGTCGTCCATTGATTCGGCATCCAAGGATGGGTCAGCCACAGACTGTTGGAGCTGCTGCCACTTCTTAGAGCAAAGGACAATGTCATCGTAGGGTATGTGCACGCGACCCAATTTCAAGGCGACAGAGGCGTCCCGAAGTCCGTCCAGCTGTTCATACAGAAACCCATGAACATTCAGTGTAGTGTGGTCCAGAATCTCCAGTGATTCGTTGCCCTCTGCTGTGAACAGAACACTCCGTAAAGTCATAATCCACTCGGCTTGTTGCTTCTCCCGACCCTTGCCAGACCTTGTTCCTAGGAAGAATCGAGCTCGATCAACCATCTTCCGCCTGGTATCGACAGCCACTGTGAAGCTTCCGAACTGCACATTTCCCACATCAACAATGTTCACCGTCGAGTTCGTAGCCACCACATCAACCATCCGCAGCCAGTTCACGTTTCGGTGCAGTCTCTTGAGCCGCTCCTTGATCCGAGTGAGCTTCTTCCAAGTCTCGCTCCGCGGCACGCTGGCAGTGCCGCGCCGAATGAGCGGAGCCTTGGGCGTCTTGAGCAGCGGTTTCGTCTGTCCATTGTCTTTGGTGTGGTTCTTCGGGTCATCCTCGTCCTCCGGCTCAGCCTCGGCTGGTTTTTGGCTTTCGAGCTGCTGGACATCGACGGTCACGACCAGCTCGCTCACCACGACGCTGAGCCATGTCGGCTGGGCAAAGGTCGGGCGGTGGAGGTTGAGCCCCAGCCCGCGTATCTCGATCTTGAGGCCGTCACGAGGGGCGTATGCGATGCGTCGAAGAGAGAAGTAGCCGATGCGCTGGATCGAGAGGCCGGTGAGGATTCGAATGACGGCGAACAGTATGAAGGACGCGAGGTAGAGGACGACGAATATGCCGAATATGAAGGTAGGGTTGAGGAGCGCCATCTTGCACACTGCGCTCTACCGCGCGCGTCCTTCGGTCTTGTCTGCTGGGAGGACGGCTGTCAGTAGGCTGTTGTTGTTCGCCATTCACAATGATAGAAAGGAACCATACAATAGGAATGCCGGGGCTGTGGCATCTCCGGCCGCAATTCAGTCCAACAGATCGTGAGATCTCATCTCGAAGGTGCAATCAAGTCAGACGTCACAGCATGTATTTATTGTGCAGAGGTATCCAATGACCCGGGCGGCGTGCGTATCTTGGGAGGGCTCCAATGAAAGACGGGCACGCAGAAAGCAATCGCCTCGGGCACTCAGAACCCCGTTGGGAGCTTGCAACGGTGGGAAGTTGGCGATGAGGGGAGTTGCAGCAGGATGAAGGTCCATGCAGCGACGAGTGTAAGTGTGTAGAGGGAAAGGGGCGCCCCGGATGGCGGCTCGAGTCGCAAATATCTCGTGGACGGATTAGCACTAAATGGAGAGGGTGAGGGTCGAGATGGGCGGATCAAGTAAGCGTCACCGTCCAACTCGGTTAGTGCCGAATGGGTGCTGGGGCCCGCCCTATGTAAGTGCTACGTTAACCAAAAAGCTTAGAATCCGCCGGCCCTTCAGGTTACCTTGGGTACAGTACTGTACCGTACCGTACAGACAGCAAGTTACGCCCGGCCACAAAGAGCTTGGAATGTGTGCACTGGGGGGGGAAAGCTCTGCACTACTAGATAAGCCAGCTAATACGGTAAAACAAAGGCCCTAATGACGGGCCTGCCACAGACCATCCTGACACCGTCCACCTGCTGCTCCGAAGCTCCCCAAACAAGGAAGTGACTTCGCTTTCGGTGTCGCTGTCAGTGGTGGACCGTGGTGGTGATGGTGGGTGCACGCCAATCTGCGTCAGGAGCTCGAATCAGAGAGCGCCCTGGAATTTGTGGTTGGGGCCGAGTCTAGCCTCTTTACGCCAAGCTCAGGGCCTTCAATTCCAAAGCCATCGCATCCCCGTACTGCGTACTGCGTATGTCTCCAGTCCCGAACCCTCTCATTCTCTCCGCATTCACCTGATCAATCAAACGCTTTGCTTGTCACGGGAGCCCATTCTTGACACCTGGCCCCGGGAAACGTGAAAACGCCGTGACTTAGACCCCCACGCGCCGCATGTCTTGATTGGCATGTCTCTCAACGCTCCATTCGTAGCTCTCGCTCAACTAAACAAAGAAAAAGGAAAATAGAAAGAAGGGATGTCTGGTAGGTAGGTATGCGTGGAATAGATTAGTGACGCTTCTTTGACGAGTATGTGGGTGACGTGGCTATCAACGGGAGACGTAGGTCCATCTCATGCATCCATCCATAACGGACATGTCGGCCATCCTTGATTTTGACTTACCTCACTAGTCTGTCTAGTGTCGAGCTGTTTACTGTAACGAGACAACCCAAATCGATCAAGATCACGTTACGCTTTCAGAAGCATGAGGCCTTCTCGCTCCGTATCGCGAGACGGGTCCCCGAATTTCGCCCGCGTCTGCCGGGACTGCCGGAAGGCCGGACCCGTAACCCTAAACCCCAGTGCCCGGCGGCCCGTAACCCCCTTTGTTGGCAGCCTGCTAAACAGGGACATCATATTGGCAGAGCAAATATGAAATGTTTGTGAAGATCTACGGAAATACAACGATCTAATTGAGTTGCGGAGAGGTTCGAAGCTTGACTCTTCGACGGGTTTGTAGGTATATGAAAGGAAGACCACCTGCAAGATGCCTCCGTAGGCCTAGAGACCGCCTAAAGATGGCATTCGCTTTCTGAAACTAATTTTGCGGCATTTCTTACCGACTCCGAAGTATTCCTATCACGGAAGCTGACACTGAAACTCAAAGACATAATGTCCTACACTAGTAGATATCGGCAGGTGAAGGAGGTTAGGGACGTTCTGCTCCGGCGTCAGCATCAGAGCGGAGCCGCTGCTCTCCGCGATCTCCTCTCTGGGATAATTCGCCATTGTAAATCCTTCTCTGGTCGGAGCTTTCTGGTCTAGAGATGTAAAAGATTTGTAGATGACAGCTAGGCGTTCCTGAATTCGTTATGGCGTTGCTAGTCCCACAAAATTACAACACGTCTGAGAGGTCGATCCACCGCGGTCTATGAGATCATTGCCCCCTCCACAATTACATCAAGATGCTTCAAATGTGCAGGTGAAGAGCCCTCAGCATGACGTCGATAGGAATCTCTCACTTTAGATATAATAGAAGCTCTAAAGTATTTCAGACACTGTCGTGTCTTGAGATTGATGATTTGACAACTTGAGATATTTGTAAAATTGCAACATTTGAATTTACACACAATGGCACCCACCAGCGAGCAGCTCCGCGATATCGCCAACCAGGCCGAGCGGGACCTCAACACCTACCAATCGAAGCAAGGACTCAACAATTATTCCGGAAGTGATGATGCTGGAGTCGATTCCGGTGTCGAGAAGAATTTTCCCGGTGCTGCAGTGAAGTACCACCCCGATCTCAGCACAAATTCCGGCTATAATCGCCGCATTCCTCCTGAGGAGGGCGGTGACCTAGACGCCAGAGGACGGTACGCATTGAATCTTCTGAAAACCTCGAATTGCTGGCGACTAACTTGGCAATAGGCAAACCAAAGGCTCTGCTTTCGAAGGCACGGGCGGCCCAGAGGACAAGCTCGCCGAGAGACAACGAGATTTCGGTGGATACGACGACAATGACGCCCTGCCACGCGGTGTTCTCGGCAGGGGTGGTGTTGAGGCGGGGCGGGAGAGCGGTGACATCCTTGAGCAAGGCAGCAGCGCATCGAGAGCCAATGTCGGGCGTAACCCACCCGGGCCGGGAGGCTCCAAGTTCAAGGGCTCTGAGTACTATCAGCCAGAGGACGTACCTGACAGCATTGCCGCAGAGGGTTACGTGCCGCCCGAGAGCGTGGTCGAGCCTTCTCGAGAGACTGAGTTTTATGAGCGACGTTGAGAAGAGTGGTATATGTAAGATAGTCAATAGTGATATGAGCTCCCACTTGGATGGTTGAGCTTATTAGCTACAAGTAAATGGGAGGAAAGTATCCGGGTATATTTGCAATCCCACATTCTATGCAACGCCTTGAGTAGTGATACACCTTATGAATACACTGCAGCTGCTCCATGTTAAGCCTTACTCTTCGGAGGTGCGCCCGTGCTCGGCTCTTTGTTCTCCTGTTTCTTCCCTTCCGCCGCCTTAATTGCCGCGATGTTGTCGTCGATGATGGCAATCTCTGCATCGATTCTTAAAATCTTCTCCTCTAGGAGTGATTCATACTGCTTGTCAGTGAGCGGAGTGAGTGGACTCCATTTCGAATCGAGCCAGCTCTTCTTATTCTTCCTCTGCTCTGCCCGGCTCTCAGCGGTGCGAGCGTAGGCATTGTAAGCGTACTGCCCTCCAGCGCCGAGCAGGGAAAACACGATTGCTCCTGGCACGAGGTTCTTCGGCCCGCCTGGAGACATATTAGTCTTTGTTACTTCTAGTAAAAGATTTGCAACCTACGGATTAGCCCGCCGACCAGCCCTGCAGAGCCGCCAGCAATGGTGCTTGCCTTGACCATGTCCGACGAGGTCATGTTCTCTTCGCCCCCCCAAGCCGTAGTCACAATTTTCTTGGACGCTGAATGTGGATTAGTCTTAGGAGTGGTTTTGAAGTTGTTTAATAAATGACCTACCTGTGTAGCTTGATCCGAGGGTAAACCATTGGAACCCGGAGAAGAGACTGAAGAGAACTGGAGTTGTGTTGCGCATGATGCCGCCAACGGCACCAACAAACAAGCCCACGCCACCAGCTGCAGCTCCGACCTTGAGGCTGGGATAGAGGATATCCATGATCTCCGGCGGGAGGGCCAGGCTGGGATTGTTGCTCCTAGGCCGGCGCGGCGCGGCATCTGACGAAGGTTGTTGAGACATGGCTGTATGCTCTTCCCCTTGAAAATCCAAAACCAGTTGTATGTTGAAATTCAGATGCCTGCATTCATTCGTACATCCTCATGATCACACATCCACTCAACCAAGGATCTCAAAGCGTCCCTGATACGCCGCTGATGAAGATGGAGATGCACGCACCGTTGGTTGCCGTTACGTTACGCCTGTCCAATGACGGAGATCGGGATTACGGGCATATGATATGTATGTAATTCAGATAATTAAACAGGAGTGCCTCTTTAGATGCATGCATGCCCACAATTTTTGCGGTTCAATTTTCCGCCTTTTTCGATCTGGCCTTGTTGGACCCCCCTGCAGTTTCCTGTTTGTGCTTTTTGGCGGTAGAGAAGAGCCCCCCTTCTGGGATGGACCTCAGACGGTGGGCGCTAGGCCCGGCGGGGCTTAGTGGATTGAGCGCCTCGCCCACTCCTTGCTGGCTGGTGAAAAAATGTCCAACCCTCATTCACCTCCATCGTCTTCAATTTTTGCAGCGCCCGAAAACCACTTTCGTCAATTGCTGCTGCGCTGCTGCATCCCCCAAGATCACCCTCCCTGCCCGCATCTGCGAACTTCGGGATCCCCGCTCCCCTTGACGACAACACAATCCCTCTGTTCTGTACCAATCGCACCCAGCCGATTGGTTGCAGATCCGCCTGCGTCTATTTCTCATATCTGTCCGTAGCCGGGGAAGACTTTTTGTCTCGGCTGCCCCCCCCCCTTGACTACGCGCTACGATAGGACGTCGTTGCGCGTGGCCACCAAACCGCAATCATGCGTAAGCCCTCACCCGCCGTTGCGCAGAAGGGCACTCGCACTGACTTGGCTCTGATATAGCTCCCAAGAAGAACAAGGAAGTTCAAAAGCTTTCTTATGGAGAATTCATGCAGGATTCCTGTCAGTATAGCCCCTCTTCCTGCCTAGTCTGGCCTGCCAGCCTTTCGTCGAGGTCGCGCTCGGAGGCCGACTTCATCCCAATCTGAGGATATACTGACCATGCATACAGCCTATGGAGGATCTTGGGCTGATGAAGTAGAGGATACCTATGGTGAGTCCTTCAATCATTTACTGACGTCCTGCTCGCAGGTGCTAACATTGCTACATAGCCTCCGGTATGCTTTGTCAACCACTTATCTGCGTGCGCGAAAGACGGTCTACTAATGCTTCACCTCAGGAACTCAGCCTCTCCCCCCATCTGAACGCCGCATGGGCGGTGGTGGTTTCGGCGGATCTAGCTTTGGTGGTGGAGAACGATGTATGGATGCGTGATATATACTATCGTCGAACATGAGCTGACATTTCTTCAGCCTACGCTCAGCGCGACTCCTTCCCCCAGCGAATCCCCGACAAGCCGCCTTACACTGCCCATCTCGGCAACCTGTCCTACGATGCCACCGTCGACACCGTAACTGACTTTTTTGCTTCATGCGAGGTCGTCAGCGTCCGAATCGTTGAGGACCGTGAGCAAATGCGACCCAAGGGATTCGGCTATGCAGAGTTTGCAACCCCCGAAGGCCTACAGAAAGCCCTCGACCTTGACGGCGAGAGCTTCCAGGGCCGAACAATCAGAGTCAGAATTGCTGATCCTCGTACGTCCCATCCCAAAAAACCTTGACCCACATATGATCCACATCCGATGAACTCACTAACCGGCCACTAGCCAAGGGAAGGGAAGGCGGCGACTCCAATCGCGATCTCAGTGACTGGACTCGCAAGGGTCCATTGGCAGATCTGCCCAGCCGAGGCGGCGACCGTCGTCCTCCCCGTGATTTCGGCGAGCCTCGCGCCCCTCGTGAGGGTGGTCCCGTCGACGATGGCAAGATCCGCGACTTTGGGAACTGGGAGAGAAAGGGCCCGTTGTCACCGCTCCCGCCTGCTATGGAGCGCCAGGGTTCACGCGAAGGAAGCCGCCCTCGCACTATCCAGAACAGAGACGACCCCGCGAGGAACCGGAGAACATCACCAGCAGCCTGGGGCCCTAGTGAAGGCCGCCAAGAGGGCTCACGTCCTCCTCGCCGTGACTTTTCAGATCGCCCGGAGCGACCAGAGCGAGTTCCTACCGCCGCTGAGAAAGACATGCAATGGAGAAGTAGCATGCGACCTGATGCGCCCGCCAAGTCACCGGGACAGTCAAGAAGTGGAAGCGAGGCACCGCCATCACCTGCTCCCGCCGCTGCCGTGCCGGCTTCTCGCCCCAAGCTGAATTTGCAGAAGAGAACGAACAAGCCTGACTCACCGGATGTGCTGTCGCCCCCTCCGGCTTCTGCCGACCCCAAACACAACCCCTTCGGTGCTGCCCGCCCGATTGACACAGCTGCCCGAGAGCGAGAGATTGAGGAGAAGAGGGTGCAAGCACTCAAGGAGAAGAAGGAAGCCGATGAGAAAGCAAAGGAAGAGCGGCGTCTTGCCAAGGAGGCTGCGGCGAAGGAGGCTGCTGAGAAAGCAGAGGCCGAGGCTTCCAAGGAGGCTGTCGAGGAAGAACCCAAAGCAGAGGAGACACCGGTTGAGGCTGCGGCAGAGACCGTTGATGCGCCGGAGAAAGCGGCCAAGGAAGGCGAAAATGGTAGTGCTGCTGAGCAAAAGATCCCAACAAGACCCCGCGAGCCACGGGAGCCCAGGGAGAACGTGCAGAATCCCAAGTCTGCGCGAGCTGCTGAGAGTGGTAACTGGAGATCAGCTTCTAGCGAACAGAAGGGTCCTCGAGGTGCTCCCACCGGTCCCCGTCGTGGTGGTGCTGGCGGTCCGCGGGGCGGACGCTTCGCCGAGGGAGGTCGACCTCCTCGAGCCAACGGTGGCCAAGCTGCTGCCTCTCAGGCAACCGGCGCGGGTGAGCCATCGACTCCTACCCAAGATGAGGACGGTTGGACCACCGTCGCTGCACCGAACAAGAGCCGTCGCGGTCAAGGTCGCCCTGTTGCTTAACTGTACGATACTTCAGATCTTCCGGCTGTTTAGGTCATCACGTCTCGGGAACAAGAAAAGTTTCACCTCTTTCATCCTTCATCGTTCTATTGTCGAAAGCAGCATCGTGACATATGCATCGACTCATTCAAGCCCTAATTTGCCTGAGATTCCAAACAGCGTCCTGATAATTCCGTCAAACTTGCTGCATTGGATACCTCCACTTCGGCGTTTGCCTCCTTCCACGTACATAAATTCGTTCCTCTCTCTTTTCGTACGCTTATCGATGGCAACTTCCGCATGTTCTTTGGCATCAGTTTGAGACCCGCTTTGCTTTGCGTTGCTTTCCAATTCATGAACGTGGTATGCGGATACGGCCGTGATGACACATCGAGGATGGGGACAAACGACCAGCCATTAATAGCAACAGCACAGATTGGCTGATGGCGACGACTCGTATGGACCATTTCGGCATCGACGAAGTCGGCCATTCGAAGCCTAAGGTCACTGAACGGCCTGATATATTCTACTATTTTCCCTCTCCGAGACTTCAATGGACTATATCAGTGCCATGAAAGGCCTTCAATCAACTTCCTGGTATAGTTCCTCTAATAGCCTCTTCACCCGGTTTTTTTTTCCTTTGCCAAACACGGACGGCTGCGAAAATTGGACTGGTCCGGCCGGCTCATTTCATCGCACACGGCGATGATGGTACGCTATGATGGAGGACAGGGCCTTCATTGTTTTTGCTTTGGTCTGATCCAGCTGCGGTGACGCGAGGCTGTGAGCGTCTCATCGATTTGTTCGTCAGAACATGCAGAGAATGGTCTGCAGTGTTGCTTCTCGGTGGTTGCAAGTGTGGCTTTCTGCGATGTGGCATCTTGCCCAAATGGCTTCTGCTTCACGTCTCTCTTCTCGTGCGCATCTTACTTAGACTTGGTACAAGGAATGAAAAAGTGCAAATTCAGATATTTCGTTCATCTAATACACGGTGCCTCTCAATTCGTATGCAAAACAAGCAAACTGACTCGAATGCTCATCAAGCTGGTATGATATATTAGACTTCAGTGTAAGTGGCGATGAAAACCTCACAATCAATGCAGCGATTAAGGCTGTCTTAGATTTCAATAATGGTATCTACATGTAACTACTTGTTATGAGAACTTTCAGCCCAGCTTCCACCCGTCATGCAGCAAACACATCACCTCTTCAGCGTCTTCTGCTTCTCCGCATCCCGCGCCACATTCCGCCCCTCAACCATCATACCCTTGCGCCGACGAACCTTGTCCATGTACCTCTTGGCGACGTTCTCCTTGTCTGCCAGCTCGCCCAGATCCTCGAGGTCGTCCTCCGTGAACGGCACCCAGAATGGGTCCTCATCTAGCACCTCGAAGCCCGTGAAGATGAGCTGCGGCTGTGCCGCGCCGCTGGTGCGCTTGCGCATCTCGTCGGCGAACCCGAAGGACTCGGCCACGGGGAGGACGGCCTGGATCGTGAAGAACGGCGTGCCCTCCTTCATGGACTCGGATAGGACACGACCGCGGCGGCGGGTGAGGACATCGTAGACACGACCCAGAACCTCGGCTATTGGGAGGAGATAAAGTTAGCATTGGCGACGGACTGAACAAAAGTCGGTATTAAGAATGACTTACTGCTTGCTTGGATCTCGACGGAGTACATGGCCAGCATAATGCGGGCCGACCAGTCCAGGAAGCCCTTGTGAATGGATTGCTGTACAGTCTTGATCACCTCTCCCGTAAGTCGTCCTAGACTGTCTCTCGCCGAGGCCTCATCGTCTGCTGTGTTGATGGTAACTTCGTCAATGAAGACCGCGATGCCTTCAACTGGCTCATGGGCAAGGGGTCCCTGCTGGGTGGCTAACTGGAAAGCATATGTAATCTTGTCGGAGAAGTGCCGGCCATGTAGCTTCTCATTTACATTGGGGCTGTCATCACTGTTCTCGTCAGCATCGAATGCCTTTGGCAGACAACCCTCTTTCGTCATGTCGATCAGCAGGTTCGGCCCTATCCTTCTGGGCCCAAATGCCGATATCTGGTCCACAACGTTCTTCCACGTCTCTCTACCCTTACCAGTCTCTAGCAGAGACTTCAATTGGGTCTTCAGATCTTCAACTGACAGGCACTTTGCCTCTGTGACATCAGCTTCCTCGTCGATAGTATCTTCTTCCCCGTTGGACTGTGTGGCATCATTACCATTTGCCCCTATTCCGTTGCTGGCTTTCTCGCCCGAATACAGATGCTTGATAGCACCGGCATTCTTGTTGAGGAAGTCTGTCACTTCAGAAGGCAGTGGCCTCACCCTTAGAGTGACTGACACCTGCTTCGAGCTGGTCACACCCACGACAGCTCCCCGTCCAAGTTCCTTATTCACCGGCGGCCGCATCTCTTCTGCCCTGACGGTGGTTTCCCTATACGGAACAATCGCCTCACCAGCTTGGATCTCGCATCGTGCGAACCGCTCTCGCAAATCCGTCAAGCAGCGTTCAAGATGCAGCTCACCTGCTGTGAGCAGGACATGCTCGCCACTGGAGAAGTGTTCGTACTCCGCGCATGCGTCACTCTGAACCAGTAGTTTTAGTCCGTTGATCATCTTGTCCAGGTCGGCGGGATTGACTGGCTCAAGAGCTACTCGAACAATTGGTCGACCACCCATATTCGCGACGCCAGCTAGATTGACTGCACCGTCAAGCCTTGAACATAGAGTACCCGACTTCAAGATACCCGAACCTTCTAGGCCACCAATACCAAAGACTACACCTGCTGGAACGGAATCTAAGCTTTCTAGATTTCGGCCCATCAGCATATAAAGTGCTTCAACCGTCACTTTCTTTGGTACTGGGTTTTGGTTCGGCTGTGCGGGAGAAAACTTTGGAGGAAGGACGTAAATCTCATCTCCTACGGAGAGAGTACCGGAGTAGATACGAGCGAAGCCTATGAGATGTTCAGGGTCAGCCCCCTGCTCATCTTTCGCGGGCTCCTCGTCTAGGGTCGCTGTCTCTAGGGCGGTAGCCAATGCGTCGACGGGGCCAGCGCTTTCGACCGCTGCTTGCGCCCTAGCTGCCTCTGCACGCTTCTTTCGAGCGAGCTCTCTTGCCTCTTCTGGACTGAGTGGCCCACGGCGCTTATTTTGTGGCAGCTCGCTTTCTGGTATGGAGACCATTTTGCTAACGTATGCGACAACGGGATCGGACTTCGCTGTCTTGAATTTGACCATGGCTTCCCGTACAGTGGGGTCAATGTAGTCTGAGCCAGGTGATGAATCAAGGAGTTCGGGTAAACGCTCAGCTTGCGCTGTCCGCGGTGACGGGAGTGATTCCACAACTGAGACTAACAGCGCCGTTGATAGCGGGAGCCAAGAGGAGAAGACAGTGGTCAAAAGCAATCGCGTGTCCTTTGACCTCATGACGTGTGGCGGAATGGTTATGTTGAGACCTTTTGTGATCTTCTCCAACAATACCGGATCGCCCTTCCCATGATCTCCCCCAGTGGTGGCGTTATAGGCTGCCCATATTTGCTCCAGCACAAGCTGTACAAACATGGGCTTCAGGTTCCTCCCTTTGAGATGCTTAGGCCCGAGAACCTTCTTTGTCTTCGGATCCAGATAAAAGTTTCCCCATAACACTTTCTCCATGATGTTTCTCTTAATTCCCAGCTTCTTCTCGTACAGTCCTGCAAATTGTCGGACTGTGAAGGCCCACCCGTCGATAGCACTGCCAAAGATAACGTTGTTCTTCTCTGGTGCGAAGTAAATCTCTTCGTCGTCTCTTTCTTCAAATTGCAGCTCGCCAGATTCGCTCTGTTGATCTACTAATTGGGCCTCCTTGGCGGCAGCGGCTTGGACTCTTTCCTCCATCCTTTCTCGCCAGTTGAGATCTTCCTCCATGCGCTCGCCCTGGAAAAAGCTCCCTAAGACAGCATTGACCTGTTCTAGGAGTTTGCTGAGATGTATGTATGCCTCGCCTGGGGTCATCTTGAGTTCAGTGACCAACCTGTCCATTTTGTTGATGACCAGAAGAGGTTTTAGCTTTTCTGTCCAGCTCTGTCGAAGGACAGTGACTGTCTGACTGCACACTCCTTCAACGGCATCTACAAGAACCACAGCTCCGTCACATAGACGAGAGGCCGTTGATACTTCACTGCTAAAATCGATATGGCCCGGCGAGTCGATCAGGTTTATGAGATACTCCTTCGGCTCAGGGGCAGCTTCAGGGCTGGACCTCCTGAGCATGTTGAAGAAGAGAGAGATGGCAGAAGACTCCATGGTAATTCCTCGGAGTTGCTCGTCCGGCCTCGAGTCTAGGTACCGGATCTTGCCGGCCATCTTCGGTGAGATGATGCCGTTTGTGGCGATGAGGGCATCTGTGAGGGACGTCTTGCCATGATCCTAAATTATCATTTAGCCTATGCGCCTACAACTATGATCTATCGTATATATCTTTCACTTACAACATGGGCTAGAATGCAAATCTGTACAATATTAGTTGCAGTTGACAAACAAAGAGGATGAGATGATATCTTACATTTCGAACATCATCAGCATGTTGCTGGAGCTTAGCCAGCTTTTCAGGACTGACGACCGGCATCTTGACTCTGTTCGGCCTTTATGATGCTTCCTTGAAGAGCAAATGGGAAGACTTGCAATGAGGCCACTTAATATGGCGTGGAAAGCATCAGGGCCAGGACAGCGATGTTGGACTCACGATGAGTAACACTGACGAGAAATCTCGATGCAGTCGGTGGCGGGGCAAAGTGACATCGCCTATCGGCGGCAGTGTTAGGCTAGATCTCTTAATTGGTGCGGTCCGCAGGCAAAGCGCTAACAGTCACCCGCCCGTATCTTGTATTGGAGGGGCAACCAGACAGAGCACCTTGCCTTCTCGCCGTGACTGTACAGACACCCTTTCTTCTGGGTTCAATACTGCTGTTGATAAATTATTCTCAGTGTGTATATTGTGCTCGCAGTATCTCCTGATTCAGATTATCAGCCTGTTCTTCTCATTGGCGTGAAACTCGCAAAATTCATTGCATATCTTCGACATGCTTGAAGCCGTTTTATGCCACTAGCGGGAAGCTTGAAATTTTAGGCGACACCAAATTAGGGTTTTTGATTTTCGAAATATTCGACGCGCCCAAGCCCCTCAAAATCCACGACCCCGCGACGACGAGAACGAGGAAGATCCCATCGATTTCCTCGACACCGGCAAGAATTTTGCGGCTTCGAACTTGTCTTGATCAAATTTTGACAAGATGAGCGGTTTTCAGAACGGCGCCACGCCCGTCCGGGCCATCGACAACGACAGCGATGTCGAGGAGGAGGCCTTGGTCGCGGATTACCAGGAACAAGTCCAATATGAGGATGGCTTGGAGGATCTGGAACAGGTCAACTCTCTGACCATGGCTCAGCAGACTGATGACATTCAGTCAAGATTGGCAGCTGCTGCTCAACCCTTGGACTTCTCAGCGCCTCTTGAGGTCAAGTTCCAGAGCTACGATTCATACTGCAGCTTGTTCCACTTCATCCTCAACTCTGACGGTCCCGTGGACCTGGAGCCCCCATCTGTGAGTGCCCACGCAGCTTTCGAGACTACGCGGAGAGGAACTGTTACTGACATACAGGCAGTACTATTGGGCCTGGGACGTGATCGACGAATTCATTTACCAATTCAACTCCTTCTCCTCCTACCGTAACAGAATCGCGAGGCAAGCAAACAACGAGGAGGAAATTCAGATTCTGCGAGAGAATCCCAACACATGGGGATGCTACAGTGTTCTTAATGTCCTGTACTCGCTGATCCAAAGATCGAACATCACCGAGCAGCTGGCTGCTATGAGGCGAAATGAGGAACCTATGGCCGTGGCCGGAGAGTACGGCTCCAAGAACTTGTACCGAATGCTTGGATACTTCTCCATCATCGGTCTTCTTCGAGTCCACACTCTTCTTGGAGACTTCAGCCTCGCTCTTAAGACGCTCGATGACATTGAGTTGAACAAGAAGGCCATGTTCGCTCGAGTGATGGCAGCTCACTTCACGACGTACTACTACGTCGGTTTCTCCTATATGATGATGCGCCGCTATGCGGATGCCATCCGCATGTTTAGCCACATTCTCGTCTATGTTTCGCGGACGAAGAATTTCCAGAAAAACGCGCAGTACGATTCGATCACAAAGAAGAACGACCAGATGTACGCTCTGATCGCCATCTGTGTCGCGTTCCACCCCACTCGCCTGGATGACACCATCCACACCGCTCTGCGCGAGAAGTACGGCGATCAGCTGCTCAAGCTCCAGAGGGGCGGCCCCGAGTCGCTGCCTATCTTTGAGGAGCTGTTCCGCTCAGCATGCCCCAAATTCATCTCCCCCGTACCCCCAGACTTCGACAACCCGGAGTCCAACATTGACCCCATCGAGCACCACCTGTCCATCTTCATGGACGAGGTCAAGACCAACATGTGGAGCCCCACGGTCAAGTCCTACCTCCGCCTCTACACGACTATGGATCTGAAGAAGCTGGCTGGTTTCCTGGAAGTCAAGCCTGAGGAGCTTCGCTCTTGGCTGCTGGTGAACAAGCAGCGCACCAAGCAGCTGCGCTGGTCCGACCACGGGCTCTTGGAGGGCGACTGGGTCAATGTTAGCGACCTTGACTACGCCATGCAAGGTGTAAGTACCACTACCACCATTCCACCATCCCCCTACATTCGTTGTGCTCGGAGATTTTTGTGTAACACGTGTGCTGACGGCATCTTACAGGACTTGATCCACATCTCGGAAGCTAAGGTCGGCCGCAAGCTGGTGGACTGGTACCTCCGCAACCTGTCGCGCACGTACGCATAGAAAAAGACAGGGAAGGGGGGGTGGATAACAGGAAAGGAAGATAGATCTGCTATCGGACGCTCCCGCCAAATCATCTTGTTATCTTGTTAGTCATGTTGTAATTTGGGGCAAGTGGTTTCGCGCAGGTTGCTCTTTATCAGCTTGCATTGCATTGGCGTCTCGGTAACGAGGGAATCAGGAACGTGCGGTGCGGATGGTTTGGCAAAACACAGAATCCTTGACGATGGCACCCTCTCCGCCATAGACCTGGACAGTGGATGGACGGATGGACACGCCGGTTTGGAGGGGGCCCCAGGGGGAACTGTGAACCGAGAGCAGAGCAAAGACTACCGACCACCACTAGGATAGGCTCCACAAGGAACGAGCCGCCCTATATTAAATGGAATAGAAATCCAACGTCAAACCATTCTCACTGGACAGGTCGCCTGTGTATCTACAGCGGCCAAAGCTCCTTGCATGTCATATCCATGCTGCTGCTGCTGCTGCTGTGAGTTGTCTGTGGGTGATCTCATAACCTCGTACATGAGGTGTGCATATCCGTACGTGAGTCAGTCAAGTCAAGCCAGCCAGTCCGAGGGGTTGCTTTTCTCAGCCGCGTATCGGTATGGCTGGGGGAGGGGCAGCATCTACATGGGAATAGTAGGGTATGACAGCTGGCAGACGCAGGAGACGCAGCGCCCGCAGCTCCGCGATTTCACCGCTCGGGATACGCCCAAACTCCGTACATCGGGGAAGAGGAGGAGGAGTCGAGGAGGGCCAGGACCTGCCCTGCAGAAGGAGGCTTGCATCCGGATGGTGGAGTGTGAGCAGAGCTCCTCACCTCATACGCGCGCGCAGCACCAGCATCTTTCCCATACTCTACGGTACCTCGAAAAAGATGATAGATGATATCTCGTTGCCAAGACCCCAGCCTGTGCCGTTTCCGTTTGTCGGATCTGCACAGCACGGCGGCCATTTGCCTGCCAGATAGACGGATGCTCGTAGGAGCTCGTCCTCCCTCCTCCTCTGTGCTCCTGCTGCTCATCCTTGTACATGCTTTGCTTGTCGTCAGAGCTCTCCATACTACGTGTACCTGTCTGTTGTTGCCTTCGGAGTAGCTCGGGACAGCTATCTGCGACAACTCGTCCTACTGGACGGATGCTTATTGAGGTCGGTGAGGCTGCATGCTGCAGGCCTCGCGACTAGCTGCAGGAAGGTGATGCCATCTACCACGGCCTGTAACCATGAGTCTATATGTAGGTTGTACGTTGTGGTGTAAAAAAGAATTGATTGACTGAATTACTGAGTTGAATGAGTGAATGAGAGCTCCCAGACTAGGCACGCAGTGGACTAGCGAGCAGGGGGTGGCCCGCCCGTCATCGCTTCGGCACGTACCGCCCTTGTCGATATCATATGCCAATTCGAAGATCAGAAGTAGTCTGGCTGGGTAGATAGTAGAACAAAGGAGCAAGGAGAAAATGGCCGGCCGGCACGCGCATCCGCTCTATCCAGACCGCCAGGAGTCGCCGACGACAACGATACTGAGCCGATCCATCGCGAAGCATCTACGGGGCGCCGCTGCACCCAGCTGCGAAGGTTGGTAGGGCACAGCTGTGCTTGGCTGGAGGGGCCCCGGGGTCTTGGCCTGCGCCGGCATCTGCCCTCCTACACTACCAATGTATGTACGCCGCACGCCGCGGCAGCAGGATGTTCAGCAGTGTAGGGGGTTTCTCAAGCAAGGCAGGGCAACTAAGGGGATAGGACGGCACCATTTGGCCCTCGGAGAGATCCAGACCAAGGCCAGAGACCAAAAGACCACGCAAGAAGGGCGAGAGATGGCGGGTACGGCACCGCCTTTGCACGCAGGCTTCCTTGGCAGTGGAGGGCTGCCAAGACGCGTTAGCTGGGGCCAAGAGCTGTGCTGTGCAATAGCTGTGTCGCGGGGTTGTCAAGATGGTGTGCAAGACAGCCCAGGTGCCAGGATGCTGTTTGGGCGGCGTATCAAGTGAAGGAGGAGCTTGGCTGGGTACCGCAGTCATAGCATCGGGGTCGGGGCCGGGGTCTAGATAGAAGAAAGAATGAACAGAGGCTGGCACGGAGTAATGCAAAGGAGGCAGCATGGCCTGCCTGACTGATGGATGATGATTGCTCCCTTTCTCGGTGAGCCCCCTTGCGTTATTATGTGGTGTATGTCATTATCGTAAGCAGCGTAGGTGGATTGATACTTCAGCTGTGAGTGAGTGATGTGTCCAGTACCAGTACTCCTCCGTACCAATCTCATCAAGCTTTTCAGGTCTCTAGTCCATGTGAAGAACACGATGTCATGTTTGATCTGGCGTGGTCCAAGCCCGGCTAACATAACAGGGTCCTCGACGTATAGTGACATAACGTGCCGTTCCGGACCCCGGCCAGTTCATTGTCGCTATACCTTTGTGAGATAGCGACATGGCGGAGGAAGCACATCGAATTTCGTTCGAGAAGGATACGGTAGTTGTTATTATATCGCTGCCCATAGCTGGGTTCTGTCACCGGCCGGCCCTTTCGCTCGTAATGAGAAGAAGAGGGAGGTACTGTACCTATGTAATATGATGAATAGATAGGTCAGGTCAAGTCAAGGTATTCTTCAGCTATCTACTTGCCCAGTCAGGTAGCTTACAGTATTATAGACAATCTTCTCCTTGTTATTCAAGATGTGAGGGAGCTCTTGGCAACCACCACACACCACATCGCGCCTACCGACCTACCGTACCTACCTTACCTACTTCTTTGCAAAGACCGTGGGCCCGCTGTTGTTCATCTACCCTACCACATCCACCTTGCTGCCTTACCTCCTCCTTTTCTCTTCCAAACGAGAAATTTGCAGTGTGTTTGCAATCCATCCTCCCTTGAAGGAGCCTCCTCGTGCGATTTTACGGGATTTTGAAGCTTCTTGTCTGGCCGGAGCTTATCAAGCTGCTGCAGCACAGCTTTATCTCGTACTACATCAACCTTTCGACTTTGGCGCAGTGCAGCGCAGCCGGAGACAAATATACTTCAGGCCCATACATCATCTCTACCGACCCGTACCAAACAACCAGCATACCTTACCTCACCTCATTTGTCTGCCTACTCCTCCTTACTCACAACCGCACCTCTTCGATCGTCCTCGCAAGCCACCCTCTTTTTTTTTGGTGTTGTCGGGTTTCAACCTCTTTTGTCGCCTCGATCGCCTCTCCAACAAACTCACCTGACGCCGAGCTCCGTCAGCCGAGCGAAAGCGAAGCGAACCCTCCTACGACACACCTCCATCCAATCTCAGGTTTCTATTCCTCGTGGGGCCAAAGCTACCTTGACCTACCTACCTACCTACCTACCTACCTCCCGACCTACCGACATCTGTCTACCTGCTCAGCAAGTACCGGGCCAAGAGACAAGAGAGCTTTGCTTGCTCTCTTACGAGTGTCTCTCCACCACCTCCCGACTCAATGCATGACCGTACGAAATAGCCTCTGCCGGCCTCTCTCCGAGGCCATAAGAGCACTGGCATAGAAATTTCATCTTATCCTTTCGCATCACCCCAGTCCCCCGATATCAATCGAATATTATTATGTCCGGCCAGGTCGCATCACCCCCGGTGAAGGCAGCATCATCTCGACCGACGCCCGCTACTAAGAGCCCCGACTCCGACGTGTCGCCCTCCTCGCAGCTCCCTCCCAAGTCTCAGACGCAGGACACGCCGACCCGTCCAAGTGGTGACTACTTCTCTCATAAGTCGACTGAAGAGGTCCCCACTGCACGGCTCACCTTCAAGGCCCCCTTCCACTCGGTCAAGGAAGGCAAAGAGTCGGCCACGTCTAGCGCAAGCACATCTACAGTTGTCAGTCCTGCTATCACCAGTCCCGGTGGCCAGGCTGCTATACAGCCCCTCGTTCTCGAAGATGGAGACGAACGTCCCAGTCCAGGTTCTAGGAAATCGTCCATTGCATCGGTGTCATTCCGCGCGCCTCGCAACCCGTCACTGCCCCAAGGACAACAGAGAAAGACTGATGCTCATCGCCTTCGAGCATCGTCGCCTAACCCCGTGAGGTGAGTGCATATCATTCTGTTTCTTTAGGCCCCTATTTGGTTTTCCGGAACGCGACCTTCGAGTGTTGGCCGGACAAGGATGATGTCTGCATTAAAATATGCTCCGCATGAGGTCCATCGTTGCACGAAGATAGTCAGACCGGCTGCAGTCGCGGGCCGTGTGCTCCATCTGCTACTTTCTGCGCGTCGCGCATATGTTCCCCCACAGGACCCTTAGCCTCGCTCGGTGGGAGGCATGGCTCGCATGGGATGGGATACGTACTTGCAACTTAGCAGAAGGGCTGGACTGGCCTCGACTTTCTCCAGGCGGGGAAAGCTGTCATGTGCGTCCCTGGCAGCTGGTGGAGCGCGCACATAGCGCTTCCAACTACCCAAAGAGGCGGCTTGCACAGGAGGATTGCCGTGTCTACACTACACTACACTATACATACCATTGTTTGGGCCTCTCTCCCTCGCTCGCCAGAACACGGAGCTCCCCTAGCCTCTCTTAGCTGGTCATTCGTCATGACACTACCCAAACCCCACCCACCCCACTCCGCACGACTGCAACACTTTATCTACGGACGGCGCCCGTCAGGTCGGTCGGTCTCTCTAACCCGGACGAACGAGGAAGCCCTCTGAAGGTGTTGAATTGCCGATCTGGGTGGGATAGACGTCAGGAAGCAGACAGCAACAGGCTTTGCACCGCGCTTATCCAGGAGCATATCTTACTTGGCGCTGGATTAGACGTTCAATTGTGTCCCCTCTACCTATTGATCGCCAGCCTAAGCACTGCCTCATTCCTTGTCTAACATTATTCCCTCAAGCACGATTGCCTGCAGCTCTCGTTCGTCAATCTTACACCTTGATCTTACTCATTCCACTCCACATTTCCGCTTCTCCAGCCCTTGTTTCATGGATCTTTGCCTCATCCTGGTGCCCGGCTCGATTCGTTTGCTGTCATGGCCACGCTAACAGAGGTCCATCCTCGCAGATTCCGTCCGCACGTGGCCTTCGACAATGTCGTGGTGGGCGAGGCTACCAAAAGCAACACCCCGTCTTACACGGTCAACGTGAGGCATGATGGCTACCAACCGAAGCGGCGGTCTCGCACCTTCATGGTTGGCGTAGACGAACACCCGTACTCGAACGATGCACTACAATGGCTGCTGGACGAGTTTGTCGACGATGGAGATGAGGTAGTCTGCGTGCGCGTCGTTGAGAAGGACGTCAGGTCCGTCGGCGCGAAGGACTACCAGGACGAAGCGAATGCAATGATCGCCAAGATCCAAGAGAAAAGTGGCACCAGTCGTGCTATCAGCATCGTGCTAGAGTACGCTGTCGGCAAGCTGCACTCGACGTTCCAGCGACTGGTATGTGACTTCTGCCCATGCTGCATTATTCACGCTTGCCTGATATCAGGACTAACTGCTTCTGTCTGGCACAGATTCAAATGTACCAACCTTCAATGCTTATCGTGGGCACAAGAGGCAGATCGCTGGGTGGCATGCAAGGTCTTCTCAACACAAGGAATTCATTCTCGAAATATTGTCTCCAATACTCGCCGATTCCCGTCGTTGTAGTCAGGCCTGATGAGAAACGACAAAAGAAGAAGGATAAGCGAAGTCAGGATCCGGACAAACAGAGCTACATTAAGATGCTTGCGATCAACCGGGGACTGCATGAGGCCGATAGTGACAATAGTAGCCTGTACGACATAGAGACGAAACTATCCGCCGATGAAGAAGCGCACAAGGTTGCCGCAGCCATTGGCCTGCCCGCGTCGTTCGACCCCACCCTCAAACCGATCAAGGAGAAGTCACCACAAGGACCTCGCCAGTCAGTGGCTTCTGCCTTGCAAGCACTCGACACCCCCGATGACGAGCTCGGCCGGGTTGTTGCCACACCCACCGCTGTTGCTCCCGACAGTGGAGATGAGAGTGGTGACGACGACGAGGACGACGAAGCAGAGTTCGATGTTGCGAGCGGCTCTCAGATCCTCCAGTCCCAGAAGAAAGAGCGACTTCACGAGATGGAGGTCGGCGAGGCAGCGGCACTGCTCAAGAGTAATCCGGTCATCGAGGAGACTAGCAGTAGTGATGAAGATGACGAAGACGGCGGTGGAGAGATTGGAAAGCAGAGTTCGTCAAGTACATAATGGACCCCTCTGCCTAGACAGTCCGTTCACATGCTCTATCTCGTCGAAAAGGAAAAGGGTTCTTTGTCCAGGGCGGCCTCAAAAGGGAACGGTGTTCAGGACCGGGGGAATTGCACACGTGCGGAAAAGAGTCTGTCAGGTTTCTAGGGCAGAGTCGGGAAGAGGTCTCACAGATCAGAGGCGGTGGCTGTCTTCGGACTCCCTTGTGTTTGTTTATTGTTTCATTTACCATTATTACAGCGTCTATAGGTTCTATACCAACAGGAAGAAACATCATTACTCTAACTTAGCACTATGAAAAACACTTGTTACTACTTTCAGAGACTACATACATCAGGTGGGTTCGGGTTATCCTTGTGCAATAGACCCCAATAATACTGCAGCAATGTTCATTATATAATGTCCCAGCTTACAATCACATAACTGCGTATTGGGGGGTAGCCACCGATGCATCGGGAGCCCACTGTGACGGGGAAGGGAGGGATGCCCGGTGGTGGGGAAGTGCAGTGATAGCGGCCACTGATTCGTGACCCCGCGCTAGCAAAAAGCCAATCTCGAGGTGCCCAGTCGTCACATGTGGCCCGTGCCTCGGTTGCGATTTTCAGGTACTACGCTGTGAGTCTGAGGTGGAACATGTTTCGCTTGCGCTGACGACTGCGCCGGGGGATTCGTGGCCAACAGACAATCCTCAACGACACCCAACAGCTTTGTTCTCAGACCAACACTGTTGCATTCCGTTCGAATGTAGACCCGTCGATAGTTCTCGTCCGTTTCTCTCTAGCGACACGATACAGGAAATAATGCTTTCAGATCCTCTTACTACCAGCAAGATCTAGCAGATTGACTAGGTCCCTGCATATCCATACCTTCCACTCGCCCATCCGGTGCTTTCCACCCTCGAGCGCTTCGCCAATGCCGACGTCTCGGTACGACTGCGGCGATGACCTCTGCACGGCGGCCGGGCCGTCTACCACGATCGGCACCCTCTTCTCCCTCTCGCCCTTCCTCGCGACCTTCGCCATCGTCGCCCTCGTAGCCGCCAAGAAGGTCTTCCCCAAGCTCTCCCGAGTGAGTGCCCATGACGACGGCGAAGACCACTACCTGCCGGCGTCGGCCCCGCTGTCCCTGCAGCAGGCGCACGCCGAGCACGGGTCGAAGAGCGTCCGCCGCCGCGTCGCCGCCGCCACCTTCGCCGCGACGATCGGCCTAGCCGCCGTGCTGGGCGAGCTGATCCTCGCCGAGATCGCCGACCTGGTGCCCGCGCGCGCGCGCGACGCCGCCCTGCGCGCCGTGGTGCCGACGCTGCTGTTCGTGCTCGTCGCCCTCATCCCCTTCCTCGAGATCCAGAGCGTCGTCGCCGGCGCCGGCTTCCGCTTCCAGCGGACCGCCAGGGGCCGCCTGCCGCGCGTGTCGTGGACGCTGCAGCTGCTCATCTTTGGCGGGTGGCTGTTCGTCTTCTGGAGCCTGGGGCGCGCGGTCCCGGGCAGCGATGAGAGCTATATATATGCGCGGGACGCGCGGGACAACTTCGACAGCACGGGCGTGTCGATCGGCACGAAGCTCGCGGACGAGGAGAAGAGCCTTGGGTGGCCGGGCTGGTCGCGCGAGGCGCTGGCGCGGGCGTGTCTTGAGCGGATCGGCGTCATTGGCATTGCTCTGATGGCGCTGCTTTCGGGGTTTGCGAGTGTGTCCAGCCCGTGGCATACGTTTGCTGATAATAGGGGTGCGAGGAGGAAACCGGTTACGGATGCGGACATTGCGAGGAAGCAGTCGGGAATCGATGCTACTAGCGAACTGTTATTAACGAAACGACATCGCCTACGATCACTCCAGAGAAAGCTTGCGGTGGCTGCGGAGACATCGGCTGCGGCGGGATCAAAAGGGATGATGGGCAAGCTTGTGGGCTCATTCAAGGGGATGGGCAACAGCGATGCCGCAGAGATCAAGACTCTGCAGCTTGAGATCTCTGGCCTAGAGACAATGGAGGCGAATCTGTCATCGTCTCTGTCACAGTTGCAAACCAGACAGAGTGCACAAGCTCGCGCAGGTACCGCCGTGGGCTTGCTCATCGATATTCCGACGTACGCCTTCAGCCTGTACTGCTTATACCGCGTCATGGCGACGTCTCTCACCAGCTTGCGCCGACTCTATAACCCCGGCTCGAGCTTCTCGTCTTCTGACCCGATCAATCGCTTTCTGGGTCTGCTCGCCAAGCACTGGGACCCGAAGCTCGACCAGATTGCGTGGGCACGCCAGATCTCCTTCTTACTGACTGGGGTGATCCTCATCGCCAGCGCCAACTCGGTGGTTCAGACTTTTCGCATATTCGCAAAGTGGACGCCTGGGCTGCTCTATCAGGCACAGGCTAACCTAGCCCTGCTCATTGGGCAGATCTCTGCCACATATGTTATCTCAGCCGCCCTACTACTCCGAAGCAATCTACCTAAGGACGTCAGTAGCGCCGTTGGTGATGCCTTGCAGAGCGCATTAGAGCCAGGCTTCGTTGATCGTTGGTTCGAGGGCTGGTTTCTGCTCGCGAGTGTGGCGACGGCGGTGGGTATATGGATAGGGCGGAAGATCGGGGGCGGTGGTGACTGGGATGATTGGGACGAGTACGGAGGCGAGGAGATGGGACAAAAGAGATCATGAGGACTTGAGTAACACATTATAATACTGGCATGGTTTGATGTAGGAGTATGGAGATTTTTGTACATAGTTCGTGGGCTGAATATGCTCCCACCTTATATATGGGTTGAATGAGAACATCCGATGGACAAATCAGGGGTGATGTTCTTTGAACGATTCTCGTATTTGTAGTGATCGCCAAGTTAGTCTACGTGGACAGACAGAGGCTTTTGTAAGTTAATATAATGTAATAGATGGAAAATCTTATTACTATCTCCTTCACTGCTACCGACTAATACATGAATAAACCAGGACCTCGAGTCCAAACCAATTGCACGGGAATTCATCATCAGCAGGAAACCCATGGGCTCCTCGTAGACTCCCGTGCCTTGCAATCGTAGTCGTGGTGTTGACCGTATAGACGATAATTGCGACTGGATAACGCAGCTCCCAAGCTGAATACGGAGGCTGGATCAAGACTATCCAGGAATCGCGAGCTGTTCAAGAATGGTAGTGCCTGACGCACTGCGAGACCGAGAGCTTCCATGGCAGTTTCCGAGGCGCCGCCAGCAACAATCACCGCGTTGAGCAACTCCTCCTGTTGCGGAAAGCTGTTGTTTTCCATGAATGACGTTATGCCTATTGCGAGCATCTTAACAGCGTGTCCAAATTCTCTACTTAGAGGTATTTGAACTACCGAAGTGCCGTTTTGATAACTTGCTCCCAGCAGCTGAAAAAGTCCTCTCCAAGATCTGGAAGGTGCTTCTGTTTCATCGGCATCTCGCCACCAAATGTCATAGAAAACGGTGCGATTTCGAGATAATCTCGTTTCAGATTGGCCATGAATATGTAGGAATCAGGTTCCGCCAAGATGTCATCGTGGCGAGGCTGCCCAAACTCTTCCCATATTTCTCGTCCATCAGGGACCCATGGAACACCCAGATCGTCAGGCGTGATCAACTCATAAGCAAACTGAGCTGATGTTATATGACCGATGACGTCGTATTCATTGTAACAACCCCTGCGGGAATCGGGATAGTAGTCGAACATCTCGTGCATCACGTCATCTAGAAGACTCCAGTAAAAGAACAGCTCCGGCGGCAAGACAATGTAGCCGATTTGCACCGAATGGGGCATAACGCGAGTAGTTTCGTCGATGATGAGGTTGATGGCCTCTAGGAACGCTGGCAGAATCTCCACGCAACCGCCGTAGACTGGATCTGGGTGACTGAGACAATTCAGTTCAGCTTTCGTCACGATTTTGATATGTTGAGAATCTCTTACGGTATCTCTTTTCCAAAAACACTCTTTCAATCCCTCAGGGACAGTTTGTCACACCCATTCTCTCCATGTTCGTGGTGCATCCACTTTAGCTACTGTCCTCGCGACATCAAAAGCATCATAGTGAGACGAGACACTATAACAGCAAGATATTTTAGTGTTTGTGATGCAAGACTTCACACGAGCTGATGTTATTATCTTTGTGGGATACTTACAGTTGTCCAGGGCCAAGGCATATAGCAAGAGGATAATCTATCATATTGCGCACGCGAGGATTTACCCATTTGCTTGGAGTTGGTGTCCTATAACGAAGTTTGTTAGTGCCCAGAAAGATTGCCTGGTGCTTGGCCTCGAGTGTGAAGCTTCTGAATATTATTTACGGCTGCTCAACGGTTATCACCGCTTCCTGCTCAGCTTGAACACAAAATCCAACCAATAACAATGATATGAGAGTCAGAATAGGGCATCTATAAAAATAAACGTATCTTATTTCCGCCATAATCTGTTGAAATGTTTAAAGAGAAGCCTCTATCTAGCCAATGTGTTTGTTCGCTCCTGTGAGCTGCAAACGAAACAGACACGAGAAATATTCCACTTTGAATTGAATACTATCCCTCTTGTTCCCGGGAAGAGTGGAAGTAAAAGTTTTCCAGTGTTTGCAATCTTGCTAGTGTCGAATGCGAGGTTCTGTGAAGCATCGAAGTCAGATTATTTTGACTATGTTGGTATCCATGGATGTTGGTCGAAAGTCCATGCTCAGCTCTAATTGGTCAAAATATAAACTCGATTAACAACCAACTGCCTGGGAGGACAGCCTCACAAGGAAAAGGGTGCCGGAAATTCAACTCAGTCTTCCTTATTAAAACATATTTGAACTCAACTCAGTGCAATTTGATTAGGATAGAGTTCGCGGAACATGCAAGTTTGCAATAATTAAAGAGCTGTGTTGTTAGGAGAAGCATGACTGCTTAATTTTATAACACCAAGCCTTAGCTACAAACATCACCAACTGGCACCTGTTGTAACACTTCCATAAATATCAGTATTGACAGCCAAACCATCACATACGACCATACCCAGCAGAGAATTCGGCATCCCGTCCGCTCTGCCCTAGACAAGCTGCTGAGGGCCAGACCAGTAGTTGGGTCGGTGACGACCAGCGAATCCCTGGTGTTGTATGTTTTTTTTTGTACTCACTAAAGGCTATCTCTAGTATCTATGTTTCCCCTTAGCGGCTCCTAGGCTCATGGGAACACGACGACATTGACTTAAACGACGACGAGATGCAGAATTTGAAAGAGCTAAAGTGAAATGCGTGGGACTACTTGTGGAGAACGAAGCACGCGCTTCTTCTCTCCGAGAGTCAATGCACGTTTTTGAGAAAAAGCAATGGTTTTGAGAGAGCAAGGCTGGCTGAACTTTTCTTAGCGCTGTTCGCCGCTTCGGAGCGCCCCTACACGGACGATCAAAATGCTTGGGAATCTTTCGGGAGGTTTTTCAAGACTTGGTTCAGCAAAGATCAACAATTCAATAGAAGCGGCAGCCACCCTGTTCCAACTGAATACTTGGTAGAGTTTGCCCGAAAATTTCAGGCCGCTGTCCAACTGTATGAAAATTGGTGCAATCAAGACCGTGATTCACAACTACTACTTTTCCCGAGCGTCTTTACATACACACATCTGTCCAACGGTTCTCTGGCGACATCGGTGGCAACCCCTGAACGCGGAAACATTGTCTATTGGGGGGTATACTGCGGGCTTGATACTATTGTGTTTAGCGAAGTAGCAGTGGATCCATCGTTAAAAGACAACACTGAAAGTCAAAATCTACTCATTACAGCAATATCCGGTAGGAATTGGAGACTTGCTGAGTGGCTGTCACCGCCCCATTCGGCTCAGCAGAATGTTGATCTTTTTGTTGACTGAGATCAGGGGCTGATCCGTCTCTAACATAAAGTGGCGGGCGGTTATCGGCATCTGGAGGTGGAAGACGTTCGCCGTCACAGCGCCGTGGCACGAATAAGGACCGCACAGTGTCCATCTCTGTTCTGGCCTCGACGACTCTAACCAAACCCCTGGCCAACTACTACCACGCGAATCAATACCCAGGCATTCAGCCCATGCCGAACCCAACGTTGCCAGCACAGGACATAAATGCAAGCAAAGCACCGGGAGAGTCCAATAGGGCATCGCAGTCGTCTCACGGGGATCATTGGAAAACCTACTCTCCCGCGAGCCAGAAAACCGGCGGTAAGTCTAAAATGTTCAATGCGTCTGGGCTGAAGTTAATACTGAGTCTTAGAGTCGGTCGATGGAAGGTCAGGAGTTGTACGAGGACCTCCTCGAAAGCCCAGACTGAGTGGTAAGACAGCACCACCATGTACAACTATAACATATCGATCTAATCTGTCAACAGGCTTCGCGATTTGGATTGGCAACATACCTCCCCGCACCGACTTGATGAGTCTGGTTCATCATGTATGCAATAAAGCCAACGGTCTTGAGTCTCTCTTCCTCATCTCCAAGAGCAGCTGTGCTTTTGCCAACTTCCGGGATGAGCCTACTTGTGTGGCAGCGCAGCATAAAATCCACGACTCAATATTTCAGTCAGTTCGACTAGCTAGTCGGCTACGGGACAATGACGTCCGGGGAAATTCAGGCGTAACTGCTCCGACAGCACCAGCTGTGATGTCTGGTTCACAAACTTCATATCTCTCAACCCAAACAAGTGCGCCAGAGAGTCGGAGAGGAATCACGGCCAGGAGCCAATCGGCTGAAGCCAATTATGTCACCGAAAGAGACGGGTCGCCCCAGCAGGATAGGTTCTTTATTTTGAAGAGTTTGACCGTGGAGGATATCGAATTAAGCGTCAAGACTGGAACATGGGCGACGCAGTCTCACAATGAGAAGCCCCTGAACGATGCCTTCAAGGTTCGTTTGAGATTCCAGGGATCTAGACTGTAGCATTGCCGACAAGACTCTGCTAATTCTCCTTTCAGGCAGCGGATAATGTGTACCTCGTATTTTCCGCTAATAAGTCAGGTGAATACTTTGGATATGCCAGAATGAGTTCGCCCATAAACGAAGATCCCACGGCTGTGATCGGGTTAGCCCCGAAAGCGCAGCCCGCAGAATCCATAGGCCCCCCTCCAATTGCGATCCCCACAGATGCCACCGAATTTTGCCCAAGAGGGATAATCATCGACGACTCTGCGCGCGGGACGATATTTTGGGATGCCGAGAGGGAGAACACAGAGGGCATGGTCGATGTTGAGAGTGATCCCAGTAGCAGGATCGGTAGTGGGCAAGATGGAGACGGCCTGACCGAAAGCTTACGGAAAGCTTTTCAAACTGGAGTGGTTGTCAACGACCAAATTGCCATTTTGGCGAACAAGGGGCCTGCGAAATCCTTGGAACTCGAACCGCGAAGTCAAGATTGCAAGAGATGGCACAGAGTTGGAGCCATCTGTGGGGCGTAAGTTAATCAGTCTCTTCAACTAAGCGTAGAGTTCTGGGGTCACATAGGCTCTTATTGCGCCGCCTCCCTCGGCTGATATATCACATGGGGCATTCAGGCATCCAGAAATTGGCGAGCGCATAACTACTAGTTGTGCCGTACATGAATTTATGATCATATATACACAAGTCAACGGCGTATTGGAGGGAGCAAGATCAGCTAGTGGATTGCTGCAGCGCAGAAACACGTGTATATTACGTCACTCTGTCGCAGTGCTGCAAAAAGTCACTTCACATGCCAAAGTCGGCCTTTTACACATGTAATTCAGCCGCCAATGCCTAGCTATGCCGGCACCCAGCAGCTCGCCAATTTTTATGGGCTACCTAGTGACAGCAATAACCCCAACAATCTCCTGCTTAGATATCCATCAACAATGCGCAATCCCAACAGAAAGTGTGGTTTTAAGCTTATATCGTGAATTGACCGGAGTGTAGTGTTGCCCTACATGAAGCACCTTCAACCACACGGGTTTTCCCTCTTGGGCACCACCAGCCAAGTAACAAGACAGTACTGCTGTAGGCTCCTCCACCAATCAACGGTGCATATCCATCTTTACCATGGCAGGAACATCCACCTGGGACTATGCTTTCATCCGCACAAGCATATTCCTTCTACATCTGCTTGCACCTCTCAGCGTTACATATTCGCTGCTTGCACCCTTGATTAATCCTCCTTTGTTTCACGTCCCTCGTATACTAGAGATCTGGCTCAATCTTGAGGCAGTGTTTTACCTTGCCGTCTACTTCCCACGTAAAGCCTACCTACAGGCAATCGCAACTCCGCCCCTTACTGTCAGCCGCGAGGACCGGCGGAGATTGTTCTGGCGCTGCCACTACAACATTGGGGACCCGGAGTGGTATTTGACGAAATGGTTCCAGGACGCGCCGATGGTGGAGATAAAGCGGGAGAACGTGAAGGACTTCTTCCGGTGGGCATTTTTGAACACTGGAGATCCTGACCCGGCGCACGACGAGGAACTGGAGGAATATGCTGGAGAAATGGAGAAGTTGCTAGGCAGAAAGTTGCAACCCGGGCGTGGCAACGCCCGGTGCATCAGATTGACGCTTGATAAGGTCGACATGTTACATCGGAGCGTGGCTTGGTATATGGTGAGTTTCTTAATTTGATATTACATGGACTTCATCTCTACAGCAGCAGTCAAGTTGCTAACTAGGGTCTAATCTATGGTGTGTGTTTATCGTCGACACGGCAGCATCTGTCTATCTGCGTTACTACTCCTTCAGCTTTTACCGCACGTCTTTCCCCCAGTTCTTCACCATCTTCCCACCAAGGCTACTCACTCTCTTCACCACGCATCGCTCCCCTGCGAAGACTCTCACTTACTGGTATCGGCCGCACACCTCCAAAACGAGACTTCCAATCCTGTTCATCCACGGGATTGGAATAGGGCTCTATCCGTATATTAATTTCTTAGCCGACCTCAACGCCGAAGATGATGGGGACCCGTCGGATGGACAAGTAGGGATAATTGCTGTAGAGCTCATGCCTATTAGTTCTAGGATAACAGCCGCTGCGATGTTGAAGGACGAAATGTGCGAAGAGATTTCCTGCATATTGAAGGCACATGGTTGGGAAAGACTTGTTCTAGCCTCACACTCGTGGGTCCACCTTGCACTCCTCTCTGTTAATTGTCTTTGGATAAAGCCCTATATTAATTTGACGTGAAGATACGGTAGCGTGGTTGCAACACATCTTATTCACACGCCACAGATCGCGAGCAAGATTGGGCCGATCCTATTTGTCGATCCGGTGTCGTTTCTGCTACATCTTCCTGATGTGGCATATAATTTTGTAAAAATACCTACATTTTTCACCAAAAATATGAGCTAACAAATAGTCCGCTGTTCAAGATCTACCGGAAGCCGAAAAGTGCTAATGAATACCTGTTCTCCTACTTTGGCTCTAAGGATATGGGTACCGCGCATACTTTGTCCCGACGCTTCTTCTGGGCTGAAAACAGCTTGTGGAAAGAGGATATGCAGGGTCATCCGGTGACCGTGGTGCTGGCTGGTAGGGATGTGATAGTCAACACAAAAGTCATTGGGACGTACTTGACAGGCGCAAAGGACTGGCTTATGAAGGCCAGAGATGGGGGATATGGGATATGGAAAGGTAACGGGCTAAGTGTGTTATGGTTTGAAGACTTGAATCACGGACAGGTATTCGATTTGAAGACAACGAGAAGAAGATTGGTAGATATTATTCATCGGTTTTCGATCGAGCGATAGTGAACCCTGTTCAATGATTTGTTGCTGTATTAGAGAGCAAAGAGCAAGGTCAACCTCAAGTATGGAGACAACAGATGGACAACGCCCTGTATAGCTGGGCTTTGATGACAAGACACCCTATCGTGTATTTCTCTAAAGTTCCTGCTGCCTCAACTAACATCAACACCACATTGAAAATAGAAAGTTGCTGTAAATGGGCGAACATACCAGCGCTGCATATAACCTCCTTTGAGTTCGTACTAGCGGCCAAGCCTAATATGTCGAGCAAAGGATTCAGAAGGGGTGCATTATCTCGGCCTTGCTTTCTACATGGTGGTGGTTGGCTAAACTTCGGTTGGCTTTCAGGCTTTCATCCAAAGGCTTGACCAACGGCCACCCCTTCCAGGCTATTAGCTCCCATGCTAGAATATTGAAGGGTATGAAAGTGCTCAATTCTTTTCGACCCCACGAATTCATTGGAATGACCTAGACCAGATACTTATTACCGTCAAGCAGCACGATCCAGGGGTTTCTCAATGAACTTTGCCCAAGCGAGCCTGTATAGGGAACCAACATGCATTAATACTTTCGTATCAGATACGTCTGTTTATCTGAGCCATACTTCCTAGTGTCCAATTGGCCTCTGCATACTGCGCATTGATAAGTGCGACGAGTCGATCACCGGCCCGCCCGTGGAAAAACTGTTGGTTCTGATCTTAATACTTAATCTATTTACCCTGGACATTTTGACTAGCCGATGATGCGCAACGCCCTCCTTTTGATACAGTGTAATTATATATGCTGCTGGGAGGCGGCGTAGACCTGCGTTCCATCAAACCAAGTCTCGACCACCCTGCTCTGCAGCACCATCTTCGGATCCCACTCCATGTCCATGACAACCAGGTCTGCCCGCTTGCCCACCTCGAGCGTTCCGACCTGGTCCTCAGAGAAGCAACTCCGCGCCGCGCCCTCGGTCATGCCGGACACCGTCTCGCACAGCGTCAAAGCAAAGTGACCGTTAATGACCGTCTGGAGCTCCGGCTCACGGGCTGACCGGCGGTTCGTGGCGACGTAGAGGTTGTGTATTAGCTGATGAGGCGCGCTGGGTGAGTCGGACCCGATGGCCAGCGGGGCCCCACCGTCGGCGAATTCGCGGTAGGCAAAGGCCCGGCCGCACCGGTGCTCGCCGATGAGCTTGGGCCATGCCCGGATGATGGCCGGGTCCGCGTGCACTGGGTGGATTGAGGCGGTGATGCCCAGCTTACCTAGTCGCCGGGCATCTTCCTCGGTGGTTATCTCTAGGTGCTCAATGCGCGGTCGCAAAGCCGGGTCGGCATACTTCTCGAGAGCATCGATGGCGTTACCTACTGTCCTGTCTCCAATTGCGTGTAAGGCAAGCTGCAGGCGGTGCTTCGTGGCGCACTCGACAACGGGTCCCAGCATCTCCGGTGTCCACACGGGCTCGGTGGTTCCCAGATTGTGGCTGTATGGTTCCTTCAAGCTGGCTGTGCACGAATCGATGATGCCATCGCACACAAGTTTGATTCCTACTACACGGCACTCCGGGTCGGTCTCCTGGCTGAACTCCTTGGCTAGTTCCGCTGCCTCCTCGACTTGCGCAATATGCTCAGCATCCGTGTCCTTTGGCAGTATCAGCCAGTAGATTGCCATGCGCATTGGTATCGTCCTGCCGGCGGCCTTCTCCCGTTTACGGTACTCCTGTAATGCATCCCAGCCATCGGGGTCCATTGCCATATCGATCAGACCAGTGTAGCCCGCGCTATTGTACTCTGTGATCGCAGCTTTGATCGCCTTCACACGATCGTCCATTGTTTGTATACTCGCCATGTATGGCCGGATGAATTTCATGTTGGCCGCCTCAGCAATTACACCACTAGGCTTTCCTGTCTCCGGGTCGCGTTCAATATTGCCGCCTGGCGGGTCTGGCTCGTCGTCCAGCTTGAGCTCGGCCAGTGCCGCACTGTTCGCCCATGTTGAGTGTAAATCCTTCGTTGTGATCAGAATAGGTCTGCCCTTGGGATCAAGGTCATCTAGCATTGTCGCACACGCGCCCTCGGGTGTCATTGAGTGCATCCATTCACGGCAGAAGATGCGCTTTTGATCCGGGTTTGTTCTGGCGTACTCCCTGATTGCCTTGCGTATGTCTTCCAGGTTATTGCAGTGCTTGAGCGACAGCTTGTTCAGGGACTGCCCCAGGATTGCCAAGTGAACGTGTCCATCGAAGAAACCAGGGACAACAAGGCGCCCTTGTACATCGCGCTGCTTTGCGCCTCCGTCTAGAGCTGCTGTCACTTCTTTGGCACCAGCATCGCCCACAAAGGTGATCACGCCATCCTTGATGACGAGAGCCTCAGCGAATGTGGCCTCGGGCTTGCTTCCATCAGTAGGCTTGCTGGCCTGGAAGAACTTGCCATTACGGAAGACAAAGTGACTCGCCGAGGTCATGGTCATATTATGGAATCTCTGCTCGGCGAGGCGAGCAGGAGATCAAGGAGATAAGAGAGATCTACCAGAACAAAACAAGGCAGGCGAGCAAGCCACGAAGGAGTGAAATGGAATAATGCAATGCAGAGTATCTTGAGGACTTGCAGCAGCCGGAGAATATTCAAGCAGGCCCCTCCATCGGGCTTGGGCTCCGTGGGCTCGCTCTCCGCAGTGGAGCCGGTGATCTGGAATCGTGAGGGCCCATTTTGATGCCGGACTGTGATAGCTAAGATAGCTAGCCTCTTATTTAGCGTCTAATGCATGCGTGGCAGCAGCATCCCTAGCATCCTGGAAGGCTGGATAGCTAAAGATATCTAAGATATCCTAACATGCATTAGAGCCCCTTGCTATCAATCAACCCCGCGTTGAAGCAGGGGACTTCTCGTACTACATGCGACGTCAGTGGACGCAGGCCGCTGACGATCAGATCCAGCTGCCGTCTTCGGAGGGTACGCTGCTGGCTTGTGCATCTTCAGTTGTGACGAGAACCGTTGAGGGGTTCTTATCCTGCACCTCAATCTTGCCGACAGCCAGCGTTGTGTGAGGGGTCGGCCTTCCTCTGTACGAGCCCGTTCACTAGACCGCTCCTAAGGTAGGATATGAAAACACCCACGGGGGTGTCAGTATCGGTGTGATTGAGGTCAATTGATGACAGTGAAGCCATCGCCAGAGTCCCTGTGACTCTGCTCAATTTTGTTGGAGAGACCAGACTGGGTCCATGGAGAACCGATTATTTTAGTGGGAAGACACCTGAAGATTTGTCTTGGGCGAATGGACGTGGCGCTCTTTAAGGCTGACAAATGGGCCAGTCAGGCCTTGCCATAGTGCGGCCCAGACGGAGACGTTCTCCGTGAGGGACAACTGGCGACTCAGTCATGCTGTTCACTTGTCGAAACTCATATTTCTGCTTTGTTCATTTAGAGACTGTTGGCTTGTAATCAAGCGATCAATTACTAGTTGGCAACTATTTCTGTTGAAATTCACTATTTAAACCCGCCACTTTCACAAACACATTTGGCATTTCATACTAGACTACCAGTTGTTTCCCAAGTGCATTGCGCAATACAAATCATAATCAATGTCACAGACTAAAAAGGTCTTCGTGCACTTTAGCCCTTGTCCCTATGTTTCAACCCACGTTATACACTGTCTGGGGTGTTGTCTTTCCAATAACGATAGCCATCATGCAATTGACATCTCTTAAGGTGAATATGTACGTTAGGATGCTACTCTAAGCAAAGCCGAAATCCAGGGAAGTTATCAACGACTTCAAATGAATGTATGTCTTGTTGGAGGGTTTTACGAGCAACAAAATGGACGTTGAAACTCCACTTCACTATCAGCTATGGGACTTGTTCGAGTAGAGCAACGGCGGGGTGACCGCATCATGACACTGCTAGTGCACTCCTGTTTTTTCTCAACTCTCTATCAACCCGAGCCGAAATCTCGACTACGCTCCGCGGCGTGCCGATCATTCCGCTTTCAAGACCTCAACCCCTGACAACCCACGAGCGAGCCATGCTCTCGGCACACTATCATTAGATTTATTCGATGTATGATTGGTGGGTGATAACACCATCGACATGTCAACATGATTCCCTCTTATCAGCGTCGACAGCTAGATGAAGACTAGGAACTATAAGAGGTGTTATTGCCTCGTAATGATGGCGAGATGCTGTTATCAAGCTTTTATTGCTGAAGTAGTCTTACCCGACTGAAAGCTCCAACAGCAATAGCCCATACTCTTTATTTTCAATACGATGAACAAGTTCACAATGGCCTCTGGGGCTGGTGCGTCCGAAAAGGATGCTAAGGAACCAGCTCCCATCGACGACACAGCCATAGACATTGAAATTCAGAAACCCGACATTTTCTTTGAGGGAGATGTCTCGGGAACCACGAAAATGGAGGCGATTACTGCCGTCTGGGGAAAACATGGAAGACTTATCATCCTAGGAGCCTTGATATTCTCAATGATTGCATAGTAACTCTCAGCAAACCATAGAGCTCTTCTCTGGGACACAAGTACTAACAAGCTCTTCTCAGTGAATATGACAATACAACTGTTTATACATATTATGTTTATGCACAGTCCAATTTCAAGATGATCTCGTCGCTAGCCGCTCTCAAAACCGCAGGCGGTCTTTCTTTCGCTGTTCTCAAGCCCCTTGTGGCTAAGCTTTCTGATGTGTTTGGCAGAGGAGAGCTCTATCCAGTCTGGGTTCTATTCTATGTCCTTGCTCATATTCTTTGTGCCAAATCACCAAATTTCGAAACCTACGCAACAGGTTATATACTGCATGTCACGGCACAAACGGGAACAAATACCTTGAACGATATCTTGGCAGCCGATATATCTACAGCCAGGCAGAGAGGTTTAGCAGTACAGTTGCAATTCCTCCCATATATATTCATGCCGTGAGATCCCTTTCCCTTGTTTCCACGCACAAGAGTCAATGCTGATAGTTTATAGCTTCGTCTCGGCCTTCATTACAGACTCAGTTGTCAACACCATCGGCTGGAGATGGGGCATTGGAATGCTATGCATTATAATGCCTGTGGGACTTGCTCCTCTGATCATTGCTGTGCTTGGATGGCAGCGCAAGGCGAAAAAGGCCGGCTTCAACCAAAAAATCAAGCTGTCAGTGTATGACTTCTTCTCTCAGATTGACATGGGCGGCATGGCATTATTTTGCGGCGGTCTAGCCCTCATTCTGCTACCAGCAACACTTGCAGGCAAGCAACCACATGGTTGGCGTACGGGCTGGGTAATTGCGTGTCTAGTGGTTGGCTGTGTCTTCTTGATCATTCTGCCGTTTTACGAGAAGTTATTTGCCCGCCATCCTATCGTACCTCTTCGATATTTCAAAGACCTCACTATCACTATGGCCTTGTTGATCTACGCAATGGATGGAATAGCTACCAGTGTCACCCACAGCTATTTTTATACGTGGTGCATAGTAGCTAGAGGCTATAGCATTCGGGACGCTAATCTGATTTCTGATGCGTTGTCTGTCATGCAGCTCGTCACAGGCATCTCAATGGGAGCTCTTATGTGGTGGACGCGTCGTTATAAGTGGGCAATTGCAGTGGGAGGAGTGATTCGCATGATCGGATTTGGAGTGATGTTCCGAGTACGAACTGGCTCATCTTCCACGGCTGAACTGGTCATTGTGCAACTGATCCAGGGCATTGGCAATGGTTTGATGGGCACAGGATGCTTCGTCGCGGCAACTGTCGCGGTTCCTCATAAGGAAGTAGCGCAAATGACTGCGGTGGCTGTGTGCTTGAGCACTCTAGGATCTACAATCGGCTCGGCCATTGGTGGTGGTATCTACACGAGCCAGTTCAAGGCAGAACTGGCTCAGGAGCTGGGTTCTATGGCCACGCCGCAGCTCATTAACGGAGCATTCAACTCCATCACTGCTGGTCTCCCCGCATGGGGAACATTGCAACGAGCGGCGATTGCTAGAGCTGTCAGATTACAACCCTGGACTACACTCACATTGGCAAGAGATGCTAACATTTCCTCCAGTATAACACCATCATGGGCTATTTCACCTATGTCGCCTTCGGCTCAACTGTTCCCGGAGTTATCCTTGTCTGGTTTTTGCCAAACCGCATCCTCACGTATGTCCCCACTTGCCATCAACACCTGACAAATGATATATTAATATATCTCCGCAGTGACACGCAGAACCTTGTCGAGGGCCAAGGTCCACTGAGCGAGGAGCTTGAGCGAGCGACTGGCGCTGGAACGGAGAAAATAGCGACAAAGTGAACTAGTCGTCAACGTGTAACTGAACGCTCCCTGAATCTGGACAGGATTCGCCCACCCACCTACGCGGGAAAGGGCAAAGTTATCACATTGGTGTCTCGTCGCAGATGTATTTTCTGTGAAGAAAAGCTGATTGCATCACTAAGGCTATAAGAGGCCGTCATTGAATTGACGAACAGCAAAGGGCAATGAAGGCTTGAAGAATAGTTAGAGTGCCCTCTGGGAGAAGAATTTCTAGATTAATGGGCTTAGTCCTGTTATCGACCACTTGGAAATCCTTGTGATGCTTGTTAAAGTAATATAAGTGGCTGGGACCTCCCACTCTATTAAGCAGAAATTTGTCACCCATCTGGGATGTCTGGAGCTGTCCCCGCTGGCATTCAGAAGCCCATTGCATTGCATATCGGGTCGCTAGAATTGCCATCTTGTAACTGTCTTATCGGAAAACACAAAATGGACAGCTGTCCGTCAGCAAGTGAGTCTGCTAATTTCTTAATTTTCTTCGGAGTGGTAGATTTCTAAACCAAATTTACTATACAATTTTCATTGCCCAAGGATAATGCTATTAATACAAAAGAGCGATAGAGCCAGACACCCACGATAAAACGTCAGGATCATTGATATCGAAGATCATCCTTGAAATAAGAGGCAAGTCGTAGTAACCAGGTTTTAGTTGTGTCGCGTTGCCAATGCGCGCAATCTCATCGAAAGTGTCTTCTACTTTCCCTGAAAACATGATTGAACACCGCCTACAAAAAGGAGTTCTACATATAGGTGATGAAACCAGGCCAGCTTGTCGAACATGGCGCTTTGAGGGTCATATATAAAGCACTCGATGCTCAAGTCAAGGGCCTCCTCGCCTAGGGTTTTGTCCGCGCTAGAGCTGTCAGGAGTTCCGATTCGTACGATCTGAAACCGATGACAACCAGCAAAGGTGGATTGATTCTGTCCAAATCCAAAGTCAAGATAGCTCAATGATGGACCTGAGTTGCTTTGACTGGCAATATGTATGTCGATGAGTTTGAATGTACGAAACAATGTATCTCCGACAGTAAGAAGAGACGTGCTCGGGACGCTGGACTGGACCCATATTTCCCTTTGCCCGGGTCTGTCCTCGAAACCTGCTTGCGTTGAGCTAACTGCGTCTGTGGTCTGAATAGTGAAGCGAGCATACCTGTGAATGTGACGGGTGACAGCTTCCACACGCCAGCCTTCAGAGCAAGGCTTTCCAAGAAAAACACCCAGCCTCCAAAGAACCCCTTGGTAAACAGCGCAAGAAGCTTCTCATCTGATAGTCCGTGAAATGTCGAGGCTGTCAGGCTGAGAGAAGTTGTATCGCTTTTGATAGGCCGGTGTTGAGGATTTACAAGGATTGCCGAAGGAGACTCAAGAAAGTCTCTAGAAACGCCCAAAGTGTGCCTGCACTGACGAACGATCGTTGCAATTGAGTCTGGCTTGTCTAAGCCCAAAGCCCAGGTGGCAGGCTTAGTGATGACTCTGAAAAGTGATCGAGCAGCCATCAGGGAGCAATATCTTGTAGAGCAGAGCTCATTGTGTATAAGTTGCCTAAAACAGACTTGGGGTGGCAAGTGTATTTCATGGCCGTCATTTGGGATGAAGGTCCCGGGCCATTCCGACACCTGAATCACTAGAAGAGCCGCCTAGAGGCACAGCGTACGGAACATTGCGGATGAGGTAATACTCACTTCTCCCGCTGAAATTTCATTTCAGAACCTCGCACAATGGAGTCTCATATTTAAAAACATCTAGAGCTTGTCAGAATCACATTTGGTAAGGAATAGCCAATGATGAGGGTCGGCACATTCGACAACCGCACCTGCATTTGGGGGGAAGGATGGTCTGGCCAACCACCATTTAGCTACTGCGATGGATGGAGCATGATCCACTAACACGGTCACATTATCTCTAATAGTCACGAATAATACATATCAGACGAATGAATTGCTTTCTGGATCGCACATATATATAGAAGACATGATTTTATCTAGACTGCCTAATCCATACTCAAATTAGCCATTTCTATCCCATGGATTACAGTATGGAAGGCCCCTGGTCACCCATGAAGATCACGAATCGGAAATACGAGCATTGCGCAATTCTTCAGAAGATTGACGACTCATTGTGACTTGGTAGCTCGACCTAGTAAGTAAATTTAAGCGATCTATTGACAAAGGTTAATCCGCATCAATGCGAGCAGGCTGATTTGCTGAGTACGTAAAACATCCCGCTCAAAATGGGGGTTAGAAACTAGCGATTGACATCGCCAGAGGCAACTTTTGAATATTGCTCTAGACTGTTTCATTTTCCGCGAGAACAGGAAGTTTAAAGGAAGGTCAAGTCTTATTTCAGAACCCGATAGAGCTTCGTCCATAACATATTGTATTCGAAAAGACAGAGCATGATAGCAGTTGCACAAAGTCGAGATTAGGTGTGTTTGATCATGGCTAGTCTTCATAACCTAGTTTCGACGTATCAGATTTGAGATACTCAAATAAGAGACTTGTGCCGCTTGTGCCGCAGTCAAGTCCAAACATGGGCCATCTCCTATTCATGGATTAACTCGACAGAGTAATCATCTGCTTACTTTAGCTGCTCCTATCGTATTAAGAAACGTAGGTCGACTAGCTAATGTCTATAGAGTAAGTAGGGATATGGCTTATCATTGGTTGCATGCTCCCAGATGTGATGCCTCTCGTCGTCGTGGTAGGAAATCTCAGGAGGAAACATCCTAGAATAAGAAACATTTAATGGGAAAAGTCAAAACCTGATAACAAGATTCTTTAACTTTCTTATAGAAGCTAAGGTTCCCTGACCCATAGACAGCTTGCTCGAAGCATCGCAGATGTCTAGCCATATGCCTGATATGAAGGGTGCACCATTAACCTCTTCCATTTACAAGGCATTCTATTTGATGGAAACATCTCCTGCTAGGTACGCCAAGAAGCTAACTGATCCTCAACAATTTGCTCGAGCTGGAAATTGTCTCTTGCGTTGGTGATAAAGCTTGCTCACCTTGTTCGTAGATCGACGTTGATGATTTCGGTTTTTGGCGAAATCAGTGAATACGGTATCATAAGATTGCAATGTTACGATGATGACTTATCATCAAGCGAGCCAGCGCTGTGGGACGGATGGTTCCAATTGCAACCATTGATGCCCCTCCAAAAACCACATCATCCATGATATCAGATTGTCATATCAGATAGCGGATGACGGAAGCTCGGAGCGTCAGCACTCTGCTCCGCGGGACGATTTAGACCCCTCGCCAAAGGAAGCGCTTACGCATGGGCTAAGCTGGGTTCGCAGACCGGTCTGGCAGTTTAGTGGGCTGATAGGGGATCCCAATTGCCAGTTTGCTGCGGGCCCTCCGAGACAAGCACAGCGCAGAAGCATTGACGGCCGAATTGCTCCCAGTTCAACCGATCAAGGTTCGGGAATTCAATGAATGAGAACGGCCCTTCGCCGTGATTTTGGTCGGCGAGGTGGAAGAATATATCGGCAAATGTGTGCGAAATGCAGGGTTTGGATCCTTCCGGCGACCCTAGGCATGTCTGAGTGACAGCTGCTGCCATGCCAGTCGCCCTAACATTACTGCTACACGGTAGAGTGAGTGCCTGAGGCGTGGCCGAGAAAGTACCATACATACGTAGCTAGGTACAATCAGCCAGTGTCAGTTACCCGAGGACAGCTCAGGACCAATTTCCAGCTAGTGTGTATCTTGCAGCAGCAAGCAGCAGTCCAACAGTTGCAAGGTCAGGGTCGCGTGGGGGTCTCTCGGCACAGCCGCTGGGGGCGGAGCCGTCGATAACCCCTGATAACCTTGGGTCCAATTGGTGGCCGAGATTGGAGAGAGAGCTTCCCTCCCCTCAGTGCCAGTGCAAATGCTCCTCCTGGTTGCTTTGCAGCTGGCCTATGCGCTGCGTTCCCCAAAAAACGAATCCCCCCATCCCGCCTAACGTTGAGCTACTAACTGTGAACTATCCACAGCGGTGCGGGGCCAGATGCCCCGTTGGCCCATCCATTCATCTTCAACGGGAACAGCCAGGAGCCGTAGAGTCTGGCGTTAACTTAGTTGCTGAGGCCATCGTCATGGGCGCGTTAGAGTCTTGGAAGTGAGGGGTTGGGTATGTTAGGTTGGTGTCCTCACCAGCAGACTGAAGAGCGAGGCAAAGATGCGGGCCGACCGATGCCTTGTCCTCCCACGCCCGCACAGTAAGAGAGAGCGGCTGGAAGCACATGTGTCTCCTGGTGCTCATCCCTGGCTCTCTCTCCAACCAAAGTGTAACCCGAACGGACTAGGGCAGGCCATTCCCGAGCAAGTGCTACGGTAACTCGAGGTAGAGTTGCGTGCCCAGACCGCATAGTGCACAAGCGCACCCCCGTCAGTCCCAACCTTGGAGCAGACCCAGTCTACTACCCTGGGCTCGGTTCAGCTCCCATCCCAGCTCCTCCACTTTGCTGCTCGTGGTGGTCTTGGTCCTGGTCCTGGTCCTGGTCGTTGTTGGTCTTGTCCCGCTAGTTTCCCTTATCGCCCACACCCAAAAGGATATTCTCCCACGTTGAAACCCTCAAACGCGAGCCAGGCCGACCCAGAGAGAGACACAGAGATAGAGACAGAGACAGAGCGTACGTGCGCGCAGACGGGACGCGAACAGACGACGGCCTTGTTTCCCCCATCTCGCCCGTCCCCCCTGATACTCGCTCGCTCGTGCTCATAAGCTCATAAGCCCGGCCATGAGCATGCTTAGTCTGCGTTCGAAGCTGCACTCTGCCATCCGGCAGACGCGCAAGCCCTCCACCGGCAGGAGCAGCGGCTCGCCCAAGGGTGTTGTCGGAGCCGACGCCAACGACGGTGGTCGAAGCAGCAGCAGTAGCAGCGTACCACCCCTGGCGGGGTCCTCTCCATCAGCCGCCGGAGGAGGAGAAAGCAGCTCATCTGCCCCGCAGCAGACATTCGCAATCAGCCTGTGCACTCTTCCCGCCGAGCTTCTGCGCAAGATTGCTTCCTGCTGCGACATCGCCGACATCTTGTCTCTCAGCCGCACAAGTCGACAATTAAGAGACCTCCTCGACGATCCCCTGGTCTATCAGGAGAGTCTGCGTCTGCATGTAAGTGGTCATTGCTTTTTTTCAAATGTAGCGCGCAACGGCTGGCTGGCTCGCCCGTATGTCGCGTGGCCTGAACCACCACCGGTTCTGACCCGCACCCCCACCTGCCATTGGCTCGAGCGATATCTATCACTGACTGACTGATGATGACGACGAGAAGATGGCTGCACTCACAACGACGTCGACTCCTGGCAAGGATGCACTCATCGATGCCCTTGGGGTTCAATTGGCCGACGACGATGCGGCGCGGTCTGTCTGGGAATCCTTCGCCGTGGCCATTCGGCAACGGGCCAGCCTGAAAACGGAGATCGTGAGCCTGCTCCCGCCGTTAACCAAGCCGGACAGGTCACCGGCACCGGAGACGGGAGGACCCGACCGGGAAGTAGTCGAAGAGCTGGAAGGGAAGTTGGGAGTGTCGTCGACCTTGCTTGTCCTTGGCTGTGAGTGGCTTGCATGTGGACCTCTGATGACACGCCTGATCAGGTGACTGATGATAACCCCTTCTTCTTTCGCAGACTCGGACCTCTGCGATCTCGAGCTGGGCTACGAGCTGCTGGGCATCAACAACTGGTCGATCAAGCAAAAGATATGGCCCGAGTCACGACTCCTAGGCGACAAGCAGCTGAGCCTGCAGCTCGCCTTCTGCACAGCGATGAGCCTCTTGCAACCTGCGGATTGGGCGCTGGTTAAGAAGCAGCCCCCAAATAAGTTTAAGCTCGCTGCTCTCGCGATCAAGAGAGAGTTCCAGGGGGAGCAGATGAGCCCCATGAATGCTGCTTTCTGTAATAGCTGGGACGGTTTACAGACGCGATCACTCCAGTTGGCTGCCGTCATAACATACCTCATGAAATCTGCAGAGAAACCCGATTTACCACTGGCGGACAAGATACCCTTCATCAACCCCTTACCACATAACGGTGACCCAAGATCACGTCCGAGACTGCCACTTCTGGACCGAGGAAGGGGGAGTTATCTTGCAACCACGGCACAGTCGTGGCAAGAGTGGTACACGTCACGGATACGAGAGATGATAGAGAGCATTGAAGAAGAAGAATGGTATGGATACTACATATATGCGCTCAACATCGGCACGTCATCAGACCCGGCTATGGAGGGCATTCAGTTCACGACTGGTGCCGCGGACGCCAAGGGAAACATAACCCTAGAGGCGAAGGATGCCATGGACGGTATCGTCCGAGGCTTCAACTTCGCAGGCTCGATCAACCGGACCACGGGGATCGTCAGCCTCAAGAAGCAGTACATTGGCGCGCACCAGTGGACATACGAAGGGGTCATGACCCCGCTAGGCATCGTGGGCGAATGGGGCCGCGCGCAACAGGGCATGTTCGGGCACTTCTGGCTTTACAAACGGAGTTGGATAGACAATAATGCTAAGCCGGAGCGGGAGATTTATTACTGACAACTTGGGACGGAGGGTCTTTTAACGGTAGCAAGCGACTTCTTTCTTCCTGGAACTTTGCTGGTTTCCATTACATCAGATATTCTCTGGTTGATTTTCCTGGATTTCAAAAATATCATGTAAGATATTTCCTTTATGGCCCCCAGCTAGCGTCTGCATTTAAGAGGCACCCACAGGTCTAGAACGCCCTGGTTGAGTTGGTAAGCATGGAATATTATGAGTTCAACAGACAATGGCAATGACTACTGGCAAGATGTCAAGCCCTCCGTGGCTAGTCCCTTCTACTGACTCGTGATCTCGTTTCGATTGCTATGGCCTTCAAGCGTCTACCGATATTTGGCTTTAGTATTGCGTTCTTCTCTGGCCTTGTGTGGATTTCTTATCTGTAATTTTACAAAGGCAAATTTCTTCATTCTATCCCCTAAGGGCCCCTCGCCGCTTTCGACAGCCAAGCACTAGCGAGCGCGCTGCACCATCCAACACTGATCCGCTGCACCTCAGCAAGGTGAATGAAAACCCTCAACTGCAACTGAGGGGTCAACAACCATTCAGGCCCACAAATGACGTTGTGCAAACGTGACATATTGTTAATTCTCGAATTCCCTTCTTCTAGTTCTAATAATGTTGCTTTTTATCTAGCTTCTTCCCCTGCGCGGCATGGTGGAAGTCGAGTTGTTTAATTTGACTGATTCCGCCATTCTCTCTCATTAACTGTACCCTCCACCCATGGCAATGCCTACGCGTGCCATATCGATGTTCCCATTCTCGTACTAGTCCTCGATATGGAATAGTTTGGTGCTTGTGTAGTCTCATTTTATTGCACGACTATATATTTAGCCCCTGTCTGACGGAGGGAATGCTCGCCCTTATCCACTCTAGGTGCTCACTGCGCTCATAGCGGACTGACTACATAGGTATTGTCCACATATGTCTCCTTTTTGTAAACTTGCTCTGGGAAATGAAGTGAAATGATAAGGTATAAACGTGTGACTTATATTCTGGGTGGCCCAGGCCAATAGGGACTCGGTTCCTTTAGTGTCTTTGCATGCGGCTCTTGTGGGCTGGTTTATCTCTATCTACTTCTTATTCTATCTTCGTGTATTGGTAACTACAATAGTCGATCGATAGCGTTGTCAGGCTGCTTCATTATGTGGTGCAATAGACAAATAGAATGTGATGGGCCCGATAGCTGCACGAATATGTCGTATGCTGTAACGGAAACGGTCCTTGATCGCCTTGTGTTGAGTTGTAACTAGATCAGCTGCTTGTCTTTCTCACCTGTGTCTTGAGCTGTGGTATTCACAGATAATGTGTCCTTAGTCTAATTGTTTACGGGTAGGTCATATCTGGATATTCTACTGACTTACTAAATTGCACCTCAGCACACGAAGGCCAGATTTCCGAGGAGTGGAAATAGACCTGTTAACAGTTGGGTTTCATGTAAGAAGGACGCTAATGGCAAATGTCAGCTGCGCCTCGGAAGAGAATAACGCCTGCTAACTTATGCAGGCCAGACAACAACATGTTTTTTTCGAAACCAATCAATCTGAGCTAGCGCCTGAGCGAGTAGTGCCTACATATTGGCGAGAATCTGACGCCTGTGCAATGCGAAAGGTAGTTCATCAACAGAAGAAAAAGCCTTATATTCAAAAGGATGTATTTGCAAAGCGACGGTGAGGTTTAAGGACTGGTCTAAGGCAAGGCAAGGCGGCAATAAAGTATACCTAGAGGAGATCGACTCAGCCCCTCACTTCTTTCCCCTCTATCCATTGAATTGCCAATGGCGGATCCATTCTCTCTTGCAGCCAGCGTCGCAGGTATAGTCTCGCTTGCTAGCCACGTATTTCATGGTCTTCACAGCTTCCGAAGGCAGGCAGCCGGAGCACATTCAGCGGTTGCTGAGCTCACAACTGGAACCAGGAACTTATCGGGCATCCTTCAGAATCTGTCGCTGCTCGCAGCATCTTTGGAAGAAGAATTGACGTCGTCTGGGCCTGGCCACCAGCGGCCTGTGAGCTTCAAAGCACAACATCTTAACGCCTGTCGGCATACGCTTCTTCGAATTGAAAAGCGCCTGAAAAAGGCCCAGGATGACTTTGCATCTGGGCGCAAGCTTAAGTCGATTTCGAGGAGCCTCAAATGGCCTTTCTCCGTGGAGGAAACGAGAGAGTTGCTGGACGAGATGGCGGGTCATCAGCGGACACTTGAATTGGCTCTCTCAGCTGACACCTTTGGGAAGCTGCTGCAGTGTCTCGCAAAGCAGGAGGTTATGGACCAGAGTATCAAGGCACTGCGGACCACGATCGAGCGCAAGTTCAGCATTGACACACGAATAGAATGGAACAAGAAGCGTACCACGGTCATAGAATTCTTCCTACGTATCAACCCGCAAGCTAGCTTCCAGACCTGTCTCAACCTGCGTCAACCGATGACAGGTCTGTGGCTGACCGAGAGCAACCCAACATTCTGGCAGTGGAAAGACACCCCCAATTCAAAGATCTGGCTGAGTGGAATTCCGGGCGCTGGAAAGACTATTCTCTGCGGGTCTGTCATCGAAGAGGTTCTCCAGGAGAGCAGCGCACAGGTCGCTGTAGCGTTCTACTTCTGCGACTACAAGAACGAAAGTAGCCAGCAAACGACCACCATACTGTCTGTGCTTGGCGCACAGATAGCTCAACAGAACGATGATGCATTTACACATCTGGAAATGTATTATAATGACCTGCATCCCGAGAAAGGACTAAGCAGGGAACCAAGCACAGATGACCTTTTGGACGTCATTAAACATATGACCGCGTCATATGACAAGGTATTCCTGGTCATCGATGGGTTAGACGAATGCGGCGTCAATGTTCGTCACGTATTGCATTCTCTCAAGTCGATTATACACACATCTCCTGCCGTGACCGCGGCCCTCTTCAGCAGAGATGAACCGGAAATCCGAGAGGAGCTAGCGGGAGACTTCGGCCACATAGAGATCGCCGCTCACACTGAGGACCTGGAACTTTACGTCCGGGCCGAAATGGAGAAACGGAAGCAGTTAAGCAATCTAGCTGTGAAGAATCCTACTCTTGATGAGGAGATACGCCGCACGCTCATCAGCGGGGCTAAGGGAATGTGAGTATGCTTTGTCTGTCTGTTTGTCTAAAGAAGTAAAGTTCTATATTAACTCTAGGTTGACAGGTTCCGGTGGGTTGCCTGCCAAATCGACCACCTCTGCGAATTACCTACCGACAGAGCCCGTAGAAAGGCGTTAAAGGAGTTACCGCCGACTCTCTTTGAAACGTATGATAGGATCCTAGAAAGGTTACTCACTATGCCACTCGAGACTCGCATCATTATCCAGAAAGCCCTTCATTGGATTGGCCTTGGGGAGAATTTTACAATTGAAGAATTGTGTGAAGCTGTATCGATTCCCGACGGCGAGGACGAGATGGATGTCGATGACATTGCTGACGAAAATGAAATCACAAGTCGATGTAGCAGCCTCGTGCGGAAGACCAATCGCGGTAATCAACTTGAATTCGCTCACTTTACAGTCCTGGAGTATCTCGAGGGCATTGAAGCTTCGTCGCCCTTGGCATTTTTCAGATTTTCCAAGAAACAGGCCATTTCGACATTAGTTTCGACCTCCTTTCGGTTTCTCACCTTTCCGGCTTTCGAACGACGCCCGATTGCTATCCCGGCCGAACTGAAGTTCTTGGACGAAAGAAATTCAAGACACCCGTTCTATCCTCGAGCTGCGCGCTTATTCCTGGGAAAAGACATGGGCGTCCTGGAGCAGGAAACCTTGACCGTTCTACTAGAAGATGCTTCATTCTTCCGCCGGTACGTTGAGAAGTTATTCAACCCGAACAAACCTGGCATTTTTCTGTCATGGCTGCTCGAAGGATCTCGGTGGCACCGCATCATCGGGGAGAAAAAGGAAAAAGGAGTCGTGACCCTCGTAACTTGTATATTGAGGCCTGAGTTCACACCTTTGAATGTTGCTGCTGCTCTTTCACAGCCCAAGATATGTCGTTTTCTTCTAGATCGAGGCGTTCCTGTCAATTCGATCAGCGAACTGGGCTCACACTTCATTTTGCCCTTGGTGGCCCTCGAATGCTCTCATCGGCTTCGGCGTCGTCTTCCGTCCTTGCTCTTCCTTGGTTCTACCAAGGACCTCCCAGTTCTTGGTTCAGCAAAGTAGAGAGTACGATTTCGTTACTTCTAGATTGCGGTGCTGACTCTGCGCAACGCTGGCGGTCCACATCGGCTCTTGCAATAGCAGTCGGCCTATCCCTTCGCCAAGGGGACATTCGTGGACTCTTGCCTTTCTTTCGACCCGATACCGCTATTCCAGACGATGCGATCGACGAATTCGAGAACGCAACAAGTTGGAGGGATGACTTCCAGTTGGAGTTGCTCCAAGTCGTTATAGACAAGGTTTCACAGCTTGGATCGTCTTCTAACTTATCACGGCTCCTGCCACCGATTCAGAGAATAGCAAAGCGTCAACACATCGACTTGCCTCCCCTGCCCCCTGCCATGCAGTATATAGCAGGCATGTCGGATAATGATGTTCTACACGCAATCAAAGTATCAGCTGAGTATGATTTGAGCGAGGATCTCGAGGCCCTATTGTCCTATACCAGGTCCTCGCAGCGGCAATGGGCGCTGCGAGCCGGGAAAACGCCACTACTTCATGTCGCCGCGAGAAATAATAGCAGGAGGGCGACTGCTGTCCTCTTAGACTTTGGTATTGATGTGAACACGACGGACGATAAACAGCAAACTGCCTTGCATCTTTGCTGTGAACGAGGCCACGCGGAGACTGCGAAGGTGCTACTCGAGCGAGGTGCACGAATTGACAACGAGTCAGCAACAGCTCAGGGTGATACGGCATGGCATATAGCAGCACGCCACAACACTCCAGAGGTCCTTTCCCTTCTCTTCCAATTTGATAAGCAGAGCGTGCGGAATCTTGCCGCCGTTTCTACCGATGGGCAAACACCGCTTTCCTGCGCGATTGTATCAGGTGCGGTCGGCGCGTCGCAACTTCTCCTCGACCGCTGTGAACGACCTTACAACCCAGATCTCTTCCAAAGCACTCTCCCTCTACTGCATGCTGCTGCCGAGACTGGGAACCAGGAGCTCTTCTGTCGATTGCTCGACAGTGGAGTTTCACTGCCGGAGACATCGACGGACGGTTCGACGCCTCTACATCACCTAGGGCCCTTTTGCTCGAAGAGCTTTGTCGATTACATGCTCTCCAGATATGACCATCTCATTGCGCGTGATGACGGAAAGATCCCGCTACAATTGATTTTGCTCCGACTCAATAACCCACAATCTGGGATAGGAGCTGTAGATGCTCACCTTATACGGTCCTGTCTCCCACCAAGCCATACCCTTCCCCGCGCCGGCACGGCCCCAGTGATACACTTCTGGGAATTCTTCTGTACCGAGATTGTTGCTCATTTCAGCATTCCGTGCTCTAGCTGCGGGACCTTTGGCGCTGCCCGCATCGACTCTGAGTTCAGCGACGCCTCTTCGTACCTTTCAAGCAATACGGACGAAATCGAACATGACCAAGAGAAGGAACGGCGTCAAAACCTGAGATGCAAGAGAGGGGTCATCTGGTCTGCAATTGACGCTTTGATCGACTGCGGAGTTGTCACATCTTTTGAGGCAACAAGGAAGACATCTGCTCTTATCCCACTATTCTCAGCACTACTCACACGCTCCTCATACGCCGACAAGGATAAGGACAGTATCCGCTGCAGTTGGATTGTGCCAGTGATCAATAGAGTAATGCAAGCGTCAACACACTTGTGGAAAGAGCCCAGGTCGCCTGTACATGGAGACCTACTTGTACGGGCAATACGTCAGAGCGAGCACCAACTCGTATCAGTTCTCCTCGAATACGACCCTGACGTGCATTCCCTCATTAGCAACGAGTCTCCAATCGAGGCAGCTTGTAGTACTGCCGACTTAATCACTTTCCGGGCTGTGCTACAGCATGTCGACAAAGACCGCATCAATGAAGTCAGCCTTCAAAGACGGCCGCTCATACACCATGTGGTCTTCGACAGCAACTTCTATAAGGTGGAGAAGACCAAGGACTTGCTTCTCCACGGCGCAGACCCAAATGCAACGTTTGCCACACGGGACAAAGAGTCGATCATCTCTCTAGTGGCCGGGAGGGGGCAGTTCGGCATAGTTGATCTCCTGGTGGAGTTCGGGGGCGACATCTATAATGCGGAACATAATGGCTTCACGGTGGCCACCGCAGCCGCCACTTACGGAAATGTCCAGCTACTGAAAAGGCTGCGAAGCGGAGAGGCCCCGGAGGGTTACTTCGCCAAGACCTTCAGCATGTTCTTTTACGACAAGCTCAACAGGCAGTGGCGTCCCGGGAAAGGATGTACCCTCTTACACAGCGCCGCCGCGGGCTCTCTTGGATACACAACCCAGTATTTGCTGGACGAAGACCTTGGGCTTAGCGTGAATGCCATTTCCGAGCACCGCGTGACTCCGCTTCATGTGGCCACACAGCGCGGCAACATCGAAGCCGTCATGGCTCTTATTGAGCGCGGCGCGAACGTCAATATGCGCGACGCCAGGGGCTGGCTTCCACTGGACTGTGCATTCGACGTCCGGGACCGCGAGATAGCCCGGGTCCTCATTGAAGAAGGATCCGAGAAGACCTCGATCGTTCAGTGGCTGAGCCTCCAAAGGACTGTACTAGAAGATCTCAACAAGGCTTCTGGTCAGCGACAGAGGACTTTCCACACGGCTTTTGACTTGGAAGCCGCTATCAAGACCGGAAACTTGAACGAGTGCAAGGCAATAATCGTCGACGAGGGCTGCTCTATTGACGCCATTCTGCCATCTTGTCAGGGCTGTCCACCGCTGTTCAGCTCGGTCCGGGCTAACAGGCCGGAAATTGTCTCGTGGCTAATATCCATGGGTGCAAACCCAGACAACGTCCTGTGCTGGGGGCATCGCGAATTGTTTTGTGGTCTGGCGCCGCTGGCCACCCATTACCTGACTTCAACGAAGTGCTTAGAGCAACTGCTCACCTACGTCCTTCTCCGTAGAATTGACGTATTCAACCAGCCACACAACCCTCTTCATGTGGCTGCGCAAAATGGGAACACCTCCTTCCTGTTGACCATCATCGCCCATATTCGTAGTTATGAAAAGGAATACCGGTTCGTCAGCCCCTGGCACATCCCCTCACTCTTGTCACTTGTCACTTGTCTCTAAGAGAACTAACAAAATGAGTTGTTAAGTATGATCACGGGATTCTCTCCATCAGGAGGTAAGGTTCCGGCAGAAGAGCAACTTCTCTCTCATCTCCTGAACCAGAAGAAACGGCCGCCTGTCTACACGAGTCGCACTGCCAATGAACCATCAATTTCATGGACTCCTCAGGGTGACACGCCTCTACATATTGCCGCAGGTAGAGGCCATATCAAAGCTATAAACATACTGATTGAAAACGGTGCCGATGTCAACACTGTCGACGAAGACGGGTGTAGCCCCCTAACGATAAGTGCCAAGGACGGCAACGTCGCTATCGCGACTCTTCTTATTAAGGCAGGTGGCAGTGTGAACCACCGTGACAACACAAACTACACGCCGTTGATGCATGCTGCCCAGAACGGCAACCTCCCCATGGTCGAACTCCTGCATCGCATGGGCGCAGACTTGTCTGCCGCCGACACAGAGGGTGGAACCGCGCTTGACTGCGCTGCCAATGAGGACGGTGAAGCCGTAGTCTTCGCCTATCTGGCATCGCGTTGCGTGCTGTACAAAAGGGACATATATGGCGTATCACCCGTGGAGAGAGCACTTCGAGTGCGGCACCTCAGGAGCCTTATCTTCAACTCGGACATGTTGCACGCCGATTGCGAGAATCTCGAGCAGCTCCTGCCATATTCCGTGACCAATATCAACTCTTCATTTGTTAATAAATTCTGTCGAGCGTTGCCGACTCCCGTGGCCCGACGACTCGTAAACCTGACTCCGAAATTGTGGCTGGCGCCCCTCTGCCAGGCGGCAGCAGCCAACGATTACGCCAGCGCCGAAATCCTTCTTAGACATGGCGCGGAGATCGACTTGGAAGGATCGCCCGAAGGCAGTCCCCTGATGATTGCCTGCTCTTTTGGACGCCTCGACATGGTGAAATTTCTGGTCCGCGCTGGGGCAAAACTCGAGTATACCAACGAGACGGGAAATTACAAGAATGCATTCGTTTCCGCCCAGCCCCATAGTCACATAATCGAGTGGTTCCTGCTAGGAAGATTCCAAGAACAGAGTAGGCTCCGGTTCGGGCCGGCATCCGAAGCTGCAGAAGTAAAGCCCTGGGCCGGCATCGTGCCTTTTGAGTTCCATCTACCACGAGAGCTACAGCAGAGATGGGACCAACCCATAATGGATGTTTTATATCAAAGACAGCAGTTCAAAAAGAGAATGAGAGGCAAAGTGGTGAAGTGAAAATCGAAGGCATACGCTCGCTCGATCTCCCTTCACAGAAGGTGGCAACATAAACAATGAGCAGTCCAATCGAGCTTCTGCGTTAACTACACTTGGACCGAGCGTAGACAGGGTCAAAATGACGGCTACATTCTCAGCTACAGCAGAACTCAGTGTGGCAATAGATACGTATAGATACTGATCCCTATCACAAGAGCAGGAGAGAGTGCACATAAAGACAATAATGTAGGGCACACTGTATGAAATGGATCTCATATCAAAAGCCTATGAGACAGTAAGGCGCACGTACTTCGATATCGAGAGAATATGGAATACTGCGCCTGGAATCGGACTCTGAGGAAGGCAGTGGCTTGGTAGAAGGTCATAGCCAGCGGAGGCATGGCACCACAGGCGTGGCGAGCCGGAATACCTCTACCCGGGCCTTCAGTAATGTAGGAGATAATGAAGTGTATGATGTCATGAAGCCCAGGATCTAAGGGATATAGGCTATCATAGCCTCAGAATATGGAGCTATCCGTAAATTGTGTCGAGGGGTCGAAATATTGTGATCTGATGGTGCTGTGGTGGTGGGTAGGCCATGGAGGGATCCACTACTCTCCTTAAAAATACAGCAACACTAACAGCTTCATTGAATGGCGCTTGTAGCAACTACCACTATGTCATTGCCACCTAGGAGAGCATCGTGCTATGCAAAGCAGAATGAGCAAGATGACCACTTTTGAGAGAATCTGAGATAATATAGAAAAGACTAGTCTCGCAAGCCGAGAGATCCAAGTAGTGAATCTGCTCGTGCTTATGCCAGCAATACTCAATGTGTTCTGCGGAAGTGTGAGCAATCTCAACTTTTCTGAGACGTGTCAATTAGCTCACTGTCTTGGGAGCTCGGCGGGCGCCGATCTTGTGGAGCTCAAGACGTGGGCGAATCTCTGCAAGAGCCACCTCGCCGTCAATGACAATGACTGATGGGACGAGATTGCAGGGCCGAAAGAGCAAACGTGGAGACGCGCGTTGAGAGCCGCACCTTCCAACCTCGGAAGCGGAAACGCCAACAAATGAGTTGCATGAGATCATGGATATGTGAAAAAACGATGAAAAGCATTGCTTGAGCTCGCCTAACTTGGAAGCGTTTATGGTGACGTCTCCATTGATTTTGTCCATTTCATCCGCCAATAGGTCATCCTGGGTAGGTATAGAGCGAGGCCTGCTGAAGCAATGTGAGCTACAGCTCCTGCAAAGCTTGCTCTGGTCATGCAAACGAGGAAACCTCAGCATAGCTTGAATAAATGTGTGTGTCAATGAAATGAATCTGACAGATTTATTGCCGAGCAAGTTGTTGGGTGAGCCACCCCCTTGAATATGACAGGAAATGAGCAGAACGACGTTTGAGTGATTATGTTTCTTAGTCTGTTAATTGATCAAAAGCGTGAGCTCAGTAGATTTGTCAAAGACGTATCATATTTTGCATGAGACAGGAGAGTCACCAAGAAGTGCGCAGCACGTTTCGGTTGAGCATGTCTGATCTGGAACGATGTTGCACGAGTCTGTGGCTGTAGTGAACAACAGCTCCTCCGATCGAATTTCTTAGTACAAATTAGGGTCCTCGTCATCACGACTTCAGATCAAACATCAAGTTCAGACCGCCAGCTTGACATGTTATTCTCCGTATACTACCAATAGCCTCCAGCAAGAATGATCCTCATACCACCAAGTGTTCTCTTCTCCTCCACACTTCCCGCTGATGAACAGACGCCCAAAGCTACTGAAGTTCTTCGTAAAGATGGGTGTTGGATTTCAAATTAGACGCTGGACGCCCGGCGAGCTCACGTCTTAGGAGGCTGGCCGACCTCGTCCGGGACTACCCAGTATGTGGCACGCGTCTCTCCCAATTTGCAGTAATGAGAGAGGGGTTGAGCATGTGGACGATCAGGGAAATGATGAACCAGTGCTGTATACGCACCATTGGGAAGACAACCGGCTACTACCATATACGTGCTGATCATGCTAGCTGGTTCTGGACAGGGCGAATGCTTGCTGAACAGGCGATCGGCCCCTTAAGGGAGCTTGATAGTAACGATCAGAGTGAGTTTCTTGACGACTTCGTAGACAGCATCTCCATTTCTGTTGCCCAAGAATCTCCTGTTCACTTTCTCAGAAGTCTTGTGAGGTGCTGGTGCTGCAATCACCAGTCCATTATTCTCTCGCACAGGTTGCACAGCGACTTCCTATTCATCATACTTAGATATGTTTTCTGTGGGCTCTCCAATGGTCTTCATTTTATTGACTTACCTCCTCACTGGCCATTGGACGTAGCGTCGTGTGGTCTATTCGAAGGTTATCATTGTTGAGAGAACGACTTTCACGGTTGGGCGAAGAAATATAGGAAGACTCACTACGAAACAATGACGCGACTGCATCGTCAAGGGCGCCACCCTCTCTCAGGTAGCGTCGGACAGCTCGGCTATCGTCCCGGTGAGTGTCTGCCGGGAACTCTCGGCCCGAGTCTCCCTTCATTGCTATAGCTGCAGTTCTTGAGCTTGCCTGCTATGCTTCCGTTTGTGTGATCAGGAAGGGGGCTGACCAATGTGAGGTCATGCCTTGACGAAGAAAATTTGTGCGAAAGTTCGAGAAGCCCCCCAAACCAAAACTGTGGAAAAGAATAGCCTGAGGGGCAAAGACAATTTGAAAATTGGATCTCATTCCCCTCACTGATTGGAACGCTTTCTATGCTCGTTTTGGGCATGTCACGCCTCGTGTTGGGACCAGGACGGCCTTTAGAAGTCACACACTGTCCACCAGACTCAGAGAAAGGGGCGTAGCATTTGTCTCGATGTGTGAACACAGTCTTTGTAAAGAAAACCTAAAGGACCTGATACATTCTTTAACAACAAACCTCACTCAGGACCTTAAAAATGGTTCATTTTGCATCTAAGTCTGACGATTATCTGTGCAATTGGCACGAAATCAATGTCAAAAAAAGGTGGACATTCAACATTCAAGCCTGTCTTTCGAAACGGGAAATCACCATCAATGGGATTATGCGCCAGGTTTGGTAAAGACTACAAAAGTCTGATGCAAGAAGGTCACGAGTCTCTTACGCGGGCAGAGAGGATAGCAAGGTACCGTAGTACAATATTAATCAAGCATTGAGGAGCCATTAGAATCGTAGTAGATACTAAGAGTGTATATCTCATAATCCTACATAGATGTAGTACCTAGTGCGAGATGGTAAATGTCTAGTAATCCTAATTGTCACTGAGTAACAAGGTGACAAGACTCTAACCTAAGGAGGACGACAGAGATGAAGAGCCACTTGTTTGTAATGCAGCTGTTCAGAGCAACGTCAATGCCCTTGATCCCTGCAAATGAAAATTATTCTGTTTAAGCACAGTATTGGCCCGTTCGTCTTGTAAAATCCGGGCTGTTCAATTCTCATGCCAAAATATTGTCCAGGCCATGCTTACTGGCCTCTTCCCATTCCTTGCTGAATTTGTAGTCCAGGTATCCGTCTTTGGTTTTGATCGCGTAGAATAGATCGCGGTTATACCTGTTTGGCTCAAGCCCTCGTCTGATCCTGAACGGCAAGTCGGGTGTAGCTAAGAAGTACCGACCAAAGACTATAGCGACATTCTTGTCCTTGTACTGATCATCCATGGCTGCCTGGGCAGTATCGGGCTTCCAACCACCAGCGATCAAGAAAGGGGAATCATCTCCCCAGATGTCCAGCAAGAAATCGATTTTCTCGGTCCCTTGACCTGCGTTATCACCCGCAATCCGCGACTCGACGACATGGAGATACGCCAAACCTAGTGCCTTGAGACCTTTAACTAGTGCAGAGAACTGGGGATACGGATCGGCCATCTTCATACTCTGGAAAGTCGAGAAAGGACTGATTCGAAATCCGACCTTCTTAGCACCGATAGCATCGGCCGCCGCCTTAGCAACCTCCAGAGCAAACCTGTTCCTCCTATCAATGGAACCGCCGTACTCATCGGTCCTTTGATTTGCGACATCCTGGATAAACTGGTCGACTAGATAACCATTTGCACCGTGAACCTCAATACCGTCGAATCCGGCTTCAATGGCATTTTTAGCCCCCTGACCAAAATCTGCCACCAAAATCTGGATCTCTTCATAACTTAAAGCCTCCGGTTCCGGGTGGTCGCTGTCCATAGAGATATTGCTCGATGAAACAATCTTCATGCCTTCCTTCTCGGCGATTTCTTTGTCTGCTACGCGTCCCAGAGCCCAGAGTTGTAAGAATATGTAGCTTCCCTTGGCGTGCACTGCGGTGGTCACTCGTTTCCATGACGCAATTTGGTCTTTGCTCCAGATTCCAGGGAGATTGGAGTATCCTGCCGCACGAGGCGAGACAACCGTCGACTCGGCGATTATGAATGTGCCCGGAACAGAGGCGCGTTCAGCATAGTAATCTGACACAAAGGGGAGGGGAACGTGGTTCTCGTCGTTGCGGAATCGGGTCAATGGAGCCATGACGATGCGGTGTTTTAGTTCCAGGTTGCCGATTTTGAAAGGTGAGAAGAGCTGTGAAGGGGCAGCCACATCTGAAGCGATTGATCCCATGATGGCCGGGATGTGCTTCGTTAAGAACTAGAATCTAGGTGGCTGAGTAGATAGAAGTTAAGACCGGATGCTGAAGGGCCAGATAGGTATGATACGTATGGTAGAGCAAAGTATAGATATAGAGGAGGAAATTGAGACATCAACATTCATACATACTGTGATCACAAAATTTCAAAGCTCAAAAGATCGAGGAACATCGAGTTTAAATAAGGTGGTCTCTGCCACCACGGTTAGTTTCCGGTCGAGGAGCTAGATTAAAATTCCGATGCTCATAATCCGTAAATAACGAATCCCTGATTGCACGCCATAGATGGGACATTTTTGCCTCCGGATTGGTAATCAATATGCCGTAACATCTCCGGATTTTGCGAACTAATTAGTGAGTGCCTTTCTTGTGGTGACACACTCCGAAGGGTTTGTAGTTGTTGGGCTTCTCAGCTTTGTTTCTTTTTCTAGGTGACTAGACAAACAGGGGAGATGACTCGACTCGTGATTAGCAAAACCCATAGAAGTCTCGCGTAATTATAGATTGGCCAATGGCAACCTGGAGTCACCAGAGGCCGGTGACTCTCTAGAGCAGAGAGATTCAAGGAGTGTAAGCATAACTTCCGGTGTACTCTAGAAGTTCCATCTTATTATGGAGAAGCCCGACATATCCGCGCCATGATCGTGCAATGCCTTCTAAACCAAATAGCGCTGTGTTATCCATTACATGCCATGGGAAAGAGGCGGATCATGACTTGCCGGCGTCTGACCGTTGAAATCTTAGCTCAGCGAGCGTGTAAGTGTCCTTGACTACTATGGAGAGGGAAAACTAATGCATCTGAGGATGTTGTCTCAAAAGGGTATTAGACGATCCCTAGTTGCATGACGCTAGAAACTCTGTTATACAGGACCCACTTTAATGCCAACCAAGGTTTCTACCTCACTAATAGATGAGTTGCAACAAGCTGTAAACGCTGATTTTCACCACAGCTAGGATACGAAATCGATCATTCCACCGAGATCGCACAATGATGATGATTGATTCGGAACATCAGAAGGAGTCTCTGGTTTACAAATGTATGTATGAGAGTCAGTGCATCAATGTTTTAGTTCATTTATATCATGGTTCTGGATCCTCCTCTACCAGTCTTATCAGGAGTCAGTATTGTCAGTATTCTCAAGTCAACTTTCACACATAAACCTTCAATTCATAGTACAAAGGTCAAGACACTCCGAATTATACTACATAAATATGGAGAAAATAACAAAGAGCCTCTCTACTGGCCATGAACCACCAAATCAGAACGCTTTCATGAACTAAAGTCTACCGTTCGACTTCTTCCTTTTGTGATTGTCGCTGTTTTTATCAATCTCACTTCCGGATCCCTCCTTTTACGAGTCAAATATTACAAGCCATTACATATCATCTCGGGTATCTTAATTACGCTTAGTAGTTCTCTCTACTACGTATATCTCGATCCTTCATCAAATGTTAGCACGACATATTGAACATGCTTTGCTCGAACTCCGATCATTTTGCCTATCCAATATCTCAATGCTGTAGGATATATACTAGGTACATGCATGTAAACCCGTTGCAAACTGGAAGTCCTTATGGGTGGACCAGGCCGCCATCTACGCCCAGAACCTGTCCAGTCAAGTAGCTGGCAGCCGGGCTTGCCGCAAATGCGATAACATTTGCAACTTCCTCAGCACTTCCATTTCGTTTGATATACTGCTGGACTCTGAACTTCTGAGTCAAAGGTGCTTCCTCCGGTGGCGCGTAGTCAGTGTCAATCGGCCCCGCCGCAACCACATTCACTGTAATGCCTAGCCCACCAAGCTCTTCAGCCCACGCAAGACTCAGTGTGTTGAGGGCAGCTTTGGTACTAGAGTAGAGTGAGCAGTATTTCGATCCAGTTTTGGCCACGAGACTTCCAATATTGATGATACGTCCTCCTGGAGAACTGAGATGAGGAAGGGCTGCTGTGATGAGAAGTTGGGGACCCCTGACATTAGGATGAAACAGCGCATCGAACTCTTCAACCGGCACAACTTGAGGCGACTCCTGAAAAGTGGCATGACCGGCATTGTTGACAATGATGTCGATCTTGCGGCCAGGAAATGATTTAGTAGTGGCATCGATCAAGTCCTTTCCGAAAGTTGGAGAGCCTGCGTTGGCTTGAACAGCGATGACCTTGACACCCAGGGCTTGGATCTTGTCTACGACTCCCTGCATGGCTACCTTGTTGGTGTTGTAGGTAAGAACAAGCTTCAAAGGAGGTCAGCATATCAGAAATTACCGATGTAAGAGTGTCTTACGTCGGCGCCACCCCTTGCTAAAATATGTGCCGTTGCATAGCCAATACCGTTCAGCTTCGAGGCGCCAGTAATGATGGCCAACTTGCCCTTGAAATCGGTAGACATATTAGAGTAAATTTTATTTCGACAAGAGATTTGGGGGTCAAGAATTATGGTTGATGCGATTTCGAAAGTAAGTGGCAACTGGCCGGACATAAAAACCAAAAGGTATAGACAGAGATCCCTTTTATATTGTGCTTTGCTGTCATGGTGAGGTTTTGATCATTCGTATAATTGAGCGAAGTCAAGACACGAAGTGTCAAATGCAATGTGAGTATCGCGAACTTACTAGAGCCTCGATGTATGAACAAATCACCTCCATTTACCTAAGCGTTTAGTGGTTTCAAGCACCATCAACCCACGGCATGTGGGGCGCGAGATGTCGTGCTACTACTGCACGAGCATGGGTGCCGACAACCATATCCGGGTAAGGGCGGATCATTTCAGTGACCCGTGCGTGGAGAAGAAAACACTAAACTCTCCCTAGTGCTCTAGAGCTTGGAGCCTGGTCCACAGGGCTGAATTTGCTTATTGATCCATACGCAGTTCTCCCAGCATTCTTCCAGCAAAGTTTCTCCGACTCATAACGAATTTCGTGTCGAATCGTTCGGCGATCTTCCAATCGTCAGGTCTGCCTTGATTTGTAATAATATTCTTGAAACGAGGTGCAACCAGAGAACTCTTTACACTCCTATTTTGGCATTACAGAGCCGTATCTAAAGACGATCTCGACTTATAATTTGCAAGCAATTGCCCACCGACTATTACCTAGAAACGGACAATGGACCCCTTGGATCCGCGTCGGCACCTTTTCATAAACTCCACAGGTCCTATCCACGGTCGTTCTCGGGACAGGACCACTGCTCGAAGCATCAGACAACATGTGATGCGCGATATCGCTCAGTCCCGCCGCAAAATGCCCCGGAATCCTCAGGTAGCATTAGTAATGAGAGGCCCGGCGGACGAGACCCAACGTTCAAATCGAGAGAACATTTCAAATTGGGTGATGCAACAACACGAGTCTGTATATTGTCCAGACAGTAGTTACGGCTCTGTTCTGACTGGCCCGTTTTGGAGTCAGCACCCATTTGCTGTCCTCAATTTCGGCTGCGGCATGGACGCCTTCGCGGCTTATGGACTTGCTTTAGCGGCTACAGCATTTGAAAGAAAATCTGGTGGGCAGTTCAGTACTTCTCGTTGTTTCCATGCGATGTTTCACGCTTTGCCGGTCTGCTAATAGGTCTAGGGGTGGGGGCTTTCTGGTTTCCACTGGCATTTGAAGTATCCGAGATGCTGCGTCGTGTCCTCACTAATCCCGAAGTTCATGTGGCCTTGAAAACATATCCAAGGAAGACCAATGAAGTCTTTGCTCTTTCTCGCATGAATGACAACATTGCTTGCATCGAGTTGACTTTGGCAAGTCTCGATACAAACAAGTCAATCAGTAATCAGGTACTGCGTACTATTCTCGGTTCTATATGCTATAATGTGAGTCTGCTATCATATGGTCTTCAAGTCCTTTTTAATGCTTTGAAGTTCTTAGCCGCGGAGTTTACCCAAGCAAAGTTACACCTCGAAGGTGCCAAGATGATGATTGAGAGAAGAGGCGGAATTGACAGCCTTGCGGCAGACAATCAGCTGAGGCTAATGCTCTTTTGGTACGTTTAGCATTAGGTCGTGACAAGAAGAAAGCTAACATGATTGCCCGATAGGGTCGACATCGTTGTGTCTCTGCTTCACGACCAGAAACCCATATTCCCCACGCCATCCGACTTGCTACCTCATCTGCCAACAACGACGCCGCACTTTAGTGAAATCTTCGCAGTGAGTTCCGCTTTGAAAGAGGTTTGCAAGTGGACAGAATCGTGTCAGGTGGCAATCGACAGTCTAGCCAACCTTGCAAACTTATCAACGTTCATTGAGGCCGAATGTGCCGCTAGAGGGAGAGAAGTTTGGAAAGACGAAATTTTTCTAGGCTTGAGAGTCAACTCGGTGGCATATAGTCTCTTGGAGTCGCTGCCCGGTGATTCTTTTGAGATGCCCAATCAGGCTGCTTTTGAAGCACTTCGCTTGGGTATGATAGTCTGGATCATCGTGGTGAAGCAGAAGTCGCAGGCCTATCCTGGGCCCACCACGACATATGTTGCGAGACTGTTGCGCCTGCTCGAGGATAGTGATGTGAAACACCCGATGATGACCCAGCCAAGCCTGGTTGTACTTCATCTCTGGTTGCTGATGATAGTCATGTCTACGGTACCATTGTCTGATGAGAGACATGTCACTCGCAAGCTGATCGCAGAAGACATGGTGCAGCTTGGGATAGGGTCTTGGAAAGAGGTCATGACCACTGTACGGCTTTTGCCATGGATTGGGGACTTAGAACCATCTTTGCAGCTACTAGGAGGAAACTGAAGTTCGTGCGCAACAAAGCGATACACATCGCCGCATATTCAAATATACATCCTTATTCTGACTCTCCCTTTCAATGAAAGAGAGATTTGACGTCTCCTCATTAGCCTTTGCCGTGTTTTCCAAATGAAAGAGGAATTGGGAATTAGAGCAATCGGTCGTCCAGCCAGAAGATTCGGGTGCTAATCGCCTCTCGAGGGGTGGGTGCCGTCTTCCTTAGCTAAACAACCCATAGTCGATGAAACTCGAAGCGGTCGAGATTTCCTTCAGAAGAAACATCATCATGGGCGACTTCTTGATAGAGCTGATGCAGAATGCCTTGGTAAGCTAGCTAATCATGGTCTAGGTTCCTTTAAAGGAAGTGGTTGTTACACATGAAAAAGGAGCATTAGCCTCTAAGCAGTTCGCAACCCATTAACTAACCCACACTGACGTCGGCGACGTATATTATCTGCGCTCCTAAAATTTCACCTCAGTAAAATTATTAAATTGGCAGAGCCTGGAATCCACCCACCTGGTTCTGGAATCTAATTTGCGCACAACGGCAATGCTAGCTTAGTTAGTCAGCCGATGACCAAGGGTATGAAGCTCCACCATCAAATTTCTAATTACGGCACAGCACCCATGATTGCGAGCTCAGGTGCTCGGACTACGCGCTTTTTTCCTTCCCTTGATCTTTTGATGGCTCAATGGAATCTGCGACTAGAGAGATGAGTCGAGCAATTCGTTACGCACAACTATACACAGGACACACGTCTTGACGAACCAAAGGATGAAATCATGTCCGATAAGGTGTTCTTTGTATCTATTGTCACAGCGCTTCTCGTCATTGTTTTTACCGGATTCTTCTTCAAGGAATTTCTGAGGGTAACCTCCAGCGCAAAGATGAAATTCTCAACAGACAAGGACTCCCCCACGAGTTACAAGGACCCGAGCAAACTGAGTCAAAATCTCGCCGCAGCCTTGCCTGGAAGTGTTCTTCTGCCAAACAACGGGATGGCTTTCAGGCAGTCTGCTGAGCATCATTGGGCCCAACAAGAAAGCCAAGTAGTCCCCGCTTGTATCGTTCGACCACGAAACATTCAAGAACTTTGCACGGCTGTCAAGATTCTGGATCAAGCTCGGGGCGGTGGTGAGGGATCAGAAGATGGTCTCTTCGCCGTACGGAGCGGTGGGCACTCTTGGGTTACTGGCGCCTCGAGCATCAATGGAGGTACTTTGATTGACCTTTGTCTGTTCAGTGACGTAGAAGTGTATGAAGAGACATCGACTGCTGTGATTGGAGCAGGCGCAAGGTGGGGAGACGTCTCGAAGATTCTTGAGAAAAAGAACCTTGCTGTGCTCGGGGGAAGAAATTCCGACGTTGGAGTTGGTGGATTCCTTCTAGGAGGTGGTGTCTCTTTCTTCTCTCCTCGTTTTGGTCTTGCATGCTCGAACGTGCTCAAGTACGAGGTTGTCCTCGCTTCCGGTGAGGTGGTCACAGCAACTGAGTCTACGAGACCAGACCTCTGGCGTGCATTGAAAGGTGGTGCGAACAACTTTGGCATCGTCACACGATTTACTGTTCGGTGTTTCCCTCAAGACAAGTTCTGGGGTGGATATCTCTACTTGCCATCTTTCCAGGACAAAAAGGTTCTCTCGCTCTTCCATGACTTTCTCAGGAAAACCGATCAATTCAAGCAAGGCACCTCTTACGGTGAAAATGCTGCGGGACCTTTGACTGCTTTCTCTTACGTGCAGCCAGTTCACCTGGAAATTACGACCATTCACCTTGCATATACTGAAGGTCTTGGAATCGGGAAAGGATGGCCAAGCTATTGGAAATCCTCGCCTTTCGCCTCGCTCTGGCGTTACTGGAGTACTGTCAAAACCAGAACACTTACCAACGCGACCGAGGAACTCGAAGCCTTGAATACTCGAGGAAAACGTCAACAGCAAACAACATCAACAATCAAGAACGATCTTGCTACACTCACCGCCGCATACGCTATATATCAGGAAGGAATAACCGCTTTACGTCGCGCCGGTGTGAAGGGATTGATTTGGACCCTGGTAATCCAGCCACTCTCACCAGGTTGGTTTCGAAAGGGCGACCCGAACCCCATGGGCTTGCACAATTGCGGGGATGATCCGCTTGTTCTCTTGCTCTACGTGGCGGTTTGGGAACATAAGAAGGATGACGAGGTGGTGAGGGACAGAGTCTGGCAGAGCATTGAGAGGCTTGAAGCAATTGCTGCGGCAAATGGGACATCTCATCCCTATAAATACTTGAACTACTGCGGAGACGGGCAGAAGCCTTTCCAAAGCTATGGTGAGGAGGGCTTACAATTCTTAAGACAAGTTAGCCAAAAGTATGACCCAAAGAGCATGTTTCAGAAGCAATGTATAGGCGGCTTTAAGCTTGAGATGGATACTGAGTCGTGAGGTTCACGACTGCTCAAGCTCTGACCTTGCTAAGCCAAAATAATATCAATCATGGAATACTTAGTGGAACCAATTCTAGTGCACCACCTCTGGCGATCTCGAATACTAAGGTTGGACCAGAGCTGTCAGTCTGCCACACCATCCCATTCAGCTGGCACTTAGCAGACTATCGAAACGATTTCCTCTAGATGTCCGGTAGCTAAATTCGTGGATATCTGGCCCTGGCTCCTCTTCATCCTCTTTTTCATCACCAAGAATTGCTTGCACAGACCACGCGATTCTTTCCGCTCCAACTCTTGCTCCTATTAGGTTCGGTGCTCCCGGTCCAAGCTGCATTGCAGCTAGACGTCCGTTGATAAATAACGGCAGGTCTTGGCGCCACATCATATCGTCGGTGATACAAGGGAAGCCGCCAACAGAGGGTATGGGGTACTCTCGATTTACAGTCTCGAGCAGTGGCAATGTACGATGATCTGTCTGAATACCCGTAGCGAAGTAGATGTAGTCTATTGGTGGGAGGTCTGGTGCGGTATTATAATCACATCGAAGCTTTACCGACCATTGCTTGACACTTGAGTCCCATTCCTTGGAGTTGATAGTTGTGAAAGTCAAAACCGAGAGGCGTCCTGTCAAAATGTGTTTCTCGATTACTTTCTTGTAAACAGGGTTAATACTTCCGCCATTGCGGGCTGTGTGATACATCTCAAACCGTTCTGTTAAGGGTTATTACCTAGTTCACAGTTCGTTTCGAAGGGAGACACCACAAATACCTTCGTCGGAGTCAGCAGACCAAAACGCGGCTTGTTTCTGGTTGCGAAACTTTCCTACCCACTCAAGGTCCATGTCAAAGTGCTTGACTAATTCACAAGTCAATCGGGTAGTTTGACGGTTTCCGAGATATATCTCACCTTTCAATGGCCCTCTCATGATCAACCAAACCTTTGACACGCCCGCACTAATAGCACTATCCGCAATTTGAGCGGATGTTAGTCCTCCACCAACGATTAGGACGTTAGTGGGGATTCGGGAAGCTATCTTTGCTTTAACATTGAGTGATGGTAGAGTGGTTATTTGCATTGTGTGACATGCCCCCTCAATACGGTCGGCCGGTTGTAGCCCTGGAATACAAGCTTTGTTTCCTGGGCCGACTGCAAGGACAACGATCTTTGCGAAATGTTGGCCCTTGCTGGTCGAGACAGTAAAAAGCTTGTCTGCTTGAGGATGGAGTGCGGGATACCCATATGTGATGTCTTCAACGGACTCCTGAGCTACTAGATGCTTGTCAAGTTTATAGCGATCTAGCACACAGTCGCAATGTGCGCGAAAAAGTGGTGTAGACGGCGTGTTGTAATCGGTTCGATCTCTTTCATTAATCACATCCTCCGCAGGACTAGAAATATTAGTGTCCCCCTTAACGTTGAATAAACCTCGTCATTCTCGTCTTACTGTTGTGGTTTCTTCCGGCCATCTCTTTTCTTGCGCTGATGCTTGCTGAGCTCTTTTCCGACACATCCCTTGATCTCCCGCATCTCGTCTTCCCTGCCGTTAAAATATGCATATGAGAGCAATCCGTCCCTTTCCGCGGGATCAAGGTGAAAGAACATGGGACTTCGGAGGTATGTAATACCAAAAGTTGAGAATAGTCTGTTCCATCGAGCCATCCATTTATCACCGTCTTCGTCCAAAACAAGAATATCTGGCCGGACAGACGTTGCCTTTGACGATGGAGGGCTTACACTTCCTGTTTTCCAATTCTTGATGCTTGCTCGATGGCCATGTTTTCGAATCCAATGGTATCTCTGATGCTCATCAGATGTGAATTGAGCTCCTGGGAGAGGTTCCAGAAGTCGAGCAGCAACAGCGAGACCAGATGGCCCAGCACCTACGATAATAACGTCATGGACATGGGCTTGTTGGATTTGAGAGCGCGGCATGTTGAACTTGTGAAATAATTTGCGCAATAAATCAGAGGCTCCATTCAATTCGAGGGAAAGTATCTGAATATATTTGGACAACCATCGCATTTAAGTGGCACACCGGCCATGTGAGGACCCTGATGTCCACCTCAGCCAAAGAGGTATCGGATTGATAGGTATCATCTGAGCACCCTATAGATCATCTCAGGTGAACTAAGACGTATATTAAGTGGGACATATTGTACCGATGAGTTGTACCTAGGTATTGTAACCACCCAATACCAGTCATATTCTATGTGGGACTGGGATGCCTTTTGACGGTCGACGGCTTCTCAAATGTTGGCATTAGTAAGGACGGAAATCAATGTACCTTTTTAAAGCTACACATGAATTTCGGACGTCGAAACTGACTCAATTGTTTGAGAAAAGGTTTGTAGAATCGATATGAAATGTAAGATTTCTTGGTATATCTGCTCTAGCAAGTACTTTTGGTGCTTTGATAGCTTCAATACTACTGACGATGTGGAAACCCTTGTCCAATCCATATATGATTAGAATTCATCAAAACACTTAAAATTTAGCATGAGCTCCCTAGATTGATGTCGCTCGACGTTCACATCGGCGTAACCTCAGATGTGGTAATGGTTTAAGGGAGGCATGTGATCAATCATGTGACTCACTTGTATCTTTCCCGAGTAAGTTGTATCGCGGAGCTTATGCAATACGGCGAAGAGGGGAATGCCGTAAGGCTACATTTGCCTGAATGCCTCTCTTACCTAAGGACTGGTATTTCTCTTCAATAATCCAGACGTGGCATTCCAACAGATTGGAGACTTTACCCGTGTCAATGATTGACAGCGGACCGTCCCAGCAGTTCGATAGCCGTTGAGCCGAGGTAAGGTTGCGAGCGCCACACCCCTCCAAGGGAAATCCGGGGTATCCAGTCCCCTTAGTAGCGTCACAAGCCTACCTGAACCTTACGAAATAGCTCTGTAGGGACCCCAACCTATCGCGTTGCATGAATATCTACAATCTCGCGGAAATTTGAGCGTGTGGGGATCATTGGGCAACGAAGTCCGACATTCATTCATTTATTTCGATCGATCGGAGCATACAACAACGCGACAGGCTTCGCAAATCAAAGCAATAGGAGATATATATCTGCATTGATGACCTCGGCAATCAGCGAAACGGCCGCTCGCTATTACTCCCTCTGTTCCACCGTTAAGCCCGCGACTTGCACGATCTCATCCTAGACTGCAGACTTAGAACCGTCAGACACTCAATCGCCAACATGGCCGAAGAATCATCGCAAGCGATCGCCGACCTCCCGACCGGCGAGCCCATCCCGTCCTCGTCCCCGCCGCCGTCTTCGAAGAAGCCCTCCCCGCTCCCGCTTCGCGCTCTCCTCGCCGCCGCGCCGTCCAACATCGATGCGTTCCTCGCGCACCTGCACAGATGCCTCCAGACGCCCAGCGGGATCGACACCGTCCTGCTCTTCCTGTGCTACACCTCGCGGTTCAACAGCGCCGCGCTCACATCGCTGTCGCAGTCGCTCCTGCGGCGGTCGGCGCGCGAGCTCATCGCCCTGGCGTTCACGCTGCCGCCGCGCACGACGGTGCTCTTCTCCGTGCCGGGCAAGAGCCCCGGCAAGAGCGCCGCCGCCGAGCTCGCCCTGCTGCTCGCCGGCCGCCTCAAGTCGCTCGCCAGCCTGATCAGCGAGCTGCGCATGATGATGCGCCTGTGGGGCCTGCTGGGCATGTACTTCTGGGGCAAGGGCCTGGCGAACAAGCTGCTCGCCGCACGGCAGGCGAAGGTGACTACTGACGGGGGAGAAAAGACCGGCGACGATGCCGCCGCGGCGCCCAAGGAGAGCCCCCTCGTCACTGCCGTGGCTTGGACGCAGTGGCTCTCGTGCGTCGTCTTCCAGGCGCTCGAGAACGGCGCGTATCTCTCGTCCAAGGGCGTGCTGGGGTGGTCGCCGCAGGCACAGGCGCGCGCATACAGCATCGGAACCAAGGCTTGGGGCGTGTATGTCGCCGTGGAGCTGGGCCGGCTGGCCGCGGAGATCGTGGCCAAGCGGAGGGCGGCGCGCGAGCCGTCTGTCTCGGCGGCGGACGCGGAGTCCGCGAAGACGGAGCTGGTCGGGCTGCGCACCGAGTTCGTGCGCAATGCGGCCTGGGCGCCGCTGATTCTACACTGGAGCAGCGAGAAGGGGCTTGTGAGCGATATGACTGTTGGGTTGCTGGGGAGCATCCCAGGTGTGATGCAGATGAGGAGATTGTGGCGGGAGACGGCATGATATCCCTTCAGCCTGATGCTGAAGTTGGGGGTGCTTGGTGGGATCAGTATGTATGACAAACACTTGGTGGAAGTGATATACAAATCTGATAGAGGCTGTGGTCATGGATCGGAAAAGCAATTGGAAGTAATCAAGATCAATGAAGTCATTCAATCATGAGCAAAGTGCAGCGAGGCAATCCCGAGGTAATTCGCAATGGTCATCAATTGTGGTATCTTTATTTCATCATCCCTCAAATTCGGGATGAGTCGTATGTATCTATGGAGAGATCCCTCGTCTCCGAATCTATTACACCTGTACAAGAAGAGAAGATCCTAATGAAGGTCCCCTGGCTTCCGTCGAGCGTTGTACGCTCCCAACGTAGTATTGAGTCCCTGTTTTCCAGCTAGCTGCGCAGTTTGCCAGCTTTTCCTATGTTCTGCCTTTCATGCCCTTCTGGACCGTGTAAATGAGAGTGACCCGGCCTTCCTGATCGCGCGCATCATCATGGTATCTTTGTTTCCGTCCCCGGTAGCAATGCAATTCTAATTGCAGAAAATGAGTGGTTGTAGGTGGCTTTGTAGACATTATCGTTTCGATGCAACTTTCTTCTTTGGTATGCAAACTCTGTTTTCGTATCTCATCAAATCAACTCAGCAGCTCCAGCAATTGACAGTGTCACCGTAGAAGCAACAGGCCCAGCACGAATGCTATGACGCATTGTTGCGCAAACGCAGGAATGAGCTGTGGCGATGAGCTGTTATCGACCGTTGCATCGAAAGGACTCCCTCCTCCACGGGTGGCCTCGGGCTTGTCAGATGACGATGGTGACGTTTGCCTCGCCCCTGTTGTATCCGTTGTCCTTTGAGCAGAGTTGCTTGTCTGAGCCGGTGAGGCGTCTGCTGAAGTCGCAGCGCTCGATGTTTCAACAATAATTGTGCTGAGCTCAGACGGTGTTTCCGTCGTAGAAGTTGTCTCGTCTTCGGAGGAAGATGTTGTTGTCGGTGGTATCCTGGTGAGAGATGGAATCGACTTCTCCGTTGACGTTAAAATAATGGCGATGGTAGAAGTCTTCGAGGTGGTCGTCGACGACGACGTTGTCGAATCATCACCACTCGGACAGACGGTGTCGACTAGATTCCCTTGCAAAGCCTGGCCCAATATCGAGTTGTCCGGAGCATTCACGCCGTCACACACAGTCTCGAGTGTCATCTCCAGCACCTGTAGACCCGTGACGCAACTATCTGAGCAGGTATGGCCCTGTGTGAAATCCTTCGACGAACAGCCGATGATCGGTGCGTTATACGCGAGGATGCAGCCAAAGTTGACGGAGTTCGATGTGATGAGTTGAAAGTCAGACAGCGAGACAGCTGATGCTCCTGATGCCATGAAGAGAAGTTCCAAAACGCCCGGTCGCCGCCGACCAGATGCCTTCCGGCTCTTGCCTATCCTAGCCATCGTGATAATTGTTGTTTTGGTACGTTTGGTGTCCTCTTTGAAAGTGATAATCCCTCTCGCCACCGTACAGAGTAGGTGATATGTTGTGTGTTGAGTGACGTCTTTTGCCTCCACGCCAAAGATGATTGACCGAATTGGTTGGAAGAAAGCTGAAAAAGGCCAGGGATTTGCGAATTGAAAGAAAAGCGCAGCAGCAGCTCAGTCAAATTGCCTGGGCTGCGCCTGGAGGGATCAAGGCCTCTCTGGGGTTGGCTCGGGTCGTGCGTCGTGCGTGGTGCTAAGGCAAGCGCACCCGGTCCTGCAATTCGAAACCTGATCTGTGTCAGAGGGCTGCTTCAATGACGGGCTGATCGGCTGCGGTCCAATCGTCGGCGCACAACCACAGCGGTCGATCTCTGGTCAATGCGGCTATTCGCTGGTGCAACGTCGGATCGAGTTGATTCCTCGCTCGCTGAGCCGGGGCTTGTTGGGCTCACTGGCTCTTTTGGTGCGCAATGTGACGAACGATCTCTAGTTCATGCGCTCAGCATGTGAGATGCGGAATCGCATAAGATGGTCGCTGTGCGAACGTGGTTCTCGATGGACCCTTTGCTTCCAGGAAAAGAGAAACAATCATGCACTTCGAGAAACCAGAAGAATGAGATGTGAGGTTGGAAGCTGGTGGAGAGCTTGGTTGCCCAGGTAATAGTATGATCCAGGGAATGAAGTGGTGAGGTGCGATCTCTTTTATGTAGCTCTTCCTCAATGCGAGTGGTTGGCGTTATGCGGGGTGAAGGCCGTGAAGCAGGTGGCAGCGCACACAAAAGGATTGGAGTGGCGACGGCCAAAGGTGCAGTGGTAGCAGAAGAAATAGAGGAAGAGTGAGGCCAGCCCGAATGCGGGAGACCCTTTCGAGGTGAGACAGGAACTGGATTGGATCACGACAAGATCCAAACGGATTGCCAATGCAGGAGGCGAGCAGCAGACGTTACAGAGAGAAGGACGATGCGAAGCGCACCAGCTTCAAGTGCGTTTGCATGCGACGAAGAAAGACGGAAAGCGGCCCTGCGCGGACGGATAGAAGGGAAACAAGGCAGATAAAATGCCCTGGAAAAGAGAGAAGAAAAGGGATTGACGGTTAGAAAGAAGGCCGAGCAACGTCGATCCAGATCGTGAGACTCGCGTGGACAAGCTGGAGAAATGAATAGATGCTCCCCGTCCGTTTACCTTATATGGCCTTCTAGTGATGCAATGCCCGTCCGTGCCTTCCTCTTGCCTGTAGAGCTTTATACCCATGCGAGCGGCGTAGTTCCCAGGCACTGGGAATCCAGGACCGCACATCGCTACCCCTTCAGCCAGCAATCGTCCCTCGTTGCGCCTATTCGGGTCTGCCCCTGAATAGCTTCGGCCCTGCTGGTTGGATCTAAGCTGCAAATCGCAGGACTGTAGGTCAGACATCTGGGCCGATACCACGCTCTTTCATCAGCCAAGCGCCAATCCCCATTCGCTAGCCCTTGAGGGTCATCAGCAAATGTTTCCGGGCGCGCAGGCGGATTGTTTCAACAAGCTCCTGAACCAGCCCTGGGCACGATGCTGGGATTTGGAAGGGGAACGATCCTATGGCAGGCTGTTCTAACAAAAAAGAACTGTTCACTTCGAAAAAGCTGGGCCAGTTTAGAACCAGAAGCCGCTACGCTGCACCAAGGACCTGTGTAATAAGCATGTCTCAAACCAATCGCGAGTCTCAATTGGCTCTGTGGGGGACAAGCGGAGGCTAAAACGAAACATCTTGTTGTTTGAGATGGGTCTGTAATCGACCCCTGACTGAGCTATCATTGGTGTGACCGTCTGACCATTTGGTCGCCGCAACCAGCCACATCCGCCTCCCCTGTCCTGTTTTGTAGCAAGCTGAAAAAAGTAACCTCAATTCATTGAAACATAAACGCCCTTCTAGCAATTCCAGCAATTCTAGCGATTCCAGTAATGATACCTGTACCATTCTGTAACATTCCTCTGATAACAACCTCGAATAAAGAGAGACACTTGCTTCGCCATCCGTCCACCCATCCACGTGGAAGAGCAGTCAGTGGTCTAGACCTCGGAGGATGAGGTCCTGAGTGACCGGCTAACACGAGCCAAAGTGGCGCCGGTCGACCGACGAGTGGCCCGGAGGGGGAAAAGTCGCACCGCGCGGGCCACTCAGTCTCGCGACCACTCTGGGATCGGTGTTGAAGCCGGTGGTGCCGAGCATCTCGGTATCTCTCGAGCTCGCACCGGCCTCTGAATCATCGAGAGAGATGCGTTGAAACTCGAACTCTAACGACTATCAAATGTCAATCAACTGTGCCAGTGCAAACAGAACAATCAAGGTTTCATCTAGTGATGAGCGGATACAACTTACCTGCTCTGTCAACCGCATTCTTTTCTCTTCATGCTGCTTGTTCGTGGCATGATACATGTTGAAGATGGGCGCGGTCAGCGACACACGCTGGCCGTCGCACCAAATCTGAGCGATGTCCTTCAAGCGCTGGATCTCTTGCTCGCGAGGCTGATCCATGAGTCTGGCGAGGCGAATATCCGGGTCGAAGGATCTTACATCATCCGCGAGACCAGTGTTGATGAAGGCTGGGAAGTCCTGGTCGGTATCGAAAGGGTTGCTATGCTTGGCATGCATGTAGCGTGTCTTTCTCTCCTGCCACAACTTGGTCAAGACGTACTCAGCCAGCTCATTCTCGGTGTCGAGTATATCTCTATCAACGGCAGCGTTGCTCTTCGGGTAAGTTCTCCTGGTGGCCATGTGCTCGAAGATGACAATGGGCACGCACAATGAGGTGATATTCTGCCCGCCGTTGTCGCTCGGTCCGGCTTTCTTGGCCTCGACTTCGTCGTACTCCTGGATGATCTTGTTCCAACTCTTCACCTTGTCGATGATTATGTGGGTCATCTTCTTCTGTGCACCATGCCAGTGGCCATGAAGAGTCTTTCGATCCTCTTTCTCCTGGTACAGCGTGTACTGAAGCAGCGGAGTCATACTGTCGGGGCGGGAGGGATCCGGATCCATGGTGACTTGAGGTGATTGACCGTAGTTCTTGTCTAATGAGTTCAGAAAAGCCCAGCTGAGACCAGGAGTTTCAATACATTGCCTAGCTTACCTTGAAGATGGGTTCGAAGCAGCCGTGACGCTTTCTGTCGACGATGAGGATAGGTGAGTGTCAAATCACGCTTGAAGGTGACGTTATTCGAGTTGTCAACGGTTCCGATGACCTCGAAGAGAGGCTCAATACCATAACAAAAAGATGACAGCGGCGAAAGTAGCCGTCAGCTTAACGGCTCCCAGGAAAATAACGTAGAGATTTGGGACGGTCTTGGATGGAGCTATGGTGAGTTGTGGAGAGGAATTGGTGGCCCTGATGTGTGAGGTAGCCTTCGTGGAATCTTGCGGAAGGCATCAAAGGTACCCAAAGACTACCTTTGCTGTTGAGGCGGAGTCTACCTTCTGCTTTGAAGAATGATGCAGGCTCACAGTAGGCAGTCAGTGCTGTGGTTGAGTCCCGGGACTTGTCAGATCGTGTACCTGCCGCCAGGAGCATAAGGAGGCCCGCAAAACATTGACTCCTTCCGCTTTTCACAAAAACGCACCTTGCTGTGAAGAGCGTGGTGCTGGCCCTTAGTGATATTCCAGACTTTTTTATTATCACTAGAGCTATTTGAGCAGTTGGCATTTGCTGACTACCCTCGCTGCTTTGTCGAAGTCATCGATAAGACTTCGACTTCGATTTATCACGGTTCTTTATTCGAGTCCCATTGTCATTCCGGGCCCATCTAGCTGATGCCATGCATGAGAGCCCATCATTGCATAGCTACAGCCTGCTCACGATTCTTTGCCAGCCTAGCAGCAAGCATGATGCAGCCCGCAATGATCATCCCACATCCAGCCCATATCTGCATATACAAATACCTGCCTCCTCCTGCTTGGATCAGAGCGCCAGTAACAGGAGGACCAGTCAATGCAGCGACAGATGCGATTGTGAGTATCATTCCGGACCTGGCGCCCATTTTTCGGAGATCAGAGGTCAAGCTGGGTAAACCGGCCATGCCCATTCCCTGACAGCCGCCATTTATGAAGCCAGAAAACACAGCAAAAACATACAAGCCTGTCATCGACTTGACGCCGATCCACGAGAAGTACAAGATTCCCGAGCAGAGAGTGAGGGGCGCAAGTGTATAGAGCGGGCCGATGTATCTGTCGGATATGACGGCTGGCAAAACTCTCCCGGCTACACCAACACCGTTCAAGATCAATAGCATGGTCAGTGATGTCCCTGTATCAATACCCAAGACTGCAGAGGCATAGTGAGGAATCTGAGAGCTTGTGTCAGTACAGTTCACCCAATCAAGCAAGACACAAGTCACTGACATAGTTATAGCAGATGTAGACCGTCCAGAGAACGAGGAAGGTTCCGACTGTGAACAATGTGTACGGCAACTCTTTGAACGCGGACAACTCAATGAGCTTGCCGGACTTGCGTGGCGGCAAACGAGACCGTGCGATAAGAACAATGATCACAGCGTTGAAGAGCATCACGAACCCCATGCACCGAACTGTCCATGCAAAGCCCACTTTGGGAAGCAGCTGCTGCGCGATCACAGGAAAAACCACACCGCCCGTCGAGGTTCCTGCTGTGGCAATGGTTATTGCCATTGTCCGCTTCTTGGAGAAATAGGTCGAGACACAGGCAATGATGGGACAGTACGCTAAGCCGGCACCAATACCGCCGCATATACCTTGGGCAAGCAGAAGTTGCCAGTATTGCGTGGCGAGGGATGTCATGAACACACCAAGAAGTTGGGCGGCGGACCCAACTATCAGCAGCGGCCGCAGGTAGCCTGCGTCAAATAGCCGCCCAGAGAAGATCCCAATACTCAACAGAAGGAAGGTCTGGGTACTCCCAGCCCACGAGACAGCCGACGGGCTAAGGCCGAGATGCTCGACGTAATAGGCTTCAAAGAGCCCATAACTGTTGATGTAACCGAATGTGTTGAAGAGTTCCAGGCTGCAAGTTCAATGTCAGTTGAGGACTCCCTTCTGCAAGAGAAGGATTGACGACCTACTGTGCTGCCAACACCTGGACCCATCCGAACCCACCGTCTGGAGGCTCGTCAACAACACTGAACTCCCTTGTCAATTCATCCGAGCTTTGGAGCGACGATTCGTCTTCAACGACTGCCAACGTCGCTCCAACAGCAGCATTCGAAATCTCGAAGTGCGGCCCTGGAATTGCAACAATCGGTGGTTTCTCGTCTAAGTCTGTCATTGTCACAACGGCGATATGCTTCCAGGTTTCAATTAACTAGTCATGATAGCATTAAAAAGGTGCTGCTGTGGAAAAAGTCTGAGCCTTTAAGGGCCTCCGGCACTCGGTCTCGGAGCCGGGGATTGGATGCACCAGCAAGGGTCTCAACCTGCCAAAACCGCGTCGAGCTGCCTCTTTCAGGAGCACAGGATCATCGCAAAGGCGTAGCGAGAGGGGCGAGGCGCTCGCCGTCGCACTCACCGCCAACGGTTGCCGGGACTAACAAACATGGCAAAGCTGTAGCGTAGCCGGCGGCACAAGCCCGCCTTCTCCACTATTCTCGCATATCAACTCCGTCTCAAAGCGGGGGCCCAATGGATCACCATTGCTATGTCGATAGCCTCAGAATAGACGGCTGAGAACTAGACACTCACAGTATCTATCTAGTTTAGAGGGTATCATATGTAATTTTCACTGATATGTAGACAGAGACTGAGGGACAAGAAAGGGCAAGTAGCAAGGAGTCGTCTTTTAATTCTAAATACTTGGGCCTCCGACGTCCATATAACTTGTTAAATGGCCAGACATATTCAACTTTCGCTCCGTGAGGTTCTCTGGTTTGACTTAAATGTCTTGATAAACTGGAATTAATCCGAATTCAAGCTCTATTTTAGGCTCCACACCGAGTCTAACAGCATCCAGCCTCCCGAAGCTTATCCTCTTCTCAACGTCTTGCGATTACTCTAAGTTCACGAAGCTCGACTTCCCCGTTTTCTTGTCCCCAAACTACAAATTCCAAAATTATCTTAAGAGCTAAAGCTCCACCCCACCTAATCGCCTTCTTTCCTTTTTTGGTCAACAACACCTAACCTCAACCACGACTTTTCCTCCGCGAACAATAATCTCAACCTTTTCCTGCCCAAAATCTCACCACAACTTACCTTATCTTCCTGAAGCGACAGCTTCTAGCTGGAAGACACCATCTACCGTTCACTTAGGAGTCAGCTGGCTGGCTCCTACTCGACTGAACTTGAGCCCCATTTTCTTCCTAATCACTCACACAGAACTCACCGAAGCTGTGACACCTTCAGTCTACGCCTACAACCTCAAGATGGGTAGGCCCATTGCTTTGAGTCTCAATACTAACCCGGACCAACTGAAGCCGCTTCACATTGCCGTCGTATCTAATAACCTCTCCGCGGTCAAAGTCCTTCTGCAAAATGGGGCAGACATTGATGTGAGGACTCGTTCTGGCGCGACTCCCCTTATGTTGGCATGTCTTTTTGGCCGACGCCGACTTATCTCGTATCTCCTGACAAAAAATGCATCGCACAAAGCGAAGGATTTCAGAGGCAACAGATTATGGAACTATTTCCGTCCTGACCGCGAAATCCTCACTCGATATCGCGCCCCTCGACTTATGAGAATCCTGGATTCGATCAAGAAGGCCCGAAGATGGATCAGAAAGCGAGTCTTCTGCTCCAGCGAAGCACTCCGATCACGTGCTAAGAGCCAGACTCATCCATTGCACGACTGCTTTTTCTACCCTCAGAAGGGGCGTCTTCTACTCTTACAGCTTGTCTCCATCGTGAATACCAACCCAAAGCAGCATCTAGGCAAGACTAGAGGCTGTATCGCCGGCGATGGCCTGCCGAAACCGACTGTCTTTGCTATTAGCGGTTGGCGCGATGGAGGAAAAACCGGGTTACTCAGTAACTCGGATTACACAGACAAGGTACATGATCACAGTCACAATGTGCGACTATAGGCTAACTTTCTGACTAAGGTGATAGCTCTTTGTGAGGAGCTTAACTTCCACCTGCAGAACGTCACATATAACGATGCAATGCGGCTAGAGGAAGAGGGAAAAGGCTCCGCATGGTAAGTGGCCAATATTTCAGGGTGCAACTTCTTATGGGTCTATGTGTGTTCTAAGTTTGATGCTCCAGCCACGTTGAGAAACAACTGGCCGTCTTTTGGCTTGAGGAAACCCTCAAGTTCACGGGACGCGAGAATCTGACTAAAGCAAATATCGCATCACTGAAAGGGGCAGCACTGCCCATATATCGAAGGCATGCTTTCATTTACCTCGACAAGTAAGTCTAGCAGCATCTGTGAGAGTACAACAAACAGTTGAGAAGATCAGAGCTAACACTGATGATGTAGTCACCCCTGCCTTGATGTAAGTTGCTTTAGGCCCAGGAAAACGCTTAGAGCCCATATATGCAAGCCATACAATCACTCTCACCTAATGCAATTCACAAAATTCGAAAGCACACTACTAATGTATGCAAATTAGTGTTGGAAGTTTTTGGCTAAGCTCAGACAAACGAGTGGTTTGGAATTCACCACTGTCTATCGCCCATTTGTGGCACACGCACATCGAGAGAAGGCATCATTCTTGAAAGCCAACGAACTCTCCAAGAGTAACTGCGTAAGAGAGCAGTCTTCCGATGAACTCGATCCGACACAAATGAGCGACGAGGAGCAGACTCAAGCTGGAAGTCATAATGAAAGCCAGGATGAGGAAAACTTGCAGGAGGATGCTGTTCATGATATTGACGCCATGCCAGACGCCCTGCATAAGGATATTGAGCTCGAATCTACCGAGAGTTCACAAAGTGAGGCAGAAGATGACTCCGAACATATCTCACACGGCGCAGAAGTACAATCTCTTATGTCATTGGAGCACAAGCGGGATACTCCGTCTCCTGTTGCGTCATACGGCGAACATTTCACTCCCGATCAAGACAGAAGCCATTACTTCGCGACCACCCCATCTCCTCCTCGTACAAAAATCCTGACGCCCTATCATAAGGGCAAGACCCCTACTAAATTTGATCCTACATCGAGGGAAACGGGTACATGGCACCTCTGGGGTACCCCTCAGAGCAATAATCCGACTCATATCATGAATCCTTTCGCTCCAGAGTTAAGCAGTAGGCAGCGGAACGTTTCGCTTGGCGTCTTAAGCAAAGAGAACGTGAAACCTTTACCAACACCAACTTCAAACCCTAGGCCGTCAGATCTGAGCATATCTGGTACTTTCAATAGCAGGGATGCTGTCATGAGCCTGATGCACGACAAGGATGAGCCTCTACCAAGTACGGAAGTGGTTCTTGTAAGTGACGGTGATTCCGATGACGGGTTCACACCAAGTCCGACGGCGTTGAGAACAGAGCGAATGCAGGATCTGCCCAAGGCCACAAGAGTTTTAGGTCGTGCTCGGACTCCTAAAGCTCAGCGTCTCCTAAAACCCATAGGTCCCTATGGAGGTGGGGAGTACACGCCACGCCGCCTCTGTGGCCATTCTGTCCGAACCAATGGTGGACGAAAGACAAATCTAATAAGACGAGACCAACCATCTACACGCAAGTCAGAGCGATCAACCAGGACTTCTCGCATTCAGGATGATGTGATGCCTGCGGCAACACGCAGCTTCCCGAATTTGTCCAGCTACATCCACAAGGAAAAGAAAGCGCAGTAGGCCCTAGTTGATTCTCTCTCAGATTGAGCATGGGGTGGAAACATTCGACCAGGCTGTGAGAAAATTATTTCTGAGCTTCTAATAAGCCAACTTTGCTAGATAATGAAAGAACATCACAATATATGAGACAAGTCTCCTCATTGAGGCTTCTTTCCTTCGTGAGTGAGCCGGTTCTGCAGTGGATGCTTGATAGGTTGGCCGTGCAGCCTCATTCACCCATCTCAGCCAAGCTTGCCGTGAAGCTAAAGATGGATGACTTGTTGGAGTTCATTTCTAGATCCTATGCGCAATATAGCTGACTCCTCTTCCCCTGTATTTTCTGCCGTATCGTTGATATGTCTCTGGTATTCATCAACCTTATTTCTTCTCGACGGAAGGCTCAATGCCCTCCGAACACTTATCAATACTAAGTATACACTGACGATCAGTTATTGATTGCGCACAGCTTGAGAATCTCAAAGACCGCGGAGGGGTGTGTAGGGCAGTTTGTTCTCAGGGGTTTGCCTCTGACCAGAATTCACCTATGACGATAGATAGATCGCCCGTCACTTAGCTGTGTCACGAGTATCCTAGTGTCCATTGAACCATAATGACATTTCCTACTCATGCGACCTCAGTTACCTGTCTCTTTTCTTCCGCTGATTCCTTTCCTGGCATATTTATTTTGTTGTCCGCCCGCCACATATCCACCTTATTCGCCTCGCCAAAGACCTTGTCCATGTGTTCGAGGCTCACGCCCTTTGTTTCTGACCAGAACAGAACCACAACAATGAGACCCAAAAGATTAATGCCCGCTAATATCCAATATGCGTCATGACCTACATTGTCAAACATGACCGGCCAAGTCTGATTGATCCAAAGGGTCGTGATCTGCTGACCCACTTGAGAAATGTTGACACATACAATGACAAGTCAATTTCGACCGCTCTTGCGAGTCATATGATGAATTTGCCTACCTTTATCCCTGAGATGCGTCGGGAAGATCTCGCAAGCGCAAATCCAGGCACATGGTCCAAGAGCTCCCGAGTAAGCCTATAATTACTTCTGGGCAATCCTACCCATGCTCGCAACAACACCAGACCGAGGACCATCGACACTAAAGTAATCAATGAACCTGCTATTGGAGATAATGATGCTGTATATACCAGAGTCGAAGCCCTGGAAGATATTTGCGATGGAGGCGACTGCGCAAACTGAGTACAGTCACGTATGTTAGTACAGGGATTATCGGACTGATACACAGAAAAGGCTATGCAACTGACTCCAGTAGATGTACCATGTTGCCTTGGTCTGTCCCAAGTATTTCTTTGGCTCTTCGTATGCATCTCCCTGCTCCGCATGAGCTGTTATTTGCGGTTCCTCGTGAGCAGCCATAGCTGTCAAGAATCTGTTGTTCAATGCACGAAACCGAAAGCCTGTCATCTCTTTCGTGTACACCTACTCGGGGAAGACTCATGATATATAATACATTACATATGCATGACAACTTGCCGCCCGGAACAACTCCCAGTTCCATTCCTACCTCCTGATTCGCACGCATGACCATACACATGTCACTAACTCGCGGGGAAAAGCTTGATTGAACGCAATGGCATGCCGATCTGGGGTTCGCGGGGTACCATGATCGTGGATCACCTTGAACTTCGCATTGGCTTTTCTATACTTTGTTGTCTCGTCGAGAATTCTGCTAACTAGAGAGAAGCGTGTTCACTCTTTGCTAGAGTACTTTGCTAGAGTACAATGGGCGTCTTAGTCAATACTTGAGACTCAAGTACGTTGATTCGATCATCTCATAGAACCAATCTGTTGAGCATCCAAAGCTCTTTGATTCAAGTCAAGCACCTGTCTAGGAAGTGCATATAGATGTACCGGGCTTCTCGAGCTCTCTACCGAGACTAATGCAACACCCATGTGGCAGAATGTCCCTTAGTGACCCCTATTGCCGTACCATTACCGGCAGCTCACGGGCGCCCACCGACACACCAACCTCCACCACGCGCCATGTGGCGACTTGCATACGTCTTCTTCAACTCTTGAATTCTGTTCGACAGGCCAAATTCTCACAGCAGCCGATGTGACACCCCATTGCATGATTTAGTACCGATATCACTTACCGGGAACGGATTCCTGGCTATTACCCCCGGGCTCTTTGTGGTCTGGGAGTGCTTGTAGATCTTATTACTAACGAATTCACAGCTAAGACAGTAGAGAATACCAAGGTACATTCTGATTTCACAGTACAAACATGCCATTCGCTGTCAGGGCTGCCGCAGCCGCGTGAGGCTTGGCCAGATTAGCGGCTGCCGGCTGAGTAGTTGTGGAGATTGAGGATGCTGAGGCCAAATTCGTTGTGGTCAGGATGCTTGGAGCTGTGCTAACCGGCGAGGAGGTCGACGAGATAGCAGAAAACATGGTGGTAGTAATAAACTGGACTTCAGTCACAAGCATGTGTCATGGTTTTAAATAGTCTGACCTTCGAAATAAAGAGGGATTCCGGATGGCACATCATATCCTAGCATAATAGCACATCGCCCATGATGCGACACCAAGAACAACTAGTCGTCCTACAAAGTCATGTGCGGCTACTCTCGAGGGCACTGCCTTCGCTTCCTCGAACGGGGCAATCGCAAGAAGACTCCCGATCATATACTTGGAAACGACACCAAGCATCCTCTCCATGTCTTTAATACTTAATTGTAGCGGTTCTTCAATGACGAGCTCGCGACAGACTATGTTGAAAGTATAAAAATGGAATCCTTAGGAAGTCCCAGGAGCACGCCTGTGCCTCAAAGCCCAGTCCTATCTATAGAGTAAGTACAAAGACATCGTGAATCAAATTGAAACATTATATAGCAAATCTTTCAGTTGCTGAGACATAGCTTGGCAGATATCCTTCACGCGCGAGAATGCCTCTATTCAGTGATGATCGCTTCATGTGCCTTAGGTCACCAGTGCTTGATTCCTCGACTCCGTTCCGAAACCCCTCTTTGCTACCACCACGATCCAGCCGCATCATTTTTCCACGCACCTATAATTATTGAGCAGTTTGTAACCCTTTTTTATAGATCTCACATGTAATTCTGCTTGTCTAGCATAAAGAATTACTCGAGAGAGCGTACCGGAAAATATCTGGTCTAAGACAGGTGCGTTTCGTATTTCCAGGACGTTTCATAGTTGTGTAAAACTTTCAGTTGGCTGGATATGTAACCTGTGGATTGAAACGGGTGGTGCTTTGACTAAAATGTCTGTCAAATATACTGTGATATGACGTCTAATATTTCACTGTGGAGCCCTAGAGTTGATCACTTTAGTCATCTCTCAGGCTTGATAATCCAGTGCTACAGACTTTGTTAGCCGTTATGCGCAGCGATCCACCAAATTTGCTGCTGATTCATTCTAGTTATTCCGCGAGCCCGCTCCGCAACTCCGCTCCTATTTTCCATGATTTCACTGGGTCAAGACCCATCTATTTGGCAAGTAGATCATAATGGCATTATTCAGAGCCCAATCTCGCATGCACCTGAATCTAGTATAAAGATATATCCCTCATTAGACTTCTGAGAATGGAGATTTCAAGACAATCAGCATCGCAATTCCGATGAACAAGATCTAAAAGGCACTCCGAGCATCACATCTTCCAAATCATAGAAAGGAATCAGCACACTTACCTTCTTTAAAAAAAAAAATAGCTCAACATCAATCCCTAGTTATCTTGACCTCTCACCACCAGAATGACCTCTGCCACTCTTCCTCCCTCCGAAAGCCGGCTTTTCAAGCCGCTGAAAGTTGGCAATGTTCAGCTGCAACACCGCATTGTCTTCCCTCCTCTGACCCGCTACCGCAATGACGACGAACATATTGCTCTTCCATTCATGGAGAAGTACTATTCCGACCGAGCCTCCACGCCGGGTACTCTAGTCATCTCTGAAGCAACAGGAATATCTCACTTGGAAGAGGGACATCACAATGGCCCCGGTTTTGTAAGCGATCACCAGGTTGCGGCGTGGGCCAAGATCATCAATGCTGTGCATGCAAAGGGGTCTTTCTACTTCCAGCAGATATGGGCTATGGGCCGGGCTTCCGATCCCGAGTACATGGCCCAGCGAGGCTTCCCATACCGGTCGAGCAGCGCGGTGCCTATGCCGGATGTCGATGTAGTGCCAAGGGCGTTGACTGAGGAAGAGATCCTAGACATTATACAAAGTTTCGTCGATACCGCCAAGAGGGTCATTGCAGCTGGTGCAGATGGTGTCGAGATTCATTCGGCACATGGCTATATGCTTGACCAGTTTCTCTCGGACAGTATCAACCAGCGCACTGATAAATGGGGTGGCTCGATCGAGAACAGGGCTCGCCTCACTCTCGAGGTCATCAAGGCTGTTGTCGCTGCCATTGGAGCGGAAAGGGTGGCTTTCAGATTCTCTCCTTACGCTGCATTCCAGGGCTCTGAGAAGCCCGATGCCATACAACTTTACACCTATATCATTGACGAACTGAAGAAGATGAATGTGAAGTTTGCATATATGTCGCTTGTTGAGGCTACTGGCGATCCCGGCGCGATTATCTTCGGAGGCAAAAAAGTCAATCAGGATAAGACACTGGACTTCATTCTCGAATCGTGGAACAATCTATCCCCTGTTCTCGTTGCAGGTGGGTACCAGCCAAAGACCGCTGCCGCGGCCTTGGAAGGTCATTACAAGAAGTGGGATGTCATGGTTGGATTTGGGCGACATTTCATCGCGAATCCCGACTTGGTGTTTAAAATAAAGCATGATATCGAGCTAAACAAGTACAACAGACCAACTTTCTACATCAACAAGTCGGAAGTGGGCTACAACGACTACCCTTTTAGCGAGGAGTTCTTGAAGACGCAGTCTAGAGTGGGCGAGGTGGCGTTGCAATAGCACGACGTGACTGTCAAGGCTGCCTAAACAGCTCCAACTATTGTGGCCGAAGTCAAGACTGTTGCATGAGTAATGAATTATATTTAGCATTGGTAGACCGGGTTAGATTTTGCGGGATAGATTTAGGCATTTTGGAGATATAAAATAATTAAGAATTGATCTCATCTACTTTCAATTGTTGGAAAAAATTGATACTGTACATCAATGCATTGACGTAGGGTAATGTGCGCTAACGAGGGGCCCTGTGGGCGACCCTCGAGGGATGACTAATAATTCCAGAAGATTTCAGTGACTAAGCGGTACAACTCCGTTACTCCGAAAGCCGATGCTCGAGCCTGTGCTTCCTTACAACCTCGATCATCCTTCACTAGGTTAATGAACGGTACACCTCACATTGTCACATCAAACCTTTGCTCAACGCGGTCTTTCAATGGAGTCCCGGGGTCATGACTACTCCTCACACTTTGGTATCTTCCCAATCGCCCAGCGGTGGGCCAGGTGCGCAGTCTCCTGTTAAGTCAACTCGGAAACAGGTGTCCAGGGCATGTGATTGGTGCCGTACCAGGAGAATTAGGTGTGATAATGGGCAACCCTGTAAGGCTTGCCGCCAGCGGGAGGTTCAATGCACGCACAACGGCATAGCAGACGGACCAAGGACATTGCCGCAAGCTCTCAGGTACGCGATGTAATTGATTTGACACTTGCAGACCAAATCATCTGACAATGAATCATAGAGAGGTTGATAAGCTCAAAATACGTGTGCGAGAGTTGGAAGCCGAATTATCAATATACAAATCTCGCTCCCAGCTAGCCTCAATTCCAACCCCCGATCAAACCCTAGATCCTCCAAGTCCAGAACTCAACCGGCAGAATTTTTCACAGGAAAGCGTTTCCGAGCTTGAATCACTCTCAAAATCCAGCACACTCGTGAGACCCCAGTGGGAGGGCATCTACGTTGCCACGGCGCGTTCTGACCATGCATCTTACTACGGCCCCTCCTCTTCCTTCTATTTTGTCAGTCGAATTGGGGCCTACTTGGGCAAAACCCTAAAGCAACAATGTCCAGACAGAAGTATGCTTCCTCGAGGCGCAAGCAGGATAATACATCTAGGGCACGACATGGACGTTGATGACAGGGAAAGCCGAGATGTTATTCCTCACAGCAACAACGAGCAAACGCGTTTCATGACTCGAATTCAAGAGGAGTCTCTCCTCAGGCTGTTTTGGGAGGGCTATTACTGTCTCCTGCCTATCATTGACGAAGTCGAGTTCAGAAAGTATTACGCTTCATTATGGGAGCCATCTCGAACCCGACGAAAACAGTCTCCATTGGTCGACATCATTCTCGCCTTATGCTTGCAGTATGGATATATCTATATCCCCCGGGTTGCGACAGCCACATCAGGAAATGACACGTCGTATGATGATGCGAGTGTGGCCGGACGATGGTACTATCGCCGGGCGCAGTCTCTGCTCACAGCCGATATGGAGAGCCCAACACTCACAACAATACAATGTTATATCTTCATCACGTCATATCTATGCTGCGCGAGCTTTCAGAATATGTGTCACATAGTGACAGCCCAGGCCGTTCGGGCTGCACATGTCTTGGGTCTCCATCTCGAGCCTCCCGCATCCATGAATCACGGCGAGAGAGAGTTACGCAAGAGAGTCTGGTGGGCACTTTGGGCAATGGACACAAGAGTTTCCCACAAGATGGGCCGCCCATTCTTAATCGATCGGAGCACTGTAACAGTATCACCACCTTCTGACGACCTAGAAGCTGCCTCCTACAATGGCGCAACTCTCGGCTCATATGGACCCGACGTCACTTGGCTGACGTATTCGCTGCAGTCTCAAAAGCTAATTTTGAACCTGGGTGAAGTTCACAACGCATTATTCAATAAGTGCGGAGAAATGGCGTGTAAAAGCAATGCCACATGCTTGTATGCGGACCCACAGGCCTTGGAAGACTGCGCAAAAGTGCTATCTGCTAAATTGCCAGCTATGAAGGTCTGGACTAATAATGTACCTATGGGTATGAAGACTCAGCGTCGAAATGGCGGTGCACCCTTGTCAACAGATGGTTCAATGCTGGACATAGAGGAACTCGCACCGACCTGGCTCCAGCGTCAAAGAGTGTGTCTTGAGCTCATGTATCATTCATGGATGATCAACTTGACTCGTCCATTCATTACATTCTACTCTCACCCTGGAACTTACACTCCGATGACCGAGCGCCATGCCAGTACTTGTATCGATCATGCGGTAGCTTATACACTTATCATGCATCAGCTCATGACTGAGTCGGACCTAATGGGTGGATGGTCTGAATACTTTAGCTTTCAGTGGAACGCAGCCATTACTACGGTCGGATTCATTCTTGCTAATCCAATTCACCCAGCCACTATTAAAGCGCGTCAGGCTCTTGATAAAGCTATAGCTGCTTTTGACATTTTTGGTAAAGATTTCGGGGTAGCGGCCGACGCAGCCGCCATCATGAGAGATCTAGTAGCTAAAGCGGACCTCCTTTCTGGGCGTCTAGGCAGCGGAATTACGTCTCCTGCAACAGTGGCCAATGACACTATAGCCGAGAGCAATGTTGATAGCATGGACGCGTGTGGCGAGGGACTCTCATGGCTCGATCCAAGCCAGCAGAATGACCCTGAGCACTTCAATCAGTTTATGGAATGGGCATTGTCCGTGGATGCATTCAATGACTTCGACAAGTTCTTCGATGCAGACAACTCTGCGGATCCCTGGTCAGTTGGGCGGCAATAGGAAACAGCATTCGGGATATTTTTAGCGTTGCTTAATTACTCGATTGAAAGTAAATGTATGCCCCAAATAGTCGTTCGAAATGTCCCCAGAAGTAAATCCTTTGAGAATCACTGAGATCAAATGTCAGCGTACTGAATTACATGCACTTGTAATTTCATATGGGTGAAAACCCAGACACAAAATTGAAACACGCACTAGGCCGTGGCATTTATCGATTTGTATGATATCTCACGAAATTAGATAAACATCAAGCGCAATTTGAGGATGCTAGAACTTGGGAGAACATTAACCCCAGAGCAGAGGCTCACCGATCCTACAGTCAACTGACTAATCGGGGCTTGGCACACCAATGCGTGGCAGATCCTCCTCGAGAGTGGTGCTGACGAATCAGGTACACTCCGACACTCCGAAGTCGTTGATATGCATGGCTCGGAGTCCTCCGAGTAGGAACAAGATGGCCTCGCTAGTTCGCACGACTGTCAGTGTTCCCAAACATCATCACAATTCCACCGCATCAGGGGCTTGTGTATGTTTATTGATCCACACTGTGTTTCTGTGCATCCCCTCAATTTGGCCAGTAACCTCATGGCGGCCACTGAACTCGTTGGCCCAGGCTCGGCCCCTGGTCAGACCTCGGAGAGTCCGGTGCCATTTGGACACCGTCAAAAGCGAAAACAAGTGGCCAGGGCCTGCGATGGGTGTCGAATTTCTCGAATCAAATGCGATGACAACTCTCCGTGTTCCAACTGCAAAAACAAGGGTCGACACTGCAGCAATAATAGTGCGACTAGAGCGACCACTCTGTCTCAGGCCCATAATGAGATGGCGCGCCTGAGGCAACGAGTTCAGGAGTTAGAGACAGAGCTTGATCAGGAGCGAAACAGAACCAATTCTCTCTCCTTTCAACAATTAACGCCCCCGAACTCCTCTATCTCTTCGATCTCCCCGCCAAGAGTAACCGAGATCAGCCATGGCTCCTCGAAGAAGTTCGGGGAGGGCATCCAACTTCGACCCGCTCGATCTCCCAATCATACTTGGTTCGGGCCATCATCATTATATCATTTCATCTCCCGCTTGAGTTCTTTCTTGAGTCCTACCCTTGAACAATCTCATCTCGCGGACAATATGCTTCCGCAGACTGCCCCTAGCTCTAAACTGGTACACGACAAGCCCGCCACCGCCTCCGACATAGCACACCGGCTCCCCTCCTCGACGGGTGACTCTTCCAATTCAGGAGTGTACCTCAACCCCATACAAGAGGAGTACTTTATCAATCTCTTCTGGCAGAGTTATCATACATCCTTATGTGCGATTATTAACGAGGGGGATTTCAAGAAGCACTACCAATCCCTATGGATACCATCCAGTAACACAAGAAAACCATCAGCACTTGTCGACATCATCATAGCAATGTGCATGCAATATGGCATGTCGACTCGACCTTCTCCTATGCAAGGCAACATCACAGAAGGCAACGATACCACGATCGCCGGCCGATGGCATTACCAACGCGGCCAAATGCTTCTAGCAGGCGAGTCGGAAAGCCCTTCAATATCAACATTACAATGTCATCTACTGTGTGCAATATACTTGTGTGGCGGATCATTTCACAATATGGTGGATAGTGCTTGTGGGGCTGCTGTTCGTACTGCTTATCAGCTTGGTCTCCATCTGGAGGCTCCCTCGGGCACGTCAGAGCGAGAAAAACAGATGAGGAGACGTCTTTGGTGGTCTGTCTATCTCCTGGACAGTAAAGTCGGCATGAAGCTTGGACGCCCCTTCCTCCTACACGACTCTTATGCCATGCCGGAGCTTCCAGGTGATCAATTAGAAGCTGCAATTGTATCGGGATCTACATTTGCACCGATTGGGAACAATGCCACATGGTTGAGCTTCAATCTTAATCTGGTCAAGTTGTATACAACGGTGAGAGCGGCACATACAGCGCTGTATGGCAAAGACCTAGATCTATACGAAGGTCAAACTATCTACGACGACCCTCGCAGTCTCGAAGCATTGGCTGAGGTCTTACTACCTCATACGAGAGCCTTTGAAGAATGGGTGAACAATGTGCCAAAAGCCCTCAAAACGAATCGTCAAAACGGGGGTAGACCATTTTCGACAGACGGCTCCCCCCTGGAGGTGGAGCAGTATGCACCCGCCTGGCTTCAACGACAACGTGTGCTATTGGAAATGACGTATCATCACTTATCAGTCAACCTTTATAGACCCTTCATATCCTTTATCTCGTCACCGCTTCAAGGCGGGCTTGCGGATTCGCTTGTCATGAAGTGCGCCGCTCATGCAATAGAGCTTTCTAAAATCACACAACAAATGCACTCATCCACATCTATTCTCGATGGCTGGGGCGAAGCCTTCCAGTGGCAGTGGAGTGCAGCCATGACGCTGGTTGGGTTCATCTTTGTATATTCTCAAGGGGAGCTAACCCCGGCGGCTAGAGGCGCCATTGATCTTGCCATTTCCTTCTTTGACGACTTCGGCGCGAACTTTGCGACCGCAGCCAGCGCTGCCAACATCATGCGCAACTTGTCCTCTACGATTGACTCTCTCTTAGCGAAAGCTTGGGGCCAACACAGCATTCCCAGCACATACCAATCACATCATGGAGGATCCGTGTCGAGCTTCACAGATATAAGTCAGGATGCGTTCGTTGGCAATGAGATGACGATGGGAGGCTTGATGGAAAATCCTGTAAATTTCCAGGTGTTTTCTGATGGATTGAACTGTGATATATTCGATATGGCAGTTGGCATTGACTTTTGGCAAGATCTGGATCTGCTATGGCCAGGTAATATGGTTTGACAAGATGGGACACGGTTTTGATTCAGAGGTTACTCAAAGCGTCGTGTTTCAAAGCAGGTTCTGTACTGAAATGGCGTTTAGTCGATCGACAGTCATAGTCTCAATTGGGCTTCAAGGTGATTACATACTAACAACAAGTCTGCTACCACTACTATCCCTGAAAAGCTTCGTAACACGTCATTATAGAAGGTCTTTCGAATACATACAAGTTGACCACCGTTGACGTTTTATGCACAACTAAGTCTCGCAGAATCCTTCTGTCAATTCTCGTCGTGTTCCTAACAGGATGATTGTAGTGCGTTTTTGATACTTGATAGATCACAAGTGATAGATAATCGGTGTCAAAATGGGATAATTACGGCAGCAATATGGGAGATCTTCCTATAGTAGATAGATGTGCCGTGTCCCTCTATATCCATCCTTCCTCTATGATTCTCCCAATCAAAGATTGTGCCTTTATAACGATGACCTATTTTCCGAACGCCCCTTTCTTTTCGCCTGATACGCACAGTGTTTGTTCCTTTTATGTAGTTATGTATTTTCTATACCTTCTATAATTCTTTTCGCAACCGTTTTGTCTATGGTTGAGATCTCTTCATCTTTAGCCTTTTTTAGACACCTCAGACTTAGCTAGCTGCGCTGAGGCGCGACGGGCGACGATATCGTCAAATGAGATACCGTAGTACGCCGCCTCCATGATGATCTTCAAGTCCTCGACCATCGGTAGGCGCGGGTTGGCCGGTGCGGACTGGTCGTCGCTGGCCCGGAACGCCATCTCATCGAGGTTCGCGACGAAATCGTGCTCCTCAATCCCCTGTGCCCGGAACGAGTACTCCATGTTGAGTGTGGCACGGAGATCCTCGACGGCCCGAGCGTACGACTCGACACCCTCCTCGGGCGTGGCGGCCGGCAGCCCCAGCATCTTCGCGATGTCCTGGTAGCGCTGGGGAGCGACGTATTTCTCGTACTTTGGCCAGCTCGTAAGCTTGGTCGGGATCCTACCGTTGTAACGGATCCCGAGCGGTAACAGCGTTGCGTTACTGCGACCCTGTGATATGCGGTACGATGCGCCGATCGTGTGCGTTATCGCGTGCACGATGCCCAGAAAGGCCGAGCCGGAGGCCATGCCGGCTATCGTCCCGGCGTTGTGCATCTTCTCGCGGGCTTTTGCGTCGCCCTTGAGCACGGACGCCGGTAGGTTCTCAAAGATGAGCTTAATTGCCTGCATCGCAAGGCCATCGGTGAAGTCGTTGGCGTACACCGACACGTACGCCTCGGTAGCCCGGGCAAGGGCGTCCATCCCAGAGTCGGCGGCGAGTCTAGACGGCATCGCGTTTACGAGCGTCGGATCGACAATTGCGACGGTCGGCATGAGCGCGTAGTCTGTGAGCTGGTACTTGTAGCCTGTCTTGGGATCCGTGATGCACGCAAACGGCGTGACTTCTGAGCCGGTGCCCGACGTCGTCGAGATGCACACGAGCTGCGCTTTCTCACCGAGGTCGGGGAAGGTGAACGCGCGCTTGCGGACGTCGAAACACTTCTCGCGCACGTCGGAAAAGCTCACTTCGGGGTGCTCGTAGAGCAGCCACATGACTTTTGCTGCGTCCATTGCGGAGCCGCCGCCGAGTGCAACGATGGTGTCGGGTTGGAAATTGCGCATCTGCTCGGCCCCGACCTCGACCATGCTGATTGATGGCTCTGAATCGATCGTGTCGACCACTTGCATGGTGACCATGTTCAACCTGCGGTTCAGCACATCCCTGATGCGATCGACTACGCCGAGTTTGCTCATTGTCGCGTCAGTCACGATGAACACCCGGTTTACGCGGCGCATGTCAGCGAGATATCGGATCGCATTTGGCTCGAAATAGATCTTTGCTGGCACCTTAAACCACTGTATATTGTTGTTACGGTGTCCAATGCGCTTCACATTGATCAGGTTGACCGCCTGAACGTTGTTCGACACCGAGTTCTTTCCGTAGGTTCCGCAGCCGAGCGTCAACGACGGGACAAAGGCGTTATAAATGTCACCAATGCCGCCAAGGGACGTTGGCGAGTTCGTAATAATGCGCACGGCCTTGATGCGCCTGCCGAACTTCTCGATGACCTCCTCATCAGTACTGTGAATGCACGCAGAGTGGCCGAGGCCATCCTGCTCGACCATTTGCTCGGATAGGCGGATGCCATCGTCAGCGTCCCTCGCACGTATCACCGCGAGGATCGGGCAGAGCTTCTCGCGGGTGAGTGGCTCATCGTACCCAACGTGATCAGCTTCGACAAGGAGGATCGAGGTGTCCTGGGGCACACTGAAACCTGCTTGCTTCGCGAGCCACGATGCGCTCTTGCCGACGATCGCTGGGTTAAGCTTCGCGCTGCCGCAGTTCTCTGAGTTGGCAACAACACCGAAGGCAAGCTCCTCGAGCTTGCGCTTCTCGTCGGAGGTTGCAACGTGGGCATGCAGACGCTGCATCTCGGCCATCGCTTGATCGTAGACCGGCGCCTCAATGATCGCAGCTTGCTCGGAGGCACATACCATGCCGTAGTCGAATGACTTTGAGAGCACAAGATCGTACGCCGCGCGCGCTACGTCTGCGGTCTTCTCCACGAACGCCGGCACATTACCCGGGCCTACGCCGATGGCTGGCTTGCCGCACGAATAGGCGGCCTTCACCATTGCGTCGCCGCCTGTGGCGAGGATGACGGAAATGTCAGGGTGGTTCATGAGCGCCCCGGTTGCCTTGATCGAGGGCACCTCAATCCACTGCGCGCAGTTCGTGGGCGCTCCTGCGGCGACCGCAGCGTCACGGACGATCCTAACCGCTTCCGCGGAGCACTTCTGTGCATGTGGATGGAAGCCGAAGACGATGGGGTTGCGAGTCTTGAGGCAGACAAGGGCCTTGAAGATAGCGGTCGACGTTGGGTTCGTGACGGGCGTCACAGCGGCCACGACGCCGACAGGCTCGGCGATCTCGACGATACCGTTGAGGTTGTCGCGATGAATCACGCCGACTGTCTTCATCCTTTTCATTGCGCTTGTGACGTTTTCGCAGGCGAACATGTTCTTCACCGCTTTATCCTCGAACAAGCCGCGGCCGGTCTCCTCCACGGCGAGCTTCGCGAGCACGCCATGTTGATTGAGCGCCGCGACGGACGCCTTGGCGACAATGCGGTCGACTTGCTCCTGGTCGAGGGCCTGGAACTCGGCGAGGGCGCGAATTGCACGCGCGACGAGGCCGTCAACATGAGCTTGCACGTCGAACGGTGGTCCAGAAGCCGACTTGGGCTTCGAAGCCGCTGACATTGCTATGTCCTGTTTCTGAACAGCCACGGCGGTATCCATGTCGCGGGAAATGCTCTCATGCAGACCCTCCTTTTGAGTTTGAGATTCGCGAAATGGTGTTATTGTCCTAACTTTGATGAGTTCTTGCGACTAAATGGATCACGAAGAGACATGAGAGTTTATGAGACGTACTCTGCTGGGACATTGTGATGCTGGGTTGATGTTGCCTTTTCCAAGGTATGGTGTTCTACAGGATGATTTCCAACATGCTGACGAGCAACGACTGGTGCTACGGCCATGTAATGCGTGGACATAAAGAATTGTATCTCCGAGGTGAGATGTGTTTACACCGTATGGCAGTCGAGCGCGACGGCACACTTCAATTCGACTTGCAGACTTGTAGAGTATGGTCTTGATGCAAAGCACAACAACCTCACAGATTCTCGATGCGAAGCCTCGCAGACTTAAATAACCTCAGAAGCGAATCTAAGAAATGCCGCCTGCTACAGCTACAGCTACTGCCGCTGCTCGGTGGACCCATTCTTCAAGTTTGCTCACCGTAAATGCCTGAAGGGCCGAGTCGGAACGAGATACACACGGTCGATCTCTTGCATTGGGGTAGATGTCAGGCAATTCGAGAGTGGCATGTTTCGACTTTTTGAGCCACCCTTGCCCCAAATAGAACCAGCGAAGAAAAAACGAGGAGCTAGCTCAGGTACTTTTGCAGCGCCACCCTCGATGGGGTTCGTTCCCTCCCAGCGGCTTGACCCAGCAGTACTGTAGTAATGCTCAGCTAGCCCCAGTGGGACCACTTTCGAGAACCTGTCAGACCGCCCGACTCAGGCCACATACAGGTGGCGCCGCCCGAATCCCAAAGAGCCTCCAGGGCTAACAAGTTGGAAAGTTCATGACCTCCTCGTCCAGTCTGGCCATCTCCGAGTCACAGAAGCCAGACTGGTCTCATAAGGGATATGCCTAGGGCTATATATACGTCATTTGGCTGTCTCCGGTCGAGATTTAGCGATTTGAGGAGATTGCAGACAAACACCAGGGCGTCCCATCCGTCCCTTCGACTGACTTGTTAACATGCATTGAGCGATTTTTGCAGCGATGGCTTGCATTCTTGCTTGAGCAGGTGTTGCACCGTCCATCGAAAGGTTCTTGCACTCCAGCCTACCTAAGTATTCTGTGATATACGCATGGTGATCATTATTTCCCAATCTCAACTTTCATTCGGAAACTGGGAGTCTGTGTTTGCGGAGCAATGGTTTTCGGGGGTGAGCAAACTGTGAAAACGCCTGCAGGTGAGATTAGCTCGATTGGGTCACTATTTGCCCTGGAGGGCGCCGACCAGGTGGTGGCGCTTTATATGCTGCTGATAAATTCCAAGCTTTGCCCAGCCGAGCTAGCTCTCTCTTGCAGTGCGGCTCTCCATTTGAGGCTGCTCAGCTCAGGGGGAACTCATCCTCTCGATATCAAGTAGCGAAATGCGTATCGTACATTTGGACCCTATATAAACCTTGCAAACCACTATAAGTTCCGTTGCGCATTGGCCTACATGTCACTAGGCAATACAGTTTGGGAAGAGCGCCAAGAGAGAGAATTAATATATTCTATGTTTCATTTAGATGTCTTCGAGCCGTCCTACGTAATCAATCAAACGGTTCCTATCTAGAGGCCTTGCGATGTAAGACTACCCTTGCGACCACGATGCGATATATTCTACCAAGCAATAATCAACCACTTATTGCAAAAAAGGACCAGGTATCCAGTTGAGTTCCCCACAGTTCACAGCCGGTGATGATGATCTTCAAGTGCCGTCTCAGCATAACCCGGTGCCCCCACCAAGTCCCGAGTTGGCGTCACCCTCCACGCGGCAGTCAATCAAAGCACCCGCAACAGGGGTTCTTCTCCAAAACGTACATTGTGAATGGTAGCAAGACTAGGCATTTATAGCTCTGGACTCCTGGTCTTGGCAAGGCCATCTCTAATAATACAATAATCCACTGCCAAATCGCTGTAAGTCCATTTTACTGTGAGCAATGTCTTTGAGACCTTTTCTATTGGCTGTCGCCGTCCTGAGCACACATGTCTTGGGTGAAAGTCATTACATGTTTTCGGGTTTCTTCTCTGGAGACACCATTGTTGCACTAGAATTTGAAGATACAACATCGTCTCTCTCCATTGTGCAAAACGTCACTACTGATGCATCAGGTGGCTCAAAATGGATCGCCCTCGATGTAGGATATCCTTTCTATGGCATGGTTTAGGGCAGTAGGAGGCTGACAATACCGCACAGAAAGACAATGCAAATCTATATGTAGCTACTACCGGGTACTTCCAGAGCTACAGCATAACTGCCAATCACACTTTGGAGTACCAGAGCAATGTCAGCTTGTCTTCCAACTGTAAAATTCCTATCTACAATATGCCCCATTCTCGCTCATACTGACCATTGAATACCTAGGTACAAATGGCAACTTCATCGTTGCATCAACGGCCGAGCCTTATACAGTCTTTGGTGCTCCTTATAGCTCTGGATGTGCGTCTCTTGCGATTACAGTCAACTTAGGGACACTGCAATCATCTTTTGCAACACTAGATTATGACAGCACTGCTGGCGTCCACGGTCTTGCTTTGAGCCCAAATAATGACTTCATATACTCGGCCGACGACATGGGAAATGCAGTCTGGGTTCACTCTTACAATAAATCATCAGGAGTGGTTGAAGAGGTGCAGTATATCGCGGCACCCACGAGTGCAAACCCTAGACACCTGGCTGTCCACCCAAATGGCGGCTTTGTTTTTGTCGTGTATGAAGAGGCAAATGAAATTGCCGTGTACAGCAGAGATACAACCGATGGCAAGCTGACAGGCACAAATACAACATATTCGCTTTTGCCTTCAGGTATGCATGGAACAGGTCCAGTTTCTTGCTCCCCTCAAGCTGATTTACTTTCTAGGATTCACCAACACCTCTTCCTACTGGGCTGACGAAGCTCTCTTTTCAGTACCTAGTGCCAACGGCAGCCGTACGGCACCAAAATATCTCGTCACTAGTACGCGGTCTCGCGAGACGTCAGTTCCCGGCTACGTTTCTGTGTTCTCTTTGGATCCCAACAATGGCAACATTCTCGAGCAATTATTCCTTCTGCCTACTACTGCAAGCGGTGGTGCTGCAAACGCCGTGTCGCCTGCCAAGTTCAGTGAAGAATACTTTGCTATCACCGACAGTGCCGCAAACTTTGTGGAAATTTGGAAGATCGAGGCGGAGTCAGGCAACACCACGGCCTCGGCTGTTTCCCATGTGGATCTGGATTCTGGCCCGGCCAATGTAGTTTGGCTCAATTAAGTATATCTTGCAGACAGACGACAGTAAAAGTATACATAGAGATGTTAAATATAGAGCTGCTTCGGTGCAGAAATACACGAATGAACTGCTAACAGTGGTGACTGGTGACATTGTCCTCGATGTGTGGCTTTTTCTAGGCGGCATATGAGATGCCTCTATATTTAAAAGAAAGAGCTATCAACTATAGGTTGACTTAACTTCATCGTGAGACATGAATATACGTGACACGCAAGACTTCTCAACATAGTACGAGATCAGCGCTATTGGGGGTTGGAGCTAAGGTCAGCACGATTACTAGGATGCAGTAGTTGTCTCTATAGCTTGCAAGTCATAGACCAAGAACTTGGTATACATTCAAATATCAGGTCCACAGCTTGAGTTAAGACGCGTGGCTTTCCAAGTCTGACTTCATATATCGTAGGACTTCTAGAATATAGAGCTGAAGCCATTGTTATGCTAGGGTGTAGACGTGGGTTTTGTGGAGCGTGACTGCGTAAGCGGGCTGTTGCCAATATTAGAGACCCTCACTAACACAGCTTTGACCTCTTGAGAAAGTAATTATAAGACAGCGCTATACTCGAAGATCTGAAGACAATGAATCACTTCACTGAACTCAGAAGCTTGCTATCTTCTTACATTCTTTGTTTGTAATTATTCTTGGATTTTGCACCATGGTGCCTTTACGCTCTTTCATTACGTTCATAGCCGCCGCAAACATCGCGGCGGCGGCTTCATGGAACACTACCTGCACGACCAAAACTCAGCGGAAGGCTTGGTATAAAAAGACTTTTCGATGAATTGAGCGCACATGCTAATCGGTGTAAGGAACAACATGACCGATACGGAAAAGGCTTCGTATATTGAGGCTGAGCTTTGCCTCATGGCTCGACCCGCACAAGCTGGCATTACAGGTGCCCAGAATAGATGGGACGAGCTGGACTGGGCCCACATCGCACAGTCTAACGTCATTCACAACGTGGTACGTAATCCAATGTTGATCACAAACAAATATATCTTTCTCCCTGTCGATATGCTCCTCACTTGCGTATTGCTTTTACCTTCTGCGCGGTGTTGTTGATACAGGAACAGGGGGCTTTCTTACCATGGCATCGCTATTTCATGAGGGTACACGAGTATCTGCTCCAGTCAGAATGCGGGTATGAAGGCGGCCAACCGTATTGGAACGAAGTTCTAGATATGGATGCCCTCAACGAGTCTGTCGTTTTTGATCCAGACACCGGCTTCGGTGGTGAGGGTGGCGACTGCGTGACTGACGGGCCATTTGTCAACTTGACCTTGCACATGAATTCTTCGTCAACCTCTGCCAGCTACTGCCTCACGCGTTCGTTCAATCAAAATGGATTTCAGACCGGGCAGCAGCAGTACATCGATGAATGCTTCAACACTACGAACTATGAGGACGCCTTTGAGTGCTACCAGGTCAATCCTCATACCGCCGGCCATTCTGCTGTCGGAGGCACGGTAGGCACATAATCAAATTCATTACTTGTAAGGACAGGAAGCTGATTTGTTCTTATAGATGCTTGATGTCGTCGGAAGTCCCGGCGAGCCGTTGTTCTTCCTTCACCATACCAATCTAGACCGCCTCTGGTGGTTGTGGCAGCAGGCGAACCTTACGACACGGCTCACAGAAATAGGTGGACGTAACATCCCTTTGACCACCTACCTGGAACAAAATGGGATGGACTATCCCAGTGCATCCATTCTTGACTATGATGGTGACGACGGGAATGTGACTACACTCAATCACAACCTCTGGATGGTAGGTATTGTGCCGAATGCAACCATTGCTGAGGTTATGGACCTGGGCGGCGATCTAATTTGCGCTGAGTATGTCTAACTTGCTCGATCATTAAAAATGATTTAAGGCCTTCTAGGTTGGTCCTGTATTGCAAAATGTAGAGAAAGCTCAGCCAAAATCGAGATCAACTGGAGAAAAGAGTATCTCATGCATTAGGGACGCATTTATCGTCATCTATGAGTTCGCTATCATCGGCTTTTATCATGAATTATGGAGCCCAGCATACCTCGTCTGTAGATCCAGGGCATCTGTTATTTCAATAGCGCCAGTCCAGTTTAAATATTCCTTTCTTTGATGCTTTAGCCAATTAACATCCAACAAGACAGCATTCGTGATGTCCGCCTCTCTTATCCCGGGGAAATAGACTTAGGTTTGAGGCGGTGCTTCTCGTCATATTTCGATTAGGTCATGCGACTTGGGGATAGTCTAGCTTCTTCACTAATCGGAGGCAGTTGTAGGGAGCTTAGCGGGTTGGTGTCATGCTTGCCTGGCGCCTGTCGCGTGCATACATAACCGGGGCTTTGCCTTGCCCCGGACTGCGGCTTTCAACGTCGAAAATGGATGTGGCGGAGATCAAATCGACAAGCTTCAAGAAGCCATAGCTGCGCGCATCGAAGTCTGGATGTTGCTTGGTAATGAAAGCACCGACCTTGGCCAGGTTTGCCCATCCATCATAGTCAGACGTTGCCCCCACAGCCCGCCGCAGCTCCCTCTCCAGGTTGAAATCGTGTTGGACGTGATCAGCTGCAGCTCGTTGCCGGGCGACCTCGACTTTGTCCGGTTGTGGCCTGAGTTCCTCGTCAAATATCGAATTCTCAACGCCCAAGTTCTCGACGTAGACAAATTTGTCGCATGCAGCAACGAATGGTTTGGGCGTCTTACGCTCTCCAAACCCATACACAACAAGTCCAGACTCCCGAATGCGCGAGGCAAGCCGGGTGAAGTCGCTATCGCTTGAGACAAGACAGAAGCCATCGAGCTTGCCAGAGTATAAAAGGTCCATGGCATCTATTATCATGGCCGAGTCGGTCGAGTTCTTGCCCTGGGTGTATGCGAATTGCTGTATTGGCTGTATTGACTGCCTGAGAAGTTGATCCTTCCAGCCCGTGAGGCCGGGGCCTGTCCAGTCACCGTAGGCCCGTTTGACATGGGCGGTGCCATACTTGGCGACTTCTGCCAGCAGCAGCCCGATTCTAGAGGCTTGTGCATTATCCGCGTCGATGAGGACGGCTAGTTTTGCGGTGGTGCTGCCAGACATGATAGAAACTGGTCGCTTGAGAGGTTCTCGGGTGACAATAAGGTGAGCCTCGTGTATGCTGATGCGGGGTTTCTTCGTGGCTGGCTCCTGTGGTGAGCTGGGCTCGTGCTGGCAAGCTAGCGTTTGTAGTGTTGGGCTCAGATCCATCGCCCTGCAAAGGCGGTGGTGAGCTACTAGCTGTTCTGAGTGCCGTTCCGCCGTGGATGCTCGTTGCACAGAACAAAAATTCAATAGGAATTAAAAGGAGCCTTCAAAGTCAAAGAAGCTTTAGGTTTCCTTTGAATTTATTGAATGGGCGAGAGGCAGTAAGGAGAACGTGATATATCTGAGAGAGCCCTCCTTTTATTGACTTTGTCTACCTGAATGCCAAATCAGTGCCTCAGTTTGCCCTAGTTTAAGTCGCCTTGGTCGCCAGCATGCTCACAATCTCGTCCGTCAACCTCTCCACCATACCAAGTCCGGGATCATGATCCGGATTCACTTCAGCAATTGTCAATCCCTCAACTTTGCTGCTACCTAGAAATACCTTTAACGCCCTCATCATCTCCTCAAACGCCACTCCCGTGTAGTTTGGCAGGTTTGCAATCGGAAACGTCCCCGGATCAATAGAGTCAACGTCCAGATGAACCATGATGACATCAACTCTTTGCTCGAGATATTCAAGCGCCTCTTTTGCGCGCTGCTCTGGCTCCCGCGCTACGGATGCTGAGCTGACGACCTTGTAGTTCTTGTCGAAGAGATACGCGAAGTGCTCTGGTTTATTTCCCGCGAACGACATGTTGGTGCCGAAAAAGACCGTATTGGAAGAGTCGCAGACGGGCTCTCCTGAGGGACGGGAGAATTGCTCCATGCTTTTCAAAGCACCGGGTATCCTGATCAGATGCGCCATATTCATGCTGGCGAAAGTACCAACAGAGGCAGCATCCGTAGGAGATGTAAGATCCGTATCAGCGTCGATATAAATTAGGCCCACACGCTTAGGAGGCGAGTGCGAGCCCGCATGCTCCCAGAAAGATGTGAGTATCGCTGGTAACATGCCGCATTCGCCACCAAGTATTAGTTGAAATGGTGGTTGAGCTGACGAGTTGAGATTTTCTGAGATGGCTTGACGGACGCTTCTGCAAACAGAGATGTTGATGTCTTCATTGCGGACGCCGCCTGGTGAGAAAGTTGCTGCCGCAAATCTTGCCGGTGATTCCAGCGCGTGCTTTTCTGAGACAGATAGACCCGATTCTTTCAACTTCTTGATGATGCCCACATCTTGGAAGGCTTGAGGAGCTTTAGATTTGCCCGGCAGAACCGAGCCACAATCCGACGGTACGTAGGTAACTGATATTGACATTGTAGCTGCTATGGTACACGAATTTGGGGATGGAGATTATCTGTCAATTTTTATCTTCATGATACTAGGCTCTTATATACTGATCTCAAACATTGTTCGATCGGGCACCGGCGAAAATAATCTAAATCATTGACGATCGTGGTCAATTGTTGATTGCGCCTTTACGCCCTTATCAAGAACGCTGTTAGCATGCAGACATCTTGGAAATCTCACATATGACGTAGCGCTTGCTAGCGACAAGGCGCGCTGAACGATAGTGCGTGATATTGGTTCTTCAGTGAATGAGTAAGCACTAACGAGGGGTTACGAGGAGGTTTGCCCAAGAACAAGGAGGTTCTACTCTAGTAGGTGGGCGCGAGTGACAACGAGAGCATTGCAGCGTAAGAAATAGCGGTAATTCGACAATATTTGGACGAAGAGCATAAGTAATGGGAGGAAGAGAAGCATCCAAGGACCCCAATTACCTCGAGTCATATTGAAATAAACCAGGAATACCATGGCTTCGGCCCCGTGGTATCACAAAATATGTATATCGATCAGTCATAAGACTATTGAATTTACTGTCAACCAGATTGACTGTTTGCTAAAGCGTTAGAATGTGGAAGCCATGCTTGCATGGACTCGATGTATCCTGAAAGCCAGCTCCTCCAGAGTCTCTTTAGCATCTCAGCATTAAACCCGCAGGCATACTACCGCTCAGTTGATCGTATAGAAGCCGCAGTCTCTGGATCTTATGCCCACATTTAGATATATAAACCCCAATATGGCTTAGTTGGGCCTCATAAGTATCGCTTGTTGTATATTCTGTGTTCAAGCCTTTGCTTGGGTTTGGCGGACATCAAGCAATCTAAGCTTAACAGTCGACCCTCCACGCTCTAGCTAGGCAATAGCATGACGCTAATCTGGAGTCTTAGTCAAACGTAGACAATGAGAGTTAGAAGCAAGAGAGATATGCTTGCTCAGCCCTGTGACGTCAACACGGGGTGTTCAGGACAGGCGGCGAGATATGCATCGATCTACGTGCCACTATTGCTGGTTTGACAATCGGAGTGTTCCGACCATTTAACGATAACAAGGCCTGTATCAGTAAGCAACAACGAATAGGAATGGCTCCTGAGGTGCAAAAGTGGGTCCATGTGGAAGCTTCATCGGAGTAACGGAGTACACGGAGCCCCTTTCAACATGTTATGAGGCGCCAGCATCGGGCGTGATAGGGCTTTGTCGTGTAAAAGGATCAGGTAGCATCATAGTCAAGTACGTTGATCGCAGAGATGGATCATGGTGCCCGCAGCTCCGTCCGCTGCTCCAGGTCATGACAACAGTTTTACTTGTATAAAAACCTCCAACCTCCTCAGGGGGTGGAGTTATTGAAAAAGCACAACAATAACAAAAACAACTTGCAGTCCACTAGAAGGCATAACTTTAAGATAACAATCGACACAAAGCAATTACTACGATCGAAAAGTGCCAACAACCAAGCTCTCACTTCTCTTCATCGAACAAACTCGATCAAACCTCCGCCCACCGAACTTGAAACAAATCACTCTTGCTTCATTCAACGCTAGCAACATGAGTCCTCCACGCCGAGCCCTGATCAGCATCACCTCCGCTCACGCCACCCTCTTCCAGGGCAAGGAGACAACCGGTCTCTTCATCTCCGAAGCTTTACATCCCTACAACGTCCTCAAAGCCGCCGGCTTCGAAGTCGATCTCGCCTCCGAGACAGGCACCTATACTGCAGACTGGCTCTCGCAGCAGCCAGACTTTCTCAATGGCGAGGATTTGAAGACCTGGAATGATGTCAACAGCGACTTCCGCCAGAAGCTGGACAACATGCCGAAGGCTTCTGAGCTAGACGGATCCAAGTACGGTGTCTTCTTCGCTTCGGCAGGACATGCTGCCTTGATCGACTATCCAACTGCCAGCTCCTTACAAAAGATTGCGGGCCAAGTCTGGGCGAATGGTGGCATCGTGTCTTCCGTCTGTCATGGGCCTGCAATCTTCGCCAATTTGATCAACCCAATAACCAACGAGCCTCTCATTAAGGGCAAGAAGATCACTGGCTTCACTACTGAGGCTGAAAATACTATGAAGATTATGGACGATCTTCGTAGCTGGAACAGTGAAATGGTCGAAGAGGTTGCCGCCCGACTTGGTGCGACTTGTAAGTTTGAAATTTCCAATCACCTGGACTTGATACCTAGCTAACTCTGTATTTTCCAGATGAGCGTGCCCCTGGTATCTGGGACGACTTCCACGTTGTTGATGGCCGCCTGATAACTGGTCAAAACCCCGCTAGTGCTCGATCAACTGCCGAAGCTGTTGTGACTACTTTTGAAAAGCTGTAGAGGACGGAAAAGTTCGATAGCTAAAGCCAGAGCTACATGGGACAATCGGCAGTGGTCTCGAAAGAAAATTATTCGTGCGAGCGTTAATCTGGGGAATATCTTGAAGAAGAATTGAGGGTGCTATTTCGGTGTTATCTTGATTTTCTATAGATCATTGACTTTACCAAAATAAAGGCATAAAACCAATGCTTGTATGATTGTGTTGTGGTGCATGTCCTTATACAGCTGGATCTAATTGTTTGAAATACCCGTTCTTGTCACATCCCTAGTCCGACTACAAGATGCTCCTGATTGTGGAGAACACTGCTATCCGTTTCAAGTCGACAAGATCGTCCACAAGGTAAGAAATCCTTATGGATGAGTCCTAGCAACATATAGCATTAGCAGAACTCACACGTATCTTTTACCAGTCATCCATGTGACGTCAGGTAGTCATGTACAGCCCTAGTCAAGATTGATACCAATAAAGATCTATCAAGACACCAGGTCTCTAAACAACTGAGCTATGTAAGTCTCCTATAATTATCTGTTCGTTTGATATAAAGCGAAGGACTTGACATTGCTGTTCTTAATCAAGCAAGTCGCATTCATCAACATAACTAATCCGCCTGCTAACAAGAGCTAACTTGCCTGATCTGAAATAAAAAGTGAACCATTAAGATCAAAGGAGATACCAACTTCTTCAAACTTAGTTCGCAACACCTCATAATCGTCTTCTTTCCACAGAACTTGAAATTTTCCTGCGAATGTCGTCGTGTTCAATGAGACATGTCTCAAGTTTGGGAATTCTCCAGCTGCAGCAGCCTCGCTGAGTTGAATCACATGCTCATGAGGAATAGACCTTATGAAATCAAATTTGATGCTTTCGATGGATTTGGGCCATAGATCCACGAGACTCACGGAAGAAGACTCCTCGGGGTCATCTGACGGTAGATAGATGGTGTTCTGGGTGAGGACAGCGGTCTCAAGCTTTGGAAACGGAAGCTCTGTGATCATTGCGGACTCATCGTAGGAGTCTTGAGCATATTCCGCCCGGTATGAAGATACCCAGTCGATTGCGAGATGCCGCAAAGACTTCTTAGCTGGAAGAAGAGCAGCGACAATCTCCGCTGGTAAGACTTCTTCCTCGTCATTGTCCTGGCTGAGTGCACCGGACTCATATGTGAAAGTTTCTAGCTTCTTGCAGTTTAGGAGAAGTCCTTTCAAATCATCGTACGTAAGCATGGTGTAAGTAAGTTCCACCCGCGTCAAGTTCGCAAAGGCGACATGAACGCCTGCACCAACACACATGTGAGTTTTGAGGCTTGTAAGTCCTGACAATGGCGCAATAAGAGCATGCTGCTCTCCCAGTCCGAATCCGTACTCCGTATCGTCGTGTGCCAGTGAGAGCTCCCGTATATTCGCAACAGGTCTCATTCCCTCGAGCATTTCGATCAAGCCTTCATGCGCCCAATCAGCGTAGAGGACCACATGTAAACGCTCCAAGTTTGGGAGAAGCTGCAGTAAGAGCGCCAGCAAGACTGCGTCTGTCTCGTTTTCGAAAGTCCGCCACATGGGTGGCAGAGATAGGCCTATCTTAGATGCAATAATCTCATAATCTTGTGCGTCGGTATCTGAAATGTCTTCGACGGTGCTGACATCTTCATAGTCAAACCACAGAATATTGGATGCCAAACCTGGGTTCTCTGCGGCTAATCGAACAAGTGAGCCTAAATTCAGGTTGTGAGGGATATCATCTGGCCCTCGATATACGGGCGCGTGAAGATGCTGTTTGACATAATGGAACAGGACTGGTTGAGCAATATGCTGCAGTTGTTGGCAGCATTGACTGAGGTTCGAAAGTGCGACCTCCTCATCTGTTGGATTACCGATGTAGTCTCCACTGAACATATGAGGTCCTGCTTTGCCAAACTTGGGCTCTACGTTGGTATCCCGACAGTGACTGCACAAGTTCCTGCAGATCTTCTGCAGGACCTCGGTAGGAAGCCGAAGCAGCTCTAACGACGTCATCCTCGCGGCGAGATCTTGTGTTGTGAGCTTAACATCGCTGGCTCCGGTCGTCCTTTGTTTCGCGATTTATAGCCCTTTTTGTGCGCAACTCGTACTGTTCACTAGGCCGGTTTAGGGGCGCGTTTAGGCAGAGGTGCTAGGTTTCTAGCGAAATAATAGGCAAACGGTCTTGGCATTTCCTCCTATAGCAGGGAGTGTGGCATTCACTGCAACCCCGGTCCGTGCCAGCCTAGCTCACATCGTTCGTATCACAAAATGCGATAACTCAGGCTTTTCTTCGTTTTCCTGGTGAAAACCAAAGATAACCGTCATGAATGTCGTACGAGATCTGATTGTATCATTTTCAGTATAATAACGAGCAATTCGTAGAGTATAGAAAGGTTCAGTAAAGATTAACTAATTTAGCTGAGAAGCGAGATACGAGCAAAGGACTGGTAAATTTGCTTCGAGAACCAAGAAAAGCACAGTTTCTTTCTGCTCATATAATTATTGCAAGAAAGAACTACTTGTTCTAGGCGTTTACATCAACGAGAATTTTGACGTGGCTGTCTTTGTCGTTGATGAGTGTTTTGATGCCATCTTCGACGATGTTCTCGAGTTTTATCTTCCGTGTGATCATGCCATTGGGTTTGATGGCGCCTGCAACCCTCAAGTCAGCTTCTTCATTGCACTATGATAGTGTGTACAACCTACCAGTTCTTAGGTTTTCGATGACTGCTTCGTAGTCCTCTCTCTGATATCCAAGAACGGACTTATACGAGCTCTCTTTCCATGTTACCCAGTTGGGATTGAAAGGGATCTCCTTCTCCCAGATAGCTACATTGACCACCGTTCCTTTAGTCTTGACTATTTCGCATGCGCTCTTCACGCTTATCACATAGTCAGCTTCGAACCGCAATACTACTGTCACTCCAGTCGTGGACTCACCTTGCTGGAACACCGGCGCAGTCAAACACTACATCTGCACCCCTGCCATCACTCAACTCCAACGCTACCTTTTTGAGGTCTTCTTTTAATGGATTGACAACTTTTGTTGCCCCGAATTCCGTAGCAAAATTTTGCCGCGATGTTGCGACCTCCGATACGATTATTGTCTTGACTCCTTTCGCCTTCAGACATAGGATCGCTGCTAAGCCTATCGGCCCACCTCCCAATACGACTGTTACACTATCAGAGTTGATTTCGGGAGCAGCAGTGATGGCATGCCATGAAACAGATAAAGGCTCAACGAGAGCTCCCATCTCGAGTGTCAAGTTCTCTGGCAATGGAAACACATGCGTGGCCCGCACGCAGACTGCTTCGCTGAGGCCGCCACCTCCTCCGCTTAATCCGACAAAACCGCCCGTGTGGCATGCATTTTGAGCACCACTCTCACATGCCGCGCAGTGTCCACAAAACACTGTAGGTTGAACGGCACATGCTTGCCCGACTGTAAATCCGGTGACTCCTGGGCCAATCTCTTTGATTACCCCCGAGAATTCGTGGCCTAGTGTTACCGGAATCGTCTCCCCGGTGACAGGATGCGCCGTAGCAGGGCAAAAGTTTGGCCCACCAAGATATTCGTGCAAGTCAGTACCACAAATATCTTGGTGGGCCAAACTT